TTTCCGAATATGATGCTAGAAGCCCAAAGCACGTGGACATATTTTCATCAATAATATTGATCACGCAATCATTTTCAGCGTTGTAAAAAAGGGGAAAAAATAAATAGCGGAGCTTCATAAATTCCAAAAATGCCCAATTAGTCTATTTGGATATTGCTAGAACGATAATAAACGCTTTTAATGAAAATGTAATGCTAAGTTAGGTACAAAGTATACGGTAAACAATTTAATGTAGGGTGGTTAAAAATATGGGCTCCAACAAATTCCAACAAGTCTATTTGTGAACATTGTTGGATATTATGTTTTGAAATGTTTTGCTAACAATTCAATGCCAACTTCACGTCAATATTATAATATTACCTATGTAGGTATACAATAAATAAGTATTTGATCAACAGTGAGTTATGAATGTTATCGTTGTAATAATAATATAATATAACTGTGAAATAACGTTAAAAAAAAAATAATAACAAAATTCGCAGCAAACATTAATATGATTAGGTTCAAACGGAATATTATTATTACGACGCGTGACACATGTGACGCGTATGATATTCCGTGCGAGTTCGCGAGTTTAATAAACCAACAATATTTTTAAAAAATCGTATTTTTTTTTATTTTTTTTTTGTCGTTCAAATTGTCTGCACGAAAACTTATCTAGAAATCGTGAAAGGTACCCGCGTAGCTGGTATTCTCTACGTGACAATATTTGAGCGATTCGTCCGTCTGCTGCGACCGCGCGTATCGCTATATTATTATTTACAAAAAGGAATCACGCAGAGACGAGTAAAAATATTATTATTATTATTATTATTTTTTTTTTTTTTTTTTTTTTTTTTTTTTTGTATAACGTTTACCTTCATAAAATTATTATACAATAATAATAAACAATCGCGTAATTCGCAGGTGCGCGTTCTCCTAGCGGCAGCGACGACTACGAGCCATTTACAGACACGCTTGTAAATTATTATAAATATTCTCTCGACCCGGTTTGGTTTTTCGATCAAATTGCTATGCTACCTATAAGACGATAACGATATTATTTACAAAATTTGTGTAAAACACACTCGTGACGACATCGGCGCCTAAATTTGTGTGTAAATTTGCCCCCTCCCACCATGTCTGAATTACATCGGACAAATTGTAAGTTATAGACCATAGTTTGTGAGTAATTGGAAGTTAGTTTATGGAATTTGTAAGTTTCTCAGAACTTAGTTGAGTTTATGACCGAAATAAACTTAGTTAAGGGGCCATCTTCACACTAGCCTCCTATTATTTCCAAATTACATCGAACATATTTCCACAGAAGACTACGTTAAGCGAAGTCTTTGCAATCAATTTTTAAAAGAAAACCTTCTACTAAATAAAGAAAACTGAATTTATTTTTGAAAAATACTGTCATTCCAAAAAAAAAGCAACGGAAATGAAACCAAAGAAATCATGGGATATGAAGAAATCGATATCAAAATCGGAACAAAATCAGAAATTATTTTAGATTATATATCACTTCTTGAATATAATAAATTGTTTAAATGTTAGTAAAAACATTTTTTCTAACTATAATATTTCATTAGTCCGAAAACTAAGCCCCAAAAAACTTATATTCGAAAATTCGACTTGCAATTACTTAAAAATTGAGATTTTCAATCTACAATTTGCCCAGTGTAATCTGGACATGAGGAGGCCAACTTCACACACGTCATCTAAAGTTTTATCGCCAGTATGATTAAATAATAAGCATGACTTGGCTTTCTTGTTCTACACTTCCTAAAATTATATAACCAAGCAATATTGAAGAACACAATACTATTATTATTATTAGCCCCAGTGGCGGATCAAGAGGAACGTAATGGGCGATCACTCATGCCCGTACACTCTTCAATATATTCTTAGTATAATATACTCACCATTTAAGTAATTATCAATGGTGCGCCTTATATTCATTTTTAAAATTGTCCCCTTTCCACCTCGTTTTATTGTACTCGATCCATCTCTAGTTAACTCAAAATATATTATTATCAAGTACGAATTAAATGTGACATTTTAAAATTTAAGACGCTTAAAATAAACTCATTCAACCTAACCATGGGTACCTATTCAAACCATCGTACAAAAATCATATCGAATTATTAGTAATGAATTTGAAATCATTCGAACAAGATTAAATGATATAATTTATTAAACATACTAATAAAAAAATTGACGCTTTTTTGAAACTTATTGCAAAATAACACCATCAAATTAGTTATTAGTGAATTCAGTTAGCATTTGATAATCATAATTAAATCACTTTCATGTTTATTTGAAAATAAATTATTCATTTTTTGAACCATTGTTCTCCTAATTTTTTGTTTTTAAAGCTAGCAGGACATATGGATTTTTTTTAAGTGCGTTACATTTTTAATTAAGTAGCGCATTTAATTAACATATAATAATTAGATGATGAAAGTTCTGCTGACTTTACTATGCTTACTTAAGGGAAGCGGGTTTTTTTTTTTTTTTTAGGGGGGGGAGTTGAGTTCAGGTTTCAAATTATGCCAGTCTCCGCAAATGTATAAGGATCGAAAATAAAATGCATTAAAATAAATATTTTAAATATAATTAATATATAATTAATACATATGCATAAACTATTTAAACACAATAGAATTTGAACAGGAATGTAATCAAATATTTTTTTATCCAAATTTTTCTAAAATCAAGCTACTTAAATTTGCACGTTTTCTGTACTGCTGTGAGTAAAAATGTCCAACAAGGAAGGATTGAACCTTGAACCTCGAAACTCCCAGTGGACTTGGAATTCGCGCTGTCTAAAAAGTGGAATATAACCGCCACTGATTAGAAGACGCTTTATAATATAATGTATTTACAGAATTATGATACATTTTCGTTCGAAACAAATATTTATCAATAAAAAAACTTTATCTTAAATTCATATCAAACAATAGTGCTCGCTGTTGTCCCAATTTTCAATTCTCATCCGATGTATACGCTATAGGTTAAAACTGATTATTAATAAAATTATAAAATTAAGTTGACATTTGTATAAAAGTTTTAAAATACATAAGTACTATGTTTTCAATATAACTATCACAGAATAATAATAATAATACAACCAATTTCTCAAATAAAAAGGTCGGACAAAAGTTACCTAACAACGAATAATATTATATTATCTTAAACAATTAATAGCATAATTAAATTATTTAGGATTCTTTAATAATTAACGCATTGAAAATTAATTGTTTTATTGAAATGTATTTATTAAGTTTTAATGACAAAAAAAAAACCCATTAAATGGGGAAAATTAATTAATAACTTTTTAAATAGTATTAATGCTTAACCTTGCAGTGAGAATAATAATAATTAGATAAATAATTATTATTTATTCAATTGTATTGTAAAAATGTTGATTGTGATTTTATTTTCTAGGAAATAACTTTACTACAAAAAATGACGCACTATTGATTACAAAAAATCGAGTTCAACGAAAACAAAATCGATCGAGTAAAATTATTTACATATGTATGACGCATATTCACCGTTTACAAACCTACTGGTTCGTTTTAACTTTAAACGACAAAATTAAAATATATGTATTAAAATATACAGTAAAATCGCTAAAATATCCAATCAATTTAAGCGTCGGTTGCATATTATAACTATGTGAAGCGAAAAATATTTACAGAACTTATTATGACCTAAGCGAGACAGGAAACACATTTCCTAAGCATTTATATTTTACATTTTCATCCCACACTTCTGGTTTTTAAAATCTTTCAATTTAGGCATTCTATCATTAGTCTTTCTCTTTCAGAATTTAACGTAACTGCTTTTACGTAACCTTTAGGAATCTTATTTAAGATAATATCATGGCCAAAGGCGTTTATCTTCAGAAATCCTAGGGTGGAAACAATGTATTATTTTTAATTGTATTTGTCCATGATATTGACATTTTTGTTAAACTGTAGTCAACATTATATGTCTTACGTAAAAATACAGAAAATCCATAGAGGTATGTCCCCCCTTATCCTCTCGGGTTGTATGCCCATGGTCATTACGTAGTATGTGACCTGCCATAAATATATATTCCCTTCTGATTTTTAAAGTCGTCTTTTTTCTTGATTCTTCTCTATTATGCTGTCACACCGCGAAATCTTGAGCATGTTTCTTACGGTGACACCAAACGTTTCAAATGCTTCTAGTTTTTTCTTCCGGATTGTACTCAGGATCTAGGTTTCACATCCGTATAATGTTACACTACATATGTTTATCTTCACTTAGTTTTTTCTAAATACCGAGTGTTCAATGCTGTTCGTGGATGATATTAGGTATGTGATGATCTTTGGTTCGCTTTTTTGCCTAAGTTTCCTGAACTGAATTATTATTACCTGGATAAGTTTTTATATACTGTTGTAGTTATATTTTAGTTCATTCTAAAGAATACCTAATATTTCGATTGAACAAAAACATTTATTATTGCATGCGTATATTTAATTCCAAGCAACCTAATTCTCTGCGCTTTACAATTATTATATAGTAATAATAACAATTTATATTCCCAAAGGATATACTACACAGTACACATAAGCCGTATACTCTAAACGTTTCGTTAAAAAATTACAGACATGATTGAAATATACCAGGTTATTGCACTATAGTACTCCCACTCTAACGTTTTATCACGCATACAAATTAAAATTGGATGCGCACAGGCCTAAATATGAATAAAAATAATAATATACAGTATAGCACCGTTTTACCTTACACCGCTGTTTTATTCTCGATTTGATAACGCCAGAGCATTAACCTGGTGTATTTCAATCATTATCACAGGTATACTGCGTATACCCTCAAATAGTTGTACAAACAGACAAAATCATCATGATTTACCATTGGCATTGCCTATTCATATTAGTTATGACATTAACACCATAATAGTAGGTAATACAAATTGTAATTATAATTTTTCAAAAAGACGGGCATATGTACTTCGCACGATGGATGCAGCAACTTTTGTTGGTGAGAAGTTGGAAAACATAGAGTATAGAGGGAAAATTAATATGTATCTGTAAGCAACGATAAACTATTGCTAACGAAAAACGATTCTGAGAGGAATTCAGTTGATAGTGTTGCTTTATCAACAATATAGATGTCCAATTATATTATTGTAAAATAATTAAATAAGCATTAAACATTTTCTTTAATAATATTTGTTTAATAGTGTATCTATATTCCTTTTTTTTTATTGCTGGTAGAAAATTTGTGCACAGAAAAAAAGAACTCCGTAATATATTTTAACTAACAACTACATTTCTTTTATTTTCCCGTTATTTTTTCTATTTTTCAAATTGAATAAGAAAACTTTTGGGAAAATCGAAAAATTACCTTTTCAGAAAAGGTGCTACACTTAAAAATCTGAACCAGTCTTCTGGTAGAAAAGTTGCGCACAAATTAAAAAAAATAAACATCTTTATAAATCCAATACATTCTTCGCTACACTCAGAGTCTAAAATCACAATTTCCCTTACGAATAATCACTTTTTAAGAATGATGAACGTTTTATTTTGTACTATATATTGTATTGTATATTGTATAATATTGTATATTATCTACTCAATAAGAAAAACCATGACTGAAATACAACGATGCCATCGAAAAACGTAAACAAATCGCCTGAGGAGTAAAGAATAGATAACAGTCGTGTTCTAGAACGGTTAGGTTAGGAACCTGGTCTATCCATTCTTTATGATCTATGATCCCGATGTAGATACTGTATAATATATCTCGGAAAATGTACGGAAACACCATTATCGTTGTCAGCGGTGTTTCCGCTAAATTGAATTTATTTTAATTTAATAAATCTCTTTTTCCGGGGGCAAACAACTTGGGTGTATAACTAAGGTGACTTTACGTCCCGTTAAGAACAGGACAGTCCCATATTGTGTACCTCTGTCCCGTTATTCCCTGGGGAAATCTTCGGGACACAAAAATGTCCCATTTTCAGAAGGTAAACAAATAAATAACGAGAATCAATTGTGCACACGGCGGATAATGGGGCATTTTTTTTTCTCGTCCCGTTTTCATCAAAAAAACATACGGTCACCTAACGCACCATTATCCGCATTTATCGGGAGGACGGTCGCCGTCTGGAGGAAAGTTCGGGCAATCGGGAAACCGTCATCGCCGGTCGCCACGGCGAGTGTCTGGCGATTGACGACGGCGGTGGTGACGGTGGGGACGACACATCACGGCCGCGTCGAGGACGGTCGCTGACGGTAGCGACTGACGTGCGGACGCCGCGGTTCATTATTCGCGAACCTCCGACGACGACTACGCGACGCGACGCCGCCGACAGCCGACCGCGAGAGACGAATGCGCGCGCGCGCGGCGTCCTCTTTTCGTTAAATACCGCGCGATATAAAATTATTGAAAAATTTTCTCTCTCCCTCTCTCCGCGTCTCACTCTCTCTCTCTCTCTCTCTCGTTCATTTTCGGATAAAGAAACTTACTAATCGTCGTCGTGTATTTATAATAACATTGTGTAGTGTTACTCGCGTCACACAGCCGTGTCGCAACAATATTATTATTTTCTACGATTTTCACTCCGAACACCGCAACTACACGGCATACGGTTACGGTGCGACTATGCGCCGTGGTCGGTCATCTGACGCAACCGGATCGTCCGGTTAAATCATAACCTTATCGCTTTTTACCGCGCCCGTATAACTCCCTGGAATTGGCCGCGGACTCGGTTACCGTCGTCGCAGATAAATACAAATGTTAACAACAACAATATTATCGTTATTATCCAACCGCTCAGACATCCGGACGTAGGCCTGCGCCCGAACGCGCCACGGAACGCAGTCGTCAGCCGGAGACGACACACGCACGGATCGCGACGATAAAGACGACGACGACGACGACAACAAAAACAACAACAGCACCAACAACAACAACATTACAACGCAGAGGTGTCTCCGCGTCTCCGTGACCGCCCTCTCAGTTCGCCGCCGACCGTCCGCACCAGTCTTCTTCTTCCAAACGCACGCGCCGGTACGTCTACAAAAATAATTATAATAATACTACTACACCGACCTTATTACTACGCTGCCGTTGTCGTAACGTCGGTATATTTTTTTACGAGACAATTTTGTTTTTCGCGCGTCGATTTCCGCGTGAAAAAGTTTCGCGTTGATCAGTCAGACGCATCGTCGAGGCGGGCGCTCTTCGTTATTATTAGTGTTATTATTACCGCGAGTCGCACAAAACCGCGCTCGTTTTAGATCCTGAACAAAGCGAGGATCGCGTATTGGTTTACATTTGATTGGGACTTTTTTCGATAGGATTGTTAGCGACAGTTAGTGAAAACGAGGGGACGAATAACGACTAATAAGTAATACTACGCTCAGCATCGTTTTTCGTTATCAATGATTCATCGTTGCGTACAGATATTCTATTATTCCACACAATATCCTACCGTCCAACTTTCCCCCTAAAACAGCAACACAACCATAGGCGTTTTTTTTAAATTAAACTTGTTCTATTTTGTATAGACTTGAGCCGATGTTACTGCTAAAACTCGACGTGCGGAAACATTATTCCCTGTCCGGTGCTGCTTACCTATCGCCATACAATCCTGGTGACTCTGACGCGTTGACTTGAAAACGACTAACGTTTATTTTAAATTTGATTTTAATTTTTCATTATAAATAGTAATGATTAATCCGCGTTCAAATTTATTTTATATTTGGTTATCATAGTATAAAGTGAATAATTATTTGTGTTTTTCTCTTCGTGTATAAATTTAGGAAGACATTTAAGGCCATAACGGAAATGAGTGATTGAGAAAGTTGAGTGGCCTATACCAGCGATATTTTCCGAAACATAAGCTGTTAACAAAAAAAAAAAGTCATTAGATTGATTGGAAAAAACGTTGAATCGCTCTCTGAATTTGTATCAGTAACAGCCTAGATAGACATTGGGAAAAACGTGACCGACTTAAAAAAATTACTCGGTTTGAATTTTTCTGTCCGTCTCAGCTACCAATCCGCGTATTAAATTTTATCGCCGGCGACGTATTTTATTTGGGCAGAACAAACAAACTTCAATCGACAAATTAATCTTCGTGAGATATGGTTGCCTAAAAAATTAATTTGAAATTCCCAAGTTTTTGCAGATTTTTCGCCACATAATTCTTCAATAATGATTTCGACAAATTCTAACTTTTAGAATTATCGTAGACAAACGCGTATTCTTAAAAAAAAAAAAATTGAAAATCGTGAGTAGCGTGGTCAAGTGCATGTGCTTTTGTTCCGTTAACATTCCCCTTCTTCTAGTTGGTATCTATATATCTATAGATAGTCGTAAGAGTGCGGAGTGGACGACATATATTTTGAACACGAGTAGTGTGTCGAGTACCTTACAGTCTACGCATGATCAGCTATAATTGTAAAATGTACAATGTAAAAACTTAGTATAAGCGTTTTCAAACACTATATCTCGGTACCGATAGGTCTATTAAAATTACACAGTATCAGTCTCCCACGGATTAGCTAGGCAATTTGAATAACGGTCGTATATTTCAATATGCCGCTTGAGTTGATCCGCGACCGCAAAAACCCGTATAATTGTAGTGCTAATAAATCAAAAGAAATTAAAGAAATTATGCTCCAATATAGATTAAAGTACCTTTTCTGAAAGAAAATTTTGTCTAGTTGGTACATTAAAAAAGTAATTTCTTGATTTTCTAAGGAATATTCGAAATAATTGGAAAAAACCCAAAAAAAAATGATAGGTAAAACGACAAATATTCACGGCACACCGCGGCGTTACCGTTTTCATTATTTAAAATTTATACGGCTTATGTTTTCTACCAAAAGTATTTCTCCAATAGAAAAATGACATGAGACCTTTTTTATTATATTTTTAATCTTGTCAGAAGATCAGTGAAAAAGTAATTCATTTTTTTGTTTTATTTGGTAGTTTTTCTAATAATTAAAAAAAAACCGTAAAATACATAGAAAGTAAAGAAAAATGTACGAAAATAATTCTTTTATATTTTAAAATTTGTTTGAATATAATTCAGTTGAAAATATTCGTAGAAACTTGACACTTTGATAAAAACTTATATTTGTTTTTTCTAGACGTTGTACAATTTTCAAAACATTTGAACCATTTTTCGAGCTATTTATAGACATTTTAATTTTGGGAATTTTGTAAATAATTTTTATTTGGTTTCTGTGTATAAAATTGAACAGAAACAGAAATAAACAAAAATACTTACAAATTTGACAGGAGATACATTATAATTCGTATATTTAGTGGTCAAAATAAAAATATATATATTTTTTTTTATAAGAGTTTTTTTTAAAATAAAATGTCGACGAAAATCGTAAATATTACGGCCTTTTAAAATAAGTGTAACCGAACTTCGCCAGAATCGTTTTTCGTTAGTAATAGTTTATCGTTGATTACATGCATAAATTAAATTACTGTATGTGTGCACCGCCTTTTTTAATTTCCTCGTAGTAGGAAAAACTGGCAATTTCATCTATAATTTCTGATTAATTTCTGGTGTCACCTTGACAAAAATGAAGGAAAAAATACGGCTAATAATGTCTCGTGCTCTGAATCTCGTTTCGTTATCAATGGTTTATCTTTGCGCGTAATACAGATAAAAAATAAATTATTCGTTATATACAGGTCCGTCTGATTCTTCTCCTAGAACAGTGGCGCACTGTAAATTGTTGTTTAGAAGTTGTTTTAAATGCCGTAAAAAAAAATTAATTAAATTTCAGTTGTACACAATGTAACGCAACAGAATCCAACGCGTCTTAATTTAAGTATTTAACCACGGTTAAAAAAAAAAAAAAAATACTCGCACACCCAGATCATTTAATGTTAATTATATTATGTTGATAATATTGTAGGTATATGTAATAGATATTCAACAATAATTAATAATTTATTTATTCCGGATTCGATGTGGGTTCGCCCCGTAACGGTTATTAATCAAACAGCATACGTAGACTGCAATAATATTCGAATACCGTTCTAATATTATTCGTAAATTATGTTCAATGAAACATTAACACACAAGCGGATAAGACGGCGGCATGATTTGAATAAATAACATAGTCGCAAAGTTGTATGTGGACATAAATACCTAATTACTATCGGGAAAAAAACCGTATCGTGTTGTAACAAATCCAATATAATTTGTTTGAAGGCGGTAAAAATTACATTAAAAAGATAAATACGGCCGGACTTATAATATACGTTCAGTTTTTAAATCGTTATAATCAATACTTATAGACTATTAAAATAATATGTTTCAGTCAAATACCACTTATAAATGGTGACAATAATAGTGTATATAATACGATCGTTATTAACGACGTTTTTAATTGCTTGTTTCGTTTTTTTTTTTTTTTTTAGATTCAGATTGTAGCGAAGAAGCTATTACAGTAGTTTTCCTAAAAGCACATTTTTTTTTTGTCGTTATTTGTATCGTGTAGTCATACTTGATGCGGATTTCCCGCCCGGTGGTACTCGCTGTGATATTTTTCTAAAATTAATTTGAAAACTCTCAACAAATGACGATATTACATCGGTTTAGTTTTTGTTAATCATAAAACGGGAAAAAAACAACTAACCTTATAGGTTTCCTGATCTCCGCTAAGAATTGTTTTTCAAGTACAATGATTCATCGTTGCTTTCAGTATCTATTATGTATAAACTAAACTGCCGTGTATTATGCTATACCTTGTAGATTTCCCACTTACAACGGTACAAACCCGCGGTGTATGTCAGAATCTTTTTTTTTAAATTTGTATTATTATTCGATGTATTTTAACAATAGTACAGCAGTCTGCGGTATTATACGCGCGCCTCGCAGATTAGTGAACATATTGTGATCTGATGTCAATTATCATACATTTTAATAAAAAGCAAACGTGTGTCGAACGTTCGATTAGATTCTGTAAATACGAGTATTATATAAAAGGTGATAGAGTATAAAATTATTTACTCTTCAGAAATGAATATGCACGTACGACATATACAGTGTGCTGCACTTAAATGGTAACAAAAAATATTTCAGTATTCGAAAACAATTAAAATAATTTTTTTTTTCAACATTGAGGGTTGCAAAATGCACACGTTGAGCCTATATTCTTAAGTGTAACCGTTACCATGGTTTGGGCATGCGAAATAAAACTTGCATTTTTTTAAGTGAAACTCCACCATTTTTTAGCACCAGGGTTGGTTCTATTTTGTTTTATATACAATCCTCTTGCTTAAATTAATTTAAAAAATAATTTTTTTCCGATTTTAATAAAATTAAAATATCTGTTATTTTAGTTATCATAATATGTAATTTTCATAACATTGCATTATAATTTTTTTTCCAAAGTCAAATTTTTTCATGGTTAAATGTATGCGTTTTAATTTCTTTTTTTTAAATCAAAAAAAAAATCATACTTTTAATAATAATTTTTGAGTTATAAAAAAAAAACTGTATATTAATCAAAGTCACGTGTGAAAAAATTTTACATTTCGAATTTAGTGTGAAATAAAAAAAATAGGTTTATATTCCAACTAATAAAATTCATGTTTTATTGCGTATGATCGCAAAGGTTACAATTTTAAAAACAGTCTCAAAATGTGTATTTTAATACCTACGACCGACCTTGCTGAAAAAATTCTACTAAAATTTGTCATGTGACCATTCATGATAAACACAGTACACTGCACTGTATTATTATTACACACTTGAAATCGTAAACTGTACTATAATATCTATAAATTATTATAGAACGAAGCGTCATACCTATAATAACTAACAGGTATGCGTTTAATGTTTGTGTTACGAAACTGTAATCATCCAACAAGTTAAACACTATCTCGTAGATAGGTAATTACTTGCTCATTATAGTAGGTATAATATTATAGAACATTACTGTCAATACTCTTGGTATCTTAACCTGCAATCAAATCAATTGTAAATAAATTGGTAACTTTAATTGGTTATACGATTTGTACAAATGTATAAAAACTATAATACAATATACCTATAATATAAAAATAGCTAAGTTAAAAAAAAATTATTTAAATATACCTATATAATATGTAGAAATTTAAATAATTTATTTCTTCGAGATCATTAAAAATGTGAAAAAAGACCTGATACTGCTGTTGGGAATTCACTATGCAGGGTGTCCCACCGTTCGACGGATTTCCCTGGTGATAAAAACATTCTATATTTTTTTTTAATCTGCCTTTCTTTGAGAAGGGGCATATAATATTGTGAGAAAAATATAATTTATATTTTCAACCTAAATTTCCAAAAAGAAAAAATAACTTTATTTATTCAATTTACAAAATTTTATATATATATATATATATAAAATTAAGAATAATAATATTTAGAATAATATATTATTCTAAAAATTTTGATGTATCATAAATTCAATTCATTACATTCATTAGATCATTCAATTTCTAAAGAAAAGGCGTGAAAAATGCGTAACATAATTGGAAATAACTTGATTTATTGTACCATAAACTTAAAACGTTAGAAATTGAAATTACTATTATTAAAAAACTGTTGATCGGGTATAAATGTATGTATGATGCATTACAATGTTTTGAATGTCTTTTACAATGTGACTATTTTGAGAAGTAAATAGATAAAAAGTTTCTTTCAGTGATTATGGGATAAAATTACAAGTTTAATTTGTCTCTAAATAGATGTCTCCCACAAAGAAAAGCAGATTGAAAAAAAAAATATTTAATATAATAGTTCTATAAAAATGCATCAAACACAGTTGCACAACTTATATTTTATGAATGGGTCAGCTAAGTCATAGTCATAGCAAGCATAGTCATAGGTGGATGGAAAATTTATAAGCCGGTAGAAATTATGGAATATTTAAAATTAAATATCTATACGTAACATGATAAATCATTGCTAATTAAAACCGATTCTGGAAAAAATCAAGTTAAATATATTTCTAATGTCGCGATTTTGTATTGAAATTTGAACTTTAAACAGTCATAAAAAGTTACATTATGTTAAACTTTTGAGAAGCAAATACAACTTATAATTAACCTCGTGTAAAATCGTCAAATATTTCAGGTTAACTGAAAAAAATGTATGCACATTAAACCAAATAGAAACTAAAAAAAAAAAATCTCGAAAATATACGTTTATCAATTTTACCACGTCGGGAAAAGACCAATATAAATATTTTATGAAAATTTCATGTACCTATAATTCTTTTTAATCGAATTATCACAAAATAGAAAATAATCCGTTATTTCCGTAATTTTCATATTTCTACGTTTGTATCTGGCTTTTTTTCCAACTATCATGAAAACTATAATTAGAAAATCGAAAAATTTCGTTATCAATGAACCAACTTCCACAATGCTACGAAAAAATTGCTTGTTTTTTTTTTTTAAATGGAACAAGATTTCTAATAAAAAAGTTGTGAACAGACAGAAAAAAAAATGGTACACATCATAGAAAACCATCACAATTCTCGCTTAGCTCAGAATCTAAAACAAAATAGAAAACAGCGGAAACCGTCATTGCGTAAATTCTTTTGTTTTTCCTACGTTTTTTTTTCATTTTATTAATAAAAAATCGGAATTGAAAATCGACTCACCAAACAGACAACATTTTCATTAAAAAAATATGCTATACACATGATAACTCAAGCTAGATCTCTGGTGAAAGAGTTGTTCACAGACAGAAAAAAAAAACACATCATATAAGACCATATTATAATAAAACCATTACGTTAGTTACTAGTTACATTCAGAATCTAAAATATAATTGAATCATAAATAAAAAAATAATTTGTATGTTATGAAAAAATGTTTGTATAGTCCTTGATCATAGACGTCCGAAAAGTGAGGTCAAGACGGAGGGTATGCTCCCCTAGCATTTAATATGGTAATAAATTTGTTATATGAAAATATTTTTTCTGTGTTTTTTTTTTTTTTTCTATCAAATTATACACTTATTGAATAAGGATAAAATATTGAACTTTGCCTTCTCCCAGAAATATTTCTACGGACTTTAATGCCATCGATTATATTTTGAAACAAGAAGAGCTGACATAAATAGGTACCACATTCGTGGTATTGGTAGGCCATATAATATTAAGGTGGGTAGGCGAGACGAAATGGGACCCATTAACCTACCAACCACCACCACCCAGAAACACCCTGGTTATATCCACTAAATAACATTCTCGCTATGCCACTGTCACAATAATAATATCGGCTAAATATTCGACGTTAATAATTATAAATACAGTGGTATAGCTGAGGGGTGGACGATGTGTGGATCGCCCCTTGGCATTTTTTAGTTTTAATCACTTAAACATAAGCGAAATGGCGCCGTCATCGCCCAGTATAAGTTGCTGTAATAGCCAACCCTTGGACTTTTTTGGCTTGGGTTTTGGTCCTCCTAAAAAAATGACTAGTCTGTAACGGAGAGGAGGCTAAGAACATTCACGAACAATGTAAGGCGGCCCTGTGTTCGACGCGAATATGGGAAGTTGGCGAAGAAGATATTATAATGCAGGAACTGCTGAAAATGATGAGCTTAGCAAAGGTAGCTAACTTCATCAAAGGTCAAAGAATTCAATGGCTAGGTCATATCCTAAGAAGAGGAGAGAATGACATTCTAAGGGCTGTTTTTTAATGGAAACTTCAAGTAAAACGACCACGGAGACGCCCCCAAAAAAAATGAGTTGGATTGACAGAGCGATTGATAGTCGATAGAATATCTAATCGCAATGGGTATCTATAAAAGATTGGCAAAAGATGTTTTAATCACAGCTATATACCTAGTCTATAAATAATAAAATAATATAGTATCTATACCCTTGGTGTACCTATGACAATTATTTGTAAACCATTTCCCTTGATTGAACTCAAGAGTCAAGATACGCCACTGTATATAAGTGTGCATCGATTTTTGGAGGCAAATGTATTAGTTAGGTAACTACTTTAAAATTCGTATTTTTTATAAAAATGTAATATATATATTTACCTAACCATTTTGAAATGTCCGAAAAATAAATTAAGTAGGTAATACCATTGATTAAATATCCTTAAGCAGGTATATTTAATCAATGGTAATACAAATAAATGATAGTACACCATCCATGGTAGCATGGCGTGACATTTTTATCACGTAAACAAACTATCATTATCACCAGTCCTGGCATTTAAATTTTCTTATCACACGCATAATTTGTTGTTATCAAATAAACATTACTACGTTTAAAGGTTTTATTATAATGCAAATTATTATACGTAATTACTAATTACTAACTACAATTTTAAACAATTTCGTATTATAATTTGTAACTGTTGTTATTTTAAATACTTATTCATACACGGAACCTGCGTACTATTTATCACAGTATATGTACTGTGTCACTAGTGCTAATGTAATAATATTGTGTCGAAAACCAAAATCCTTATTTATTTTTCGATTTAATTATTCACACAACGTTCGGATCTAATTAATAATATGCTGAAAGTGATATGTGAATCGATCACTGAATACGATTTACTACCGCCGTATTACGATCACCGTTGCGTTAGTATTATGGCACGTAATTCAAACACCGCTGCCGGTATCACGCTGATCGTACTGTTAATTTCTTAGCGTTCATCTTCAATCAAAAACACTGTCATCATAGTAATGATTTACATGGTAAATAATTATACGAAACATTGTTCCATTAAAATGTACCACACAACATACTTATAATGGAACGCTTAAATAGAAAATGTACAAAACTAGTTTGTGAAAACACAATTAAAATTTTGCATTTTTTTTCTCCCCACTCTTTGCTGTGTACCTCTATTTTAATAATAATAGCACACATATGTGCTTGTGTAAATACACAAAAAAAAATAAATATATTTACCACCTATTGTTTAGACTGCGATTGCGTCAATGTGCCTACAATTATTATGATAATTTTTATTATTTTTTTGTTTTCACTAGTTACCAGCGACTACCATCAATCGAGGATCTGTTCAAAGAACCTCACCATGAAGCATATTATTCCAGTAACTTTTTTCTTAATTGCTTACTGTAAGTACACTGTCATTACTTAAGTACAATAACTAGTAATACATCTGAGTAATTTCCAACAGGTCTGTCTCGTTCGTCTGCGAGTTTGTTTTTCAATACACAGGACATAATATTGCTTGTGAATGATTCTTCAACACTAACATTAACCTTAACGTAAGAACTTTGAATGATTGTTACCTACTTGTCATTAACAAAATATCTCAATATTTATGTGTATGTAATATGACCTGCGTTTCAGGGACAATGTACAAGAAAATGTCACCCTAACTCTCAACACAAATCATAAAGACTTATTGACGACCAATGTATCCAAAATAAATGTCTCAAATTATACGATTACAAAGGAATGGCCTATAAAATTGTTTGGTCATGATGCTGGTCACGACTTGTTAAAAGTTGAGACTTCTGATCCTTCTATAGAGTAAGAATTCTATGCTTTATTTTATTTTGTTTTTGATCATTATGCTTAAGGATCTATCTTTAAAAAACCTACAAAAATGCTTTAAAAAAACAACCAAATATTCTCTAAAATAATTGTTTTATTGAAATTATATTCTAAAAACTTGACATACAACTAATTTATTATTATCAGCGGTATTTATATAAAAACTTCGTTTTGATATGAATAATTTAAAAATGATTGATCAAACTCAATGCTTTTTTTAATTTTATTGAATAAATTGTATAAATTAATTATCTTTTTGGTGTATGGATTACACTTGTTTTATGTTTCATAAACTAATTAGTAATTACTTAAAAATATGAATATACCAAAGCAAAAGTTCTCAGTACCTTCACAATGAGGCCCGATAATTTGTCAAAAAATTAAAAATGCATAATAATAATCTATGTAATATAAATATATTTCAGATTGAAATATAATATAATATTTTGTCAAACTGATGAAATTCAAAATATTTATATTAACCCTACAATGCATTATGTTCCCTACAGGTTACAATGTTTTGGTTTGTCTATAAAACATTATTTTATTTTTGCTGTAAATAAGTGCTCAATGGCCAAAAAAAAAAATGTTTAAAAATTATCTAAGTTATGCATTGTAGAGTTAAATTGATTCAGAAAGATTTTGTATTTATTATAATACACTTTCAACGTTTCATATTATTATAATATCTTATTTACATTTTTTAGTGTTGGTATTTGATGTTATTAAAATTGCAATTTTAAAAATATATTATTGTAGATCTCGTAATGCTTTTGTGCGAGTCACACTGCAACATTCTAATGAATTGGCTCTGATCAGTGTAATTGTTGGATGGATTTATTTTGTGGCATGGTCAATATCATTCTATCCTCAGATGTATGAAAACTGGCAGCGAAAAAGGTAGCTCATTAATGGTTCTTTCTAAAAAGCCTAGCGTATTACCAATATCATGAACTTTCTCATATAAACTACATTATATGTGATATAAGAGTATAAACTATCATAAGAAACCTCATATTTTAATGAATATGTAATAAATAAAATTATGTAATATTAAATGTTTCTTTTTTATTTTTAAAGTACGATTAAATTTAACTATTCTAAATTGTAAATATCTAACAGAAAGCAAAATATTTTATGTACATTTTTAATGATTGACACCATTTAAAAAATTATATAAAATCTAATTTAGAAATTAAATGAACAAAAATATTTAGGTATAGTATAAACCTTTTATGGTTTAAAAATTATTTTTTTATGTCATAGTGGTTCAGGGACCCCCAATATTATATGATTGGCTCATATTAAATTTTATTAGTATAATTATTTTACAAAACAAACCTCTCATTAATAATAATAATTTATTTTTTTTTATTTTTACAGTGTAGTAGGTTTAAATTTTGACTTCATAGCACTAAACTTAGTGGGTTTTATTTTGTATTCAATGTTCAATATAGGCCTATGGTTGCCTGAAATTGAAGTAAGATCATTTACATTTATCATGAATTTTCATATTCTTCAATCAATTTGAGTTTAATTGTTTTATTTACGTTCGAATAGCAAGAATACTTGGCTCGAAATCCTCGAGGACATAATCCAGTGCAGTTGAATGATATATTCTTTTCTAGCCATGCGATATTTGCTACTTTAATAACTGTATTCCAATGTTATTTTTATGAGGTAATATTATAATGTTCGACCAAAATTGATCAATTATTTATGTAAATTGTATTATTATATTATTACATCACATTATTGTCTATAACACTTGTATTACGTAATTATTTAGAGAAAAGGTTACAGTTGAATAATGTATACTTATACTTTGCAGAAAGGTGAACAAAAAGTTTCTCGGACAGCCAAGTCTATTTTGTCCTTATATGGCTTAATTCTAGCGGCACTATTGGTTCTTGTATATCAACAAAAAATTTTATGGCTGGATTTCCTTTATTATTGTTCATATATCAAGTTAACCATAACACTCATAAAATACATTCCACAGGTATGTGTTACCAAAAACATACATTGCATAGTAAAATCTTTTTTCATCACTTAATTTTATAATATTTAGGGGGGGGGCTTTTTTTTTGTAACTATTCAAATGTTAAAATTAAATTATTAGCAAGTTTTATTGTATGAAATATCATATCTGAAATTACTCTATAAATTAGATTTTGTTTTATACATACAACTGTATTCAAATAATTAGATTAAGCAATATTAAATGAACTCTGTTAATATTTTTATTTTTATGTAATTAAAATTAAATTGTTTTATTCATAGGCTGTAATGAACTACAAGCGTAAAAGTACAATTGGTTGGAGTATTGGCAACATATTTTTGGATTTCACAGGAGGAGTACTTAGTATATTGCAAATGATTATTAATGCATACAACTATAGTAATTATTATTCTATATTAGAAATATGTTTTTTATTTGATCATTAATTTGAAATTTCTTTTAGATGATTGGGCTTCTGTGTTTGGCGACCCGACAAAATTCGGTTTAGGTGTACTGTCAATTGTTTTTGATGTTTTATTCTTCTTACAGCATTATGTTTTCTACAGGTATGTGCCACAATTATTATTTTGCATCGTGCATGTCTTAGCTTATTGCATGTTTACTGTACTGTAGCCATCAACTGCTTTTTGAGAAAAAGTCAATTAAGAATTGGAAATTGTAACTTCTGTCTTGCGCAAATGGTTTCGGTGATAATATGATTTTCAAAAATGTACACCTTAATAAATCTCCTTATTCTTTACTGTTTTCAGTCTGAAGAGTTCGAAAATATATGATCTCACAGGTCGCACATAATTGTAGTATTGAAATTATACATTTTTTTTTTTTTTTTATGATAATTTGTATACGTAAAAAAATTAATTTGTATATTTAATTTAGATTAGATTAGTTAATATAAATACTAATACTTTTATTCAAATGTATAAAACATACTATTAATATTATATTGTGCTCAAACAATAATTACTATATTTATATTCGTTCAAATTTAATTAAAATAATTATATTACTTTCTCCTGCGCACATTATTAATCTTTTTAGTTTATTCATTATTAATCATTTTCCCTTGGTTCGTTACTGTATGCTTATAGTATATTTATTAGATACATACAACATTCGAATTTATAGTACCTGTTTGTAGGTATTACTCAAAGCTTAAACACATTTCAAAGCATTTGTACTTAACATACTTCTTCATGGAAAAATATTTATCACTTACAATTATTTAAAAAAAAAATAAAATATTTGTGATTTATCACAACCAAACATTTATTTATTATGATTATTATTGTTATTGTTATTATTTGTTTTTAGTGGAATTCACTACGAAGAAATTGAAAATCATAATGTTGTAGAAGTAGAAGAGAATGAGGTTATTAATTCAGAAGAGCATACTAAACCAACTGATATACCCGACAGTCAGATATGTTAAAACATAACACTGTGTACTTCAATCAATCATAGTCAATAGACAATGATTTGATTACAGTAAACATAAAAATTGTGTAGGTACACTCAAACAAGACTGATCAAAACCAAAGATTTAGGAGATTTACTATTATATTTTGTAAAATATGTGATTTTTTTAAAGTTAGTTTTATAAAAAAAAAAATTCTAGTTTCTATTTTGATTAATAGTAATCTATCAACACACAACATGTTTAAACTAGACATGGTTGTTCACAATGATTAAATTTGAAACTTTTAATCATCAATATTAACTAAATAATTATTAATCTAAACTCTTGAAAATACTTGAGTTTTATACTTACATATGCTATAATGTGATGATAAAAAAAATGTATATATATTTATATAAATATAATCTTTACTATATGTGTTAGCCAGGGGTACAATTAATGAACTATTTACTTACTTTTATTTTCTCATCATATTATCACATTTACTTATTGTACATAACCTGTACAGATTGTACATTGTAACAAAATTTAATTTCAAAAATATAAAGTTAAATAACTTAATAATATATTTAATTAATATCTCTATTCAGCAACAAATAGTTGCTAATGAAATACAATTCTGAGTGAAATTTGGTTTAACATGTTTTGAAATGTTGTTGAAATGATTTTAACAATTTTCATTAAAATTAAACTTGTAAAAAAATTACTTTGTTACACTCTTCTATGTTTTATATTGAGAATTCAACTTGTGGGAGCCCAGCATTATGGTAAACCTAATTATATTTTTAAAAATTTTGGTTTGAGCAAAAAATAATTATATTTATGTAAATTGAATAATAATAGAAAAGCAAAATGACATAATTCCAATCAAATTCGAACTTTAAACATGTATTTACAAACCAAAAACATACTACCAATGTTATGCTTAATTTATCATTTTTTTACTACCTAACCTAACCAAGTAGGTATAGTTTATTATGAATTACTGGTGAAAAAAAAGTTTCAAGCATTTCTGTCTGGTTACAGTTATTTCATCCATTCAAAAAATAATATTTTTAAAAAAATCAAAAATGTTAAATACCTATAAATAACTCAAAGATCGCTAGAATATTTTGAAAATTGTATGGCACCGAGAAAAGGCTAATATAAAATTCTGTGAAAATTATAGAACTCTACTATTATTTTAATTTTATTTACTACAAAAAAACAAAATTGAAAAAAATATTTATATCACCCCCAAACAAAAACTAGTTACAACACTACTGTTGAAACCTATACCAAGTACATATTACTTATTAAGTAGACTTCTCAATCGCGCTGCATATCAGCAGCTCTAAAATTTTGTGCTCACTCTCTATTACTGAAATGTTCCTAAATGGAAATAATTCCCTTTCCATTTCTAAAAGTGGTTATTTATATTTTCATTATAATATATTATTTTTTTCGATAAAGGGCAGTTTAAAAGTGGTGCATTCCTGTTTTGATTTATTTATTTTCTTTGATTGTTTAATAATATAAATTATTATTAAAACATATGACTTGAAACCTAATCCAGCAAACCCAGGGGTTAAATTTAACAAATTATATAAACTATTCAGCATTGAAAATATTAACTAGGTACTAGGATAATTTTAATTAGAAACAAATAAAACATATTAGGTAATGTTTAAATACCAAATGTAAATAAAAATTAAATATCCTTTAAATAATACAAACAAATCTTATCATTTTAAATTCTAACGGATCCAATTATCAATCTTATTGCTGGAAAAAATAACAATTTAAATAATCCTTTAATTCAAATACCATAACAAAAAATCATATTTTAAATAATAAATAAGTAAAGATACTTACCTTAAATAAGTCTTCAAAAATCCAAATTGTCAAACATCTAATTTTAATCATTATTATTTTAAGTTTGCCGAAAAAAAAACTAAATTTTTACTGAAATTATTTATTAATTCAAAACACAAAAATTAGTGAACAACATACACATTACAAAACCATTAAAAACACATTACATAGGTAAATGATAAACATCAACATCACCTACAATCACCTACCTACAACCTGCCTACCTACCTACACACTTTATTAAGAATATTAATTACCTCAGAAGAGGTTACTAAAGAAATTAGAGAATATCCATCATTAATATATTTGGATTTATAATATTACATAAATATTGAATAGCTTCAATTAGTTTCAAACGCTTTATGTTAAGATACCTTAGAAGTATTAAGTTTCAAAAATCTAAATAATTAAGCTATACTTGATTCCAAATTCATGGATGAATTTTATTTGTATCCTCCTTTTGTGTTTAAATAAGCTTTTTCTTGATACGGTGAGTGATAGCTGAAAACTAAAAAAAAATACCTATACATATCTAATAAGTTACAAAAAATGATATATATAATTTCAAAATATAGAGTAAATTGAGTTATGTAATAAAATAAACTATTTCAAAGATAAATTTATCTAATGGTTAATGAATTAACTGCTAAAATGATTAACGTTAAGTATTTCGAATTGGAGATACTTTTACAAAAGACCTTAACAATTTAATTTAAATGAATAACATTACAATTCCAACATAATTATGACAAATTAAAAATTGTTGAATTTTAGTACAAAAAGAAAATATATATATATAATAGATAAGCAACTAATAAGCACTTAAAAATAAGATATTCATATTAGGCATAGCAAAAGTTACGACTATCATTTTCATAATATTCAAGGAGAAAAACGTTAAATATTCTCTAATTTACTTAACATCTAGTGTTAAACTATACTATAATACAAAGTTTAAGCATCATCTGGTATTACTTTTACAGTATTTCACAAATGTAATAAAAGGTTATTTTTAGATACTTAAGCTTTAAGATGTTATAATAAATTTTTCTTAAAAAAATCAACAACTGTATAGTATATGTAACATAGACAATACAGTATAATGTATAATGTGGTAAATTAATTGAAATAGTCTATTATTTAGCTAACAAATTAATTATAGTTAAAAATAATACAAAAAAATGATGCTCATTCTTAACAGCTAGGATTCCTATTTCATAGATATTGGTCAATATTGAAATGGAATATAGATTGTATTTTAGTAATACCATGGAGAATTAGTGACGAATAATCACTAGCTGTTGAAAACAATTGTTCACTAACCTCGTCTGGGACTGCAGTTTGGACTTACTACTGACCATGCCAAATCTGAAAAAAAAAAATTAATTAAAATAACAATTGTACGCTAATCTACACTTAATATATTTATATATATATATATATATGTAATAGAAATCGTAAATGCGTTAAAACCCGAAACTACATCAATGGAAAATGTGTACATAAATGGAGAAATCGGATTATTCAATACGCTATCAAATAATATTAAACTAATTATTAATGATAAACTTTTTAAATTTAGAATTAAAAAGTTATAAACGCAATTATTCGTCGGCTCTTGTTTACAACCATTATATAATATAACGACTGTCGGAATTGATTCTTAACTACGAAATTAAAAAAATAAATACATATGCCTACCCATAGGTGAGGTATTACGGTGAAACCCGTGTGAAACGCGCAGCCGCGGGACCAAAATAATTGTCCGTTACGGACAGGTGTCCGCGCTGTAGACCGGGTTTAATGAAGAACGAAAATTACATTTGTACAAAATTGCATTTTTATTTCTGACACGGTGGTGAACGTTTCCAAAACATTATAAAACGATTTTATTAATCAACTCGCCTGGCCCGTTCCTCTGGGAACCGGTGGGATTCTGTCTTCTGTGTTCCTCGTGACTACGGCAGCTCGCGTGTTGCCGATGCCGAATTTGTCGGCAAGTCTACGAGTAGACGAACGGCTCGGGTCTTTACAACGAACCACGTCCACCTTACGATTCGAACCGAAAGTTTTGCGCGGTACGGGCGGTGACATTGTTGGGGAATACAGACACGAAACGGACGGGGCGGAAACGCGACGCGGAATACCGGAGCGCCGGACAAGCTCTCGAACGTTTCGTGCGTGTTTCTGGTTATCCCGTCGACACGATTTACATTGTCTTTGCGACCGGCGGTGTAGAACGTACAACCAATCGCAATCCGTGTTCAAAATAGACCGGCGACGCCGTGGCGCGGTGCGCGTTTGTAAACGTTTGCGACGCGTTCGACTTCGAACGCGGACGGGCCGTCCGCGGTCGTCGAAGTATCGGGGGGGTGAAAAGTATTGACGTCCGCGACAGAAAGACGTCCGTAACGCGTGCAGTTCGACCACACGTTGGAACGGCCGGCTCCTACTCGTCACAACCGCCCGTTGAGAGAGGTGTCCGTCACGTACGGGTTCCGCTGTGATTAATAACGGACACCCTGGGACATGAACGCGTTCACGGGCGGCAGTGGGCATCGACTGTTATCGTGTTTCGCAATGTTACGCGGTCGGAACGCGTAATACGGTGGAGCGTGTAACGCGCGTTGTATTGGTTGTGTGTACGTTTTATGCTGTACGCGATTTTTTGTGTTTTTTTTTTTTTTTTTATTGTTTTCACACCGGCACAACCGAACAGAAACTATCGGATAAAATAATTATCAATTGAATTTAATCGTCATTTCATGCGTCTTATTACATTAATTACCTACGATGACCGTGTGATAATTTGTTACGTTCCAGTCGCTAGTTCATATTTGTTCTTTATCAACAACAACAACAACTATACAAATATTTATAATACCGACGAATAATCCGTTTTGTTTTTATTTCATTGTAAACGGAAGACAAGTCGCCGAATTGTTGTGATCTGTTAATTTTTTTTTTTTTATATTAATGTGTAAATTGTATTGCTTATTAAAATTTAAAATGTACAGTATTATCGTTGTTATTAGAGAAAAAAAAAAATGTCCCGGTCGTTATAAACTTGTATACGTTTTAGTCACTTCATGTGTGTAACGTATAAAACGTCGCATACGCGTACATTCCAACACCGATATGTATCGTATAATTATTGTACTATGCGAGTTGAATTTCTCAAGTAAAAAAATTACAAAACTATAACGATTGGTCGGAAGAAATTAAATCGTAAATATGAAATATAATTTATCAGAAAATTCAAAATATTATTAAATTTTAAAATTCAGTTGTTAAATCGTGTCCAGAGGAGCTTTGCTAAATTTTAATTTTTAAATTAAAAATTTTACTTCGAATTGGGGGAGGTGGGTTTGGCAGGTAGTGGTACCGGGGATGGTACCGGCTGTCGAGAAATTTGTCAATCGGGTTTAAGAGTTCGGGATCGGGTAGAATATCGGGATGAGGTATGAATACATTTGATAAACGCTTTTTTTTTTTTTATCTGAAGAGGCTAGAGCTCGATTAGAGCCAATGAGTGGTGAGAGTTGTTTTTTTAAGTTCAGCAAACATTTTGCGGTTTTCCACGGCGAGCAATCTTTTTTCGTTAAGAAGTTCGTATTTTTTTTCGAAGTGATCGGATTTGTGTTTACATCTTAGAAATGTACGTGGAGAAGGTATTTTTCATTCACGGTCTAATAAATGTTTTTATCAATTATAAATAATCAAACGGCTAAACAAGTAACTTTGTTTTATTATTTTTTTTGATGATGGGGGTCAATTAATCTTCGGACCGGTTGAATGTGGAGCTCGGTTGACCATAATTACCCAAACCGGCCCTGACCAGTGTTCACTGGTTATACGAATCAGCCGCTTATAGTGATCAGAAATGTCAGGAACGGAACTAACAGTAGTTATTAGTGCATCTTTCGCGGATTATTAGCCGTGTTCGGATTTTCGGTTATAGTGATCAGGAATAGAAATTATACAATAATACACAAAACGAACAAAAACCTGACGATTATTAATTCACAAACCTAATCTAATCTAATGAAAGTGTAGCCCCCCCCCATACATTGTCAGTCTTGACTGTCAATTACATTGATTGTCATTCAAGACTGACCGTGTATGTGTTGGACTGATAACGACTGGCTGGCAGACTGACAAACAAATTTTGTGACAGATACAATTCAAATTAGTAGAGCCATAAACGGCGACCACTGTACTTAGATGGCGATTTAATGTATATCTGTATGCAACGATAAACCATTGCTTACGAAAAAACGATTCTGAGTGGAGTTCAGTTGATTGTGATGCTTTGTCAACAATATATATGTCATTCTGTAGTAAAATAATTAAATAGGCTTTATACATTTTCTTTAATAAAATTTGTACCAATTTGCCCAGTTTTACTACGTTTGTCTCGGTTTTTCCATGTTTTATCCCAGTTTTCCACATTTGCTGAGAAAACTATTGGGAAATCAAAAAATGACCTTCTTAAAGTACCTTCCCACGCCGATTTCCTTTCAGAAAAGGTGCTACACGTAGAAATCCGAGCAAGTCTTCTGGTAGAAAAGTTGCGCACATATATATAAAAAAAAAATAAAACAAATTTACATCTTTGTAAAATCAAAAGATCCTTCGCTCCACTCAGAATCTAAAATACTAGGTACATTTACTTAGCTCGACTTTTTCTCGTTGACCGCTATGTACAAACAATAATAAACCTCCTGTTAAATTGCCAAGCATTTCTGTTTGATCTAACAATCTCATCCACGGAGTAAATACGTACCAATTAAAAATTAGACACGTAAAAAACTCGCGAAACGTTCGCTCCGTGTGTGTTTCCCACGAACTAATGTGGTATCGCGTGCCCGTGCATAGAAAACAGAATCTATCCACGACCAAACGGTTTGGCTGTAAATAAACAAATAACTTTTGCCCAGATCGTACTGCAGAACTGAAAGTTTTCAACGTGGCTATAATATGATTTAAGGTATACCATTAGACTTAAACCAGATAATAATAGACGTAAAAGCCGTGGTTTTCAATGAGGTTTGTGATAAAAACCACTCCAGTATTCCGCGGTGAAATATATTTCCTCTCCGCACCTCCATTTATACCTATGGCCGTGGGCGCATCCAAGGAGGCATTTCGCAATTTCGTATGTCTGAACAACTCCCGAGTATTCGACAATTACCTACAACCCTATAACAAATTATACGGTACTTATTTGTGTCCGTGATAATATGCGTTTTTTCGAACACGGCCTTGCTCTGGTAGTTTAGTCACTAGTACACGGACGTACTACAATTTAACAAATAATAAATATACGTACATACATACACATAATATGTATTATGCCCGATAGTAGCGTAATCATAAATCAGATACGGGCCCGTGATAAACGGTAACAGATGAGTAATAAAGATTAAAGAAATATCTTTATTGTCTTTGGACATCCCTCTCCGCCACGATTCACGATAGACAATACTCTGTCATAAATGCACGCCGTTCACGAAAAATCCTAGTTGCGCTACCGCGAGCACTGCGTATAATCATAGATTAAAATAAACATTTCACAATTACAATGTGCAAGACGATTGGAAACTATTCGTGATGTGGCTACCCTGCGAGTTTATCTGTTGATTGTCGTTACGCCGCTGTTGATAAACTGATATTGAAAAACAAAAACGTGATAATGTTTTGAAATTCAATTTCGTATTTGGTCACGACTGGACCGTTGTAGCCACCAACGACGGTAGAAACCAACACTTTTCGTCGGCCGTGTTCTAATTGTGAAATACCACTATGTTTATTAAAAATTGCAATCGTTTATCCGATCACTGAACCGCATAACTCGTACCGTGCGAGTGGATTGTGCCCAATAGAAAAATTTACTGACCAAGGACCGTCAACTTTACAAGCTCGTACACCATTATCGGTCGTATTCTGCGGTACGTAAAACGTTTATGTAATTTCAGTCTGTTCGTCACAAACGATTTGTTTCATTGTTTTTCGCAATGTTAGTGTGCAGGACATTTTTTAGGTACACGGTTAAATAGTCATGAATAGCGAATACTATGTATTTCACAAAGTTCAAATGTAAGCGAATGTTGTCCGCATTGTAAGAATGGCAATTATTGTTCTGTTAATTCTTAGATTTATTAATAATATAACATTTTATAGATTATAATCATTATGGTTAATACAATAATTGGTGCGTACGTATGTTAATATGTAATATTTAACATTAACTTATGTCGAACATGTTAGTTCTTCGGTTCAGTCATGTGTGTTTTTCATTTTTAATTTTAAAAAAAACCTATAGTGTTGTTTTTCTTATCAGAATCAAAGATAAATAATAGTTTTAAGTTTTGTCCATTCTCTGTATTATCTCTATGGATAACCAACTATATAATTCAAATTTTACAAATAACACGAAAAATGAATAAAAACCTATAATATATGTATGTACCTAGGTAGATACCTAGGTGTTACCAGAAATTTCAATTTTTAATATTATAAAATATACTACGATTATTTATAATCTTTTGTAAACTATTGTAACAAATAAAATATTTAATAATTTAGGTTACACAATCTAAATTCAATCTAGATACATACCTACCTTTTTACTTATATATAAGTGCTAATGATTCATTTTAGATTTACTCTTTTTCTATGTTATTTACCGAACATTCATAAAATTAATAAATTTATACCTAAGTTTAACATAATATATTATTTACTTTTATATAAATATATATTCATTATATAAATATTTTTAATATATATATATGTATATTTTTAGGACCAAACATGGCAGCTACTGATCTAGAACAACTACTATTACAAGGGCAAAAGCTTTGTCAGGATATTGATAATGTTAAGCCAGTGTCTAAAATACATAAATCATTGCGTCAACTTTGCCAAAATGCAGATCATGCTCCAAAACATGCATCCAGTGGAAATGATGAACAACTTGCAAAAGAATTCCTTGCAAATCGTGGTTTGGATCTTGCTAACTATACGAGCGTGTTAAAAAAATTATTTCCATTTCGAGATAATGTTGTTATGCCTTGTGAATCTAAACCCGTAATGGACTATTCCAGTAGTGTGGAATCCCTAATGGGTAGACACATTGAAGAATATATCAGTAATTTAGAAGCATATGAACCAAATAAAGAAGTTGATAATTATTTACAAGACGTTTCAGTGAATTGGAAGAATATTAAAAAAGATGTTGTTTTCAATGAATTCGCATCAGATTCATATGATATATCGTTTTGTTTCCAGAACTTACCAACTGTCAAAAATACATATTTTACGTACAAACCAAGTATTAATTGTCCTAATGATTTACCTGATAATTTTGTTTTTGTTTCTGATGTCCAAAATTATATCAAAGCAAAAGAAAGTAATAAATGTGAAAAAGAATTAATTGAATATTTTTTAGAAACCATACACAGTGGTAATACTAACTCAGCTGTCACACACATATGGAATGTAGTCAAATACATGTACAATATAACTCCTCAAAAACAGCCACCTAATGGGTCCTACAATGAGCGTTTTTTGGAAGAAAATCAAATAAAACTAGTTAAAAATGCCAAAAAATATCTAGAAGATAAATATCAATCTTTTCTCATAAAAGAGACCAAGCATTTGAATATTAGTGATGAAGATAATTACATGGCTGCTGTTATAAGTTCTTATGTGTTTATGAACACCGGCAGACCAGGTACTCGGCAAAATGATTTTTACGTAGATGAACAGTCTATCTGGCCACTGCTTTACTTCAGTTTTAGGTGCGGAAGAATGGATGTCGCTGATTATTTTATTAAAAAATCTTGTTTAGCATTGGATGATTTATTAAATGTTTTTGTTCACCTAAAAGAAGCTAATTTTACAGAACGCTCTGCCTCAAATGTTGGTGTTACGTTGAACAAATATTACAGAACACTTCCATCATATGATAATGCGTATAGGAAGACTATATTCTCGCTGTTGGGTATGGTGGAAGCCAACATTGAAAAAAAACTCGTGGCCAATACCATTGAAGATAAACTGTGGATGTTGTTAGTTGAACATTTTGCAAGCAAGTACATGGAAGATTCAAACGGACCGGATTACAATTCATTACAAAGATATATTTTGGACAATGGTAAACTCTATAAGGAACAACCATACATATATTTTGAACTTTTATTTTTGATTGGACAGTTTGAAAGTGCTATTGACTTTCTGTATCGCAATGTTACATATTCTTATCATGCTGTTCATATAGCTATTGCTTTAAATGAAAAACATTTACTAGCTACTCCCGAATATTTACAAGCCCCATTTTTGTCTAATGAAAATGTTGATATTAAGTTTGTGCGATTGAATTATACAAGATTGATTTTGTTATACTGCAGTGAATTTGAATCCAATTATCCTCATTATGCAACATATTATTATTATTTTTTAAAAAATATTAAAAATCCAACGTTGACTGAAAACTTATTTTACAAGTGTGTTGCAGATTTGGCAACGTCTTTTGACGGGAACATGTGTGATTGGATGTTTGGATGTTTAAACGACAATACAAAAGATAATAATATTTTACAAAATACTTTTGGACTAGACACTGTTGCAGCTATTATTGATAAGACATTAGAACTGTCAATCGAAAAAAATAAACTAGAAGTTGCATATAAACTTTATTACCTGACATCTAACAAAGCAGCATATGGTGTTTTAAATAATGTTCTAAGTAATACTATCTATAACTTTGATGTCCTTGGCCATAGCAAAAATGGCGAAAAATGTAATGCCAGTCTTAAAAACTTTTATGACCGCCTTTATTTGTATTCAGAAGAGTTGAATAAAAAGGAAAACAGTTTTCTTGAAACAGCTGGTCCTATATCAACTTTTCGTGTTTTACGCAGTATGTATTTGTTTTTTTATTATTCTTCTAAACTTGAATTTCTTTCAGCTATCGAGCAAGCTAGCAACACTAATCTAGTGCCGCTGGCTGGTGAAGACCCAAAACATTGTTTAAACAATTGCACCAAGTATGATGAAATTGTTAAAAGAAACATACATCATTTCATTAAGTCCTTAGTAAGTGTGTTATGTGTTGAGCATTCTAAAATTCTAAAACGGCAAAATGTTTCTATGGAAGATGATATGTTAATTGAAGAAGAAAACAGTGATGTATTTGACCAGAGTAGAGATACTGGATGGACAAAACGGCGAATCCAGAATACTATTAGAGTTATATATTTATACGCTGCTCAGCTGCCAGTAAATATTGCTCTTGATGCGGTAGAATATATTTCGACAAATGCATTTAGAATGCAACTCGAATGAAGCCTGAAATGTAGATGTCTATACAAATTTATCCATGTGAAAATAAAATTATTTATTTGTTTATGTTTTATTTTTAAAAGAACTGAACTATTTTTTACTTTCTATTTTAATATATGTTAATAATTATGAAATATTTCAACTTGTAAGTATATAATATAAATCACTGTATACTGAATAATAATAATTATTAAACATGTTAAAACATAAAATAGAAAAAAATGATTTTTAATTAATTTGTATTAGTTTATTTATTTTATAATTTATCTTTGAAAATCGACCGTTTCAAATGCCCCAAACTGTACATACATTAATATACTATTATACTATTTAATAGACTTTACAGCTACAGAAAACATTTATTTGCCACAATCTCTTATCTTTTTTTTTTCAATATTGAATGTTTTCAAATAAAAGCAGCATAGGACACTTGTATGAACATGATATTAGTGAACAGCAAAAATACGAGCAACTGATGGATTAAACAATGTGTGTATAACGTCCTGATACACTAAAAACAAAAACATAAACGTTAAATTACGATGTTACGCTGCACCAACTATACTTAAGTGTGTCTCCGATCAACAATTTAATAGATTTTCAGATAGGTGATATTTTTAATTTGCATACTTATTAATACAATATTATTTCTAGTATGTGAATTGTTGAAATTATAACATTATAGGCAAGTATGTGTCCAACTTTTTTCTATCAGTACCAAGTTGTTGTAGTGTTGGATATCAGAATGCTGAATGACTGTATAATATTAGTTATTACTTACTAAAACGTGCATTTTAAAATTGACAGAATTATATATATTTTTTTTTTTTTTTAATATAAATTTAAATAAATAATTGTTAACATGAAGGGTTAATAAATAAACCATTTAATGAAATTTATTGTTCTCAATATTATTGTTCGTATAGGTATAACAAAACTTAAAATACAAATTTCAGTCGTGTTTTGAGGTAAATATAATAAAATAATAATTAATAATAATGATTTGATAATAAAAAGAAATCTCTACTCTCCGGTTACCGGGAATGGATAATGTTACAGAATTCATTGACAAGCTGGTTAAGGGCGAAAGTACGCCCAGAAACGGGTTGTGTCCAATGCGCTGTCACGGTTGACCCACCGAAACGTTGCCCGTGGATTTTTTCGCTCTTCCGTATGCTCGTTCTGAAAAACCGAAAATATTATTAACTGTACGATATAGGTACCTCATAAGGGATTATGGGTTTTTTTTAGCTTTGAGTACACTTCCAAACATCCGAAATGACGACGGGGATGAAATTTCGTATTAAATTAGTAAAGGATTTATTTTTTAGAGGTTTCAAATTTTACTCAAATTTTACCATTTTGGTTTTTTGATAGTACCTACCTATCTAGTATGTATTATACTTATTTGTGAAAAAGTATGCAGTAAAACCTCTAACGGACACCTCCCAATAACGGATGATTTTTCGGGAAGAAACGATTAATTATCAATAAACACATGTAGACAACCTAATACTGAAGACGGCGTGTGGAATAGATTATTAGACTACATTATTATTATTAAATGCATTCACTGTAAACATTGGGATATTCAAAGATGAAAATTGCATATAACTATTTTTTGGTAAATAGAATAAAGAATTGATTCTGGAATTAGTCGCATTTGTTTTATTATTGAGTCGATCTATTTCGATTGTGCGCCGATTTTATGTTGTCATCATACCTATCCAATTCGTCATATAATTTCTAATGATTGTAAACATTTCTATGATGAGTTGCCCACTAACAAGAAACCTCAACCACAAGTTTTCTGTGATAATGAAAATCTAAATGAAGTTTTTATTTTTAATTTTGATAAGTAGTTAACCAGAAGTTACCATATTTATGAATATAAATTAATAATTAGAATACGGTATGGTGGTACGTTTGAAAATATTTGAGTTTACTCGGAAGTAAAATTAATTCTTTATGAAGGTTAGATTTTTGGAAATCTTTTAATTCAAATACTTACATGCTATTCAATATGTATAATATTTTTAATTTAAAAAAGTCTCATGATAAAGAGGTATCAATTAATTTGTATTTTTTCAATCTCAAAAATGTCAGTTTCAACCACGATTTGTGTACTCGTCAAATTGTTGTCTCCTCTTCAAGCGTGTGGCTTTTGGAGACAATCATTTACAATCTTTCATTCAATATTTTGTTTATTATTATGTTTCTTTAAATGGAAATTTTTGGGCAACCCCTTCACCCTTAATTATTTGTTCAACACTTTGTGATCATAGGTATATTAGGAATAATTTGTATTTTTTATAGGCCCGAGGCCAACCTGCTGTAATAAGTATTAGGTACATAACAGTAGTGTAGCCAGGATTTATGGGAGGTTTAAGGAATTCACAACCTTCTTAACCTTCCCTATAGCTAAATAAAAAAAGCATTGGCGGGGTAGGTTGTAATACTCCAACCTCCCTAGCTATGCTAATGTAACTAATATCTTCTGCAGTTAAGTATTTATACTGTAAACTTTTTATTTTAATTGTTGGTACATTATACTCACGTAACGTTTGTCTCGACGAGAATGATTTGCATACAAAATGCGATATTTTTGGCGAACTCGGCGTCACTATAAACGTGCAAGAGTCCTTCAGTTATCAGCGAGAAGTCCACTCGGTCCGTTGTGACGTCCGTGTTGAGTTCCATGGATCCCTGTATGCTGACTCCGCCGCTTTATCGAATAAAGTAGATAATATATGTGTTTTAAAAATTGTTTAAAAAAATTATCTCGAAATTAACGGAGAGCCGTATTCGTATAACAATTATGAGTTCTCTCAATGCTTTTAATCGTATAACAGTCTAGCGTTTCAGCGGCTCTCGACGTTTTTTAATGGGACGTATAGAAAACTGATTGTATAATTCACCGTGGTGGAGTCAAAAATTAAATTTTAAGAAATTGCGAAATATTTAAATTTTTAAATCTTAACTAAGTCAATTTTTTAAATAGGTATATACACTATACAAGCTTATACGGAGTGATCAGCATAGCGTAAGACACTGATAATCTCGAAAAGTATTACATTTTTTCGAAATTCGTTTTTTAGATTATTTAAGCAAGAAGCAGTTCTTAAATTTTAAATAACCGTTATTTTGGGGGTGGTGAAAACAGCACTAAAGCTATAAAGTAGAGGGTATATTATAAGGTATAACTTGGGCCAGGATTTAAATAAACTTAAAATCCATAAAAAACGCTTAAAAGTTGTACAAAAAACCCCTTCAAATATATTTAAAAATCAAAAATAGTAAAGGGTTAAAAGTTCCCATCCAATAAAATTAATTTTTTTTTTTAAATATTTGATTAGAAATACGTAGGTATTAAAAAAATTATTTAATTTGGATTGACCATTTATTAGTATTAAATAATTTTATCTATTAAGTTAGAGCCGTTAGTGAAGGGACTTTAAACTCCTCTGCCATTTTTGATTTTTAAATATTTTGAATGGATTTTTCATCGCTTTTTTACTATTTTATGCGCATTTTTGTGAATTTTAAGTGCATTTAAATCCGGACCCCAGTTATAACTATAGCATTGTACTTGGTACACAATACAGTATACACTATGACTATATAAGTCACACGGTGACTAGAATATGTATACGGTGTTTATTCTAAATGATTTAAAAGTAAATCGCGTATACCATCCATTACAGCCCTGTTTGAAACTGCAACTTTATTTTTGATTTGTATTTGGGATCCCATATTAAAAATGCTATAAATAGACGAAGTTTTAGTTTAAATAAATGTTGGAGTTGGCATTTTTAACTTCTATAAATGCGTTGACGAGATAATACACTTTTAAGTTTGCCGTTTTGCGGGTAGGAAAAGAGTAGTGGAGTATTTAAACACCACGTGCCGCGCTACTGTACCAATTGATGCAAATTATACTCTACTACTCTCTTTCTACCCAAACTTGTGAAATCTCGGCAATGGGTTAACAGAAACTGAAAATATCAATGTATGTAATGTATTTAAACTAAAACTTAATTTATTTATGGAATATTTAATATAGGACCCTATTTGAAAATCAAAAGTGGTCTAGATAATCTGATAGTCGGATAGTGATCTCACCTCCAAAAATAAGAATGACAAAAAATAACGTAAATGTAGAATTTTAGAGCTGCTGATTTCTTAAATGTTTTAAAAAACAAGTTCCGAAATAATTTAATACTTTCTGAGATAACTATAGTGCCTTACATTATGCTGGTCACGCTGTATAACCGAACGATTATTAATTTAAATCTGCTACGCAAAATCTGTTGTCCGAATAAACCAGTAGCGGTCGGTGCCACTGAAATACTGCCTGTATGCGAATTCTACTATAATATGAATTGTATTCTTACTTTTTCTCGATTACTGACTGTGCATTCTTGTTCCACAGACTCAACTCCATCTGGCCGGCAATGTCCAACGACAGTGTCCCCTTGAGATTCAGTTTGGCCGTGATCCCGTTGCTCAGTGGTAAGTATTCCAGGTGTTCGATCATTTGGGATATGCCCTGCAGCAAATACGGTTGGATCATGTTTAGTAAATATATCTTATAGGCTTGTCACGTTTTTTCACATATATGGTAGCTGTATAAATGATGTTATCATCATTATTGTATACAAGCCCTGAATAAGACATTTAAAGGCAAAACGTTTCTTCAATGAAGGTTCAAAAAGAATAATAACCATACAACAAATTGTTAATAATTATTTCTCAGTTTGTTTCAATATGACAATAATATGTTTTAACAAAATAAAAATTATGATTACCTACTGTGTAGAGAAAAAAAGATCTCGTGTATTTTATTATATAGAAGTAAATAAATATATTTTTATCAAAAAAAAAAAAATGATTATTAGTTTTCACTATAAAACTCATCATCAGGCCACGAAAAATATTAAAAGTAATGAAATATCCAAAGACTTCAAAGTTAATGAACAAGGAACACAATTTGGCAACAACTGAGGCCTTTAGATTCTTGTGGTCCGCGGGCTATGGCCCCTTATACCCCTCTGATCCGTGTTTGATTGTATAGGTACACACCTGAAATATCGGCGTTCTATCCGACCCTGTCCCTGCCCAGACATGTCCCATAAGCTGACCCTGACTATTAAACATGACGAACGGTCTGATGTGTACGCCGAACACGATTAGTTCCAAGCCAGCCGTTGCCGGTAGGTTCGCCTCGTCGGACGTGTCTTTATTGCCCGAGTCGTCGTACAGTGACGTAAAGTACCCGAGTCCGGTGCTGAACAGACCAAACTGAAAATAAAAATAAAAAACAAGTGAAAATCTCGCTGTAAACAAGAATAATATGAACGCACGTTGCACAGATCGTACTGGACGCCATCGCGTTCGAAAACAATGTCCACCGTGCCGCGTTTCGTCACTCCCGAGTAGATGTGTTGGGACGTTTTCACAAGTCCGGTAATGTTGTTGTGGTTGATAAACTTTCTGGAAAACGTCGATGACAAGCCTCTCTGGGCCATAGTACCGTAATGGTTCAGTCGTTCTCGGATCAAAACCGTTTGCAAGAGGTTTGCCGATTTTTCGTTTCTGAAAGACGGAACAACAATTTCAATACTACGAAAAACACCTTATTGTAGCTGTTTCCATCAAAATACAATTAGGCATCTATTGCATTATCCGTTATTACGTCTATGCTCTCTCTCCCTCTCGCCCCCTTTTCACTAGACGAGTCTAACGTTTAAGAACCTTTCAAATGCCTCACTGGTTTGCCATTTCCTTCAATAACTCCAACGCGTTCTGTTTGATTTCGTACGCTTCTTTCGGTACCATGAGCCATTTGATCACGTGTTTCAGCAAATCGTAATCGGGATTGGATTCCAGAAGTATGCTTAGCGCTATCAATCTGGTGCTACTATCCTGTTCTTTTAACAACTGAAAGAAGATCCTGTTACAGTACTTCAACACTTGGCTATTCCATAGATTCGGGCCGAAAACTTTGATCGTTTTCATGGCGTATGCACTGATTCTGAAATAACAATAACAATATCAATATGAACAATAACAATTGCGTTACATATTGTTTTTAAATTTCGAGCATAGCGAATTTTATTTGAAATAGCAATACGTCTTTTCTTCTATATTATTGATAAAAGGATGTTTCTGTTTGTCTGTTATGATGGATAGTTAAATATATATCACGTAGTGGCTACAAAATGTACAATCAACTAGACAGTATTTTTCTACTAAAAACCACTCCTGATGTGGATGATGTGGAACAAGATTTTTGCTTGAAAAGTCGTCCATGGACAGAAAAAAAACAATTAAAACCATACACTATATAGTAAAACCTATATTTCATAACATAACAATAGCTACGCTCAAAATTTAATCTAAAAAAAAAAAATTTAAAATATGTATCAAGTATGCAAAATATTTTTCCGGATGCAAATGACCACCCATCGCGGTTTTTTGGGACAATAAAAAAAAATCACCAGCATAATAATATGTTACTATCATTTGAATATTAATTTTAACTTTTATAGTTTATATCATCGTTTCTCAACCATAGGGTCGCGACCCAATTTCGGGTCTCGAATAATTTTAAATGGGTCACCAAGTAATAAAAACGTTAATATAATAATTTCATTTTAGACTACCTGTATAAAATAGTTTTAAAAAGAATTAATGAAATATTTTTCATAAATTATTTTTCTCGACAAACAAGTATAAATTTATAATTTTGGACCATAGTTTTTCAATATTATAAATACACTTTATCGGATCACATTCACAGAAACGATTAAATTTGGTAGTTGTTGACCAGCATTTGTATTGGTATCAAATGTCATTATTGTGAACTTCACAAGATACCTATTACTCGTTAAGTCGTATACATTAGTTTTAAAATAAATGAAAAGTATAATAGTTTATTTTAGTTATGGCAATTGAAAAATTAAGTAGGTTGGGTAGGATGGGTAGTCCTTCGTTGGGGATTATTTTCAAAAAGGTCGCATGAAAAATTGTGTAAATATCTTGGGTCGCCAACAAACAAAGATTGAGAACCACTGGTTTTTATGCCACTTATCGCCTGTTCATGTATTTACGTATGCTAGTCGAGCTCGGCACCATAGTAATGAATTCGGGTATGTACGGAGTGCATCTTAATCTACCATGTGTATCCTACCGCTATAAATTCAGCACCCCATTCAATGAATTTTCATTAAATTCAATTTATTTAAATATTTTGTTACAATCAAATGTTTAGACAGGTGAAAAATGATATAATGTTTGTTAATAATCGTCAAACTAAATAAATAATAAAAAATAAAAAAAAATAATCGAGATTGATAATAGATAAAACTCCGTACCATACTTCAATTTAGCACTATGGCACCGAAATCGATTAGCATACACAAAAACGTCATACGTCTTAATCGATTTTTTACGTGAAAATAATTATAGATACCTAAACAGTACACAGATATTGCTTAAAAAAATCACGTTAATTCTTACTTTCTGTTTCCGTTTAGTGCATAGTTCAAGAGTGTATCGACCGACAATGGATGTTTGAGATTGGCCAATGCCCTGATATAAGTCAGTAAACATTCGTCGTCGTCTTTTTTACATTTCCCCAGTTTTTCCAACGTTTTTACGACTAGCTCGTCGTAGAGCTGAAATCAAACGAGCGTATATTTTTATTTGGCCGTTTGGCGGGAAACAAAGATAAAAATAAAAATTAATGTATGTCATTTATACGCGCAACAAGTTTTGGATAAATAATTGAAAGACTTATCGCTAAATCGAAAGAAGGAAACTTTTTATTAATGAGCCAGTAAGTATGGTTTTTTTTTTCAAATCAAAACAGGGTAGTCACATAATTAGTATGCGAGAATATTGTTTTATATACCTATATTATTGTGAGTTTTTAAAATAAGACTATTCTTTTTAAAAATTATTAAATTTTGTCTCCTTTCAATATGATTCTGACAGCGATGGAAACGATGGAAGTATAATATAAAATATGATTAATGACGTTGAATAGTGACGTTTAATCTTGTAGTAAAAGCAAATCGTCGTGTTCTATAATTGCATACTCACGAGGACATTGGATTCCGTGCGGTCGTAACGGATCAAACGATTGGCCATAGCTGTTACAGTGTTGTAAACGGTGTCTTCTAGTTTTTTACTGGTCATTTTACGATCAGTGTACGACATCAAATCTAAAAAAAAAAATACGGTCACAATGAATCAACAAAGAGTTGAGCCCGAATACGCTCTAGTGTTATGTACTTTTTATGATTTCTATTTTCGGATTAAAGTTAATCGATGCAGCCCACAGATATCTTTCTACTTTGTCGACGTTATCGGGGTCGGCAAAATTTAACGTTTCCATTGCGGCCTTATGGGATTTTTCGTTCAGAGCGGCTCCTAACAGATCGTACAATTGAATTCTAAGACAGACCAAACGTTTTGACTGTAAATAATATTAAGTAGGTATGCAATATAATAATATTTAATAAGTACATTAATAATGTATAAAATGTACGAAAAACGTTACACAAAAGTATCTTACACAATATCCTCATTTTTTTCATGAGTCAGTACTTTTTTTATAGTATTCGTATCGCTGTCAGCGATAGATTCCATCACTTTAACGGCGCCGTAAGCCGATTTCGATTTTCCAAGTTCCGAATCCAACAGTGAGTCATGGTGTTCGTTCACTACGTCATCCAACTATTTGAAATTATAAATGACAATAATTCATTCCGTCGTCGATAATAAAAAGTACTTCCGTACGTTCGGTTTATGTTAAATTTACCGTGTCGCACGTTTTGTAGTGTTTACAATTTTCGACCTCGTGTTTTGTATTCAAATCTTGTTTGTCCAATTTGAGTTTGAATTTTTTCTCCAATTTGTCAATCGCTTCGTCAAGACCGTTCGCTATTACAATTTCACCATTCAATGTGGTTTCTGCGAAACAAATTATTAACACACCTTTATTTTAATACCAGTCACCAACTCGCTATCATCAGTGATTTAAGTGGGGAGGAAATGGTGCCCCCTTCTTATTTAAGGTTAAATTATCATTCCTCTTTAGTGTAAGTCTTTAAAGTTTGGGAGAATATTGTCCCTGAGACATTTTTAATGCAGTTTTAAAAACTTAAATAATTTTTATTAAAAATAAAATCTTTAACAGCTATTAAATTATGCGTATTCAGAAGATTCTGTTTTATTTTATTTTTACTCAGCAGGCGTATGCGTAGGGTAATATTAAAGAAGGTGGAGTTTATTTTTAAACTCTTTTGTTATGAGATTTGTATGTAAAAATACGCGTGAGAGAAAAATTTTAGATGTCTTAAGATAATTATCTCCATGATGAGTTTCCTAAAAGTTTGGTTAGGTTTAGTGAGTTCTCGCGGGAACGTCCTTAGTTTTCTATTAAAATTGTCCCCCTTCGAATTTCTTTATACTTTAATCATTTAAATTCGGATGTTGTAGGCATTTTTTCCCCTCAATGTCCAATATGAAGTTGCGTTAGCTATAAATTTGGTCCATGCTATTTAAGATTAGTACACGAAAATTTATTTTCATTTTTTTTAAAAATTTAAAATTACGGAGTTTTTATAAATATAAGTGCGTTTTTTTTTTTAGGATTTCCGGTGCTTTTTAAGGAGTTTGACTGCTTTATTGTTTTATTGTAAATGTTTTTTTTTTATTAAATATTATACCGAGTTACAATACCCGAACTCTAAACAAAACATATTTATTTTTTTATTTTTACGGATCAGGTATAAGTACAATTATATAATATATTAGTTTAACAATATTGGTACAAATTCATAATATTAACACAGAAAGTTCACATTTATAATACAAATAAGAGGGATGATATAACTTATTACTTAAAGAAATCGTTTTCAACCGGAGCATTGCCAAGATATTGCAATGTTCTTATAGTGATTTAACATGTAATTTTTTGAGAGATGAGAAATCAAAATAATATTATAATTAATGCAAATGTTTGTTTGTTACTCTTTTACGCCAAAATCACGGATTGAACCGAAACTTTGCATTGATTTACGTCTAGACCAGGAATAACATATAGGCTACTCCCCCATCTGCACTCAATCCCTGAAGGGTGACTCATACAGGGTAATTGGTATTTTTAGTTTAAAACAAACAAAAAATAAATAAATAAACATGGAAACAGAAAGTCACTGAGAAACACGGTTTTATTTTAGATTCCAAGTGTAGCGAACAATGTATTAGTTTTACAAAGATAATTATTTTAGATTCTGAGTGGAGCGAAGAATGTATTAATCTTACAATGATGATTACGTTTTTTTTTTATGCGAATACTTTTTCTACCAGAAGGTTTACTTCGATTATCAAGTATAGTACCTTTTCTGAAAGGAAATATTCTCTGGGTGGTATTTTAAAGGGGTCGTTTTTTTAAATTCTCATTAATATTCGAGATTATGAGGAAAATCTGTTACCTAAGGTTAAAAAAGATTGAAAGATTAAAAAAACAGTTATCATTGGCAACGGGTTTATTTATATTTTGTTATAATTAAGTTTTTATTATTTTAATCTTTTTAAACAAACACTGTTGTCATGGAAACGCACATTGTTGTAATCATTTTACCATAACATGACATATATATTGTTGACAAAGCAACATTTTATCAACTGAATTCCTCTTAGAATCGTTTTTTCGTTAGCAATGGTTTACCTTTCTACCTAACCATCTACAACAGTGGCTGCACCCGTGTGTGAAGTGACTTTTGTTTGTTTATTTATAAATTACCTCGGCGTGAGGATGAAAAAACAGTTATTACTATCTAATTTGGTTGTCACAGTAAAGGAAGTACTATAATGTTTAGAAAAAAAAATTAACAAATTAAAAGGCACCAACGATTTACATTGTGATAGAGATAAGGGTGGAAACGGGAGGGGGACAAATTTTTTTTTTATATTGAGCCCAGAAAACCGGGTAATTCAACAAGTAAACGGTAAATCGACATACCTTTTAATTCTATGCGTTGTTTTACCGACACCGAAGCTCCTACTTCACGCATAAAACTAGTGAAAAACTCGTGGTCTTCATCAAACGACACTCCGGTCAAAGACTCGTTGATGTACGTCAGTAAACCGGCGCGGTTCGAATGCAGTACGCCTCGCCAAATCTGCGCATAGTGCGGAACAACGCGATCGGAGTGTGGTATATAAATATTATTACTATAGTAGACGTTGTTTTTAACTAAAATTTACTTTGTCGGGATTTTTAATTTCCGGCAGTTTTATCGTAGACGCGCATCCGTCGATCCGTTTCGAAACGGTATTGTCGTCTATCTGGGCGTAGGTCACATTGCATTCGCCGAGCGTTGAATGTTCTACAACCCGTTGGTTGGATAATTGAAACTATAAATAAAAAAATAAAAACACGGCCGCTGTTAAGATTACCTACGCAAAAGCCGCATGTACTGTCTCCGTCTTACAAACGTACGACAAAGCAAATTTGAGTTTAGCAACAACAATAGTTGTGCCCTTAGTTTTAATATCGGAGCGAATCCACTAACAACCGAATTTAAATATGAGAATGTTATCTGTGCAACGTCGACACTATTTTGTCGATATTTTAATTTTCATTCGGGATATGCGAATTATTTCATTATATTTCACACTCGTATTTCTCTTAAAAGTTAAAATATCAAAAAAATATTGTCAATCTTACGCAGATAATGTTCTTATTTTTAAGTTTGATAACAGGTCAATTTATTCTAATGTTAAAATTAACAGCACAATATCGTCCCTGCTGACAGAACATTTTTCATGTCGTATACAGTGGCGGTACTTCAAAATTTAAGCCCGGAAGCGAAACGTTCAACGCGAGGCTCCGCTCATCCGGGCATACTCGTATATTAAGGACGTCTTTCTTATTTAAATACTATTTTAAACATATTTTTTTTTTAAATTTTAATTTTAATATTACTAAATACGAGTCTTATAATATTTAACTTGGTATTGATAAATATATATATATGCTAGGAATAAAACCCGAAGTTCGGCGATTAACAGTTATGATAAAAGGAAAAAAACTATGAGTAATTGTTTTCACAAAAACGTGATCATACACAGTAATAATATAATACCTAATTTATAATTGATACTATAAAGAAAAAAGATTTGTTTGCGAGTTTTTAATGGGTGAGCTCAAAAACTGCTAAACTGGTTTAAAAACTTATTTCACCCATAAAAAGATACATTATCAGCGTGTAACACGGGCTGTATTTTATTTTTAAAAAAAAAAGATCCTTACGAAAATTGCAATAATTATCTACGCGAATGGTCCCGGGACCGTATAGCGTTTGCCAGACAGATAAAACACATGCGGGTTTTTTTCGGGCACAGGCCCATTTAGACTATTACCTGAAAAAGAGCGGCGATTCCTTTTCTAAAGTTTTCCTCGGCTCGTGAATTAGTGGCAGTGGCGTACACGTTGACTACGCGTCCGTTTTTCCAATGCACAAAAAACGGCTGGCCCGTGAACTTATCGACGTACGATTCGCGGTCGACAAACTGACGGCCAGCGTCGTTTTTTGATTTTTTCGACCACGTCTGCAGTTTGGGCGACTGTAACTGGTATGCAGTAGAAATTGAAAAAAAAAAATGATCTTAGATTAAACAAACGCATTGATCGAATTGGACCGGCATATATTATATTATAGCTTACGGTCAAGGGTCGTGTTTTTTTACAAATTCTTAACGTTTACAATCGTAAAAAGTCTAAACGATTCTAAACAAAACACATAATCAGTTTTAATATTGTTGTATTATGAGATTTGTCACACTAACGGGGTTTTCGTTCAGAACACGATTTACAACATTTAACACGGTTACCGAACTCTCTTGCCCCGTGTACAGTCTTCCGTATTTTTTGTTTTAACCGAAAGGACGATTTCCTACCGAACACTACTTGGACTGTAGCCCAAGTAATGTACTAACCAATTACCCACGCAAGGGTCATGCCCAACACCCGCTAAATGTATAGATGGAACGGTTAACCCGAAAATTGGGCATCGCATCGTCACTGAATTGTATATAATAATTACGTGTGAAGTGTTGAATGTGTATAATAATCGATAACATAATAATAACGGTCATATAAAATATGCGAGAACAAATATGTACATTAATCGATAATATAACGATACGAGTAAATTATTTGTAGAGTTCGTAGTTTAAATATTGTTGGTTAATTTTTAAGAGACTCGCGAGACTTTGCACCGTGCAACACTCGACAAGACACTGCGGAAGGATTAGTGATTATGGTTAGGCCAAACGAGAACCGTACAAATTTAAAAATAACTAGAAATTAACGACGGATTTTCGATATTTTCGATACATCAGCCGTCCGCTAAAATAGCAACAGACGTGCGTAGACTTTAAGTTCGGATCGTGCCCGAGCAAAATGAATTTATTAGGTGAATCCCAATACCCACCCCCACAATCAACTTTTATTACCTTTTAATACTAGATAATACAAATTAATAAATAATTCTGTACACTGTTTTTAAATTAGTTTTCATAATTATATCAATTACAAAATTGAACATCATAGGTACACTTCAAAAAAGGAAAATAAAAAGTTTTTTTTTTAATAACCAGTCGATAATCATAGTCTATAAATAAATAACTTGGATAATTACAATCAAGCCAGTATATTTGGTTACATAGTCGTAAAAGATATGAACGAAATTGATAGTGAAGTCGAAATGTATGAACTGATAATTTTAAATTAAGAAAAAATAAAGTGATGGTGATTTTACAAAACATAAAACTTGTACCTACTGCAGTTATCATATGTCAACGGTTGAAACTTGTTTGCGCACAAAATCGTGAATAATGGAAACGTGTTACAATTTTGGTTGTACATGGTGTCTTAAAGTATAAAGATTATTTTCAATCGGTGTTTACCATCAGTTGTCACTAATAATACGTTATAATCGCGATTACTGCGCTCACCAAGTACATGAGTCGTATGGGACAAGCTTTAATTTTTTTTATTGGTATATTTTTAATTTAACCCTATTTTTGTTAAAGTTTTTTCACCAATAATTGATAAACTTTGTAAGTTATAAGTTATAAGCTTGTAACAAATCTCTTACCTATAAATTTTAGTTGAGTTTCCGATCGCCGCGTAATAACGGTGGACGCTATTTGTTTAACATGGAGAGAAAAACGTTGTATAATATGAAATAAATTTAAATTTCGAGAGCATAGGCAATCAAAATATGGAAATTGCAATGTAGCAATGTTGTATGAGTATAATAATTTTCCACCATCACTAATGACCAGGGCTGTGAATTTATTGCATTTGCATGTTTTTATTATTTTTCAGTGTATATTTTGCCTGTTTTTAGTGCATAAATGCATGCATATTTCACACTTTGGAGGTAGGTATACAGGTTAGATACATGCTAAACGTGGTTCAATTTCTTTGAAAAAGGTTTTTATTGTTCGTAAATTGTGCGCAAATGAATTGTAAAAAAGGTAAATGTGCACAAATGAGTTGTAGCCATGTCAACATAATAGCAAAAACAAATGTTTTCATACAATTTTCGGGTAGTGTCCAGACACACCCGGCACGCCCAGTGCACACGCCTATAATTACCGTAGCGATTTGTCCAGTTTCGCGTAATTAGCACCAACGTAATGAACGGTTACCATTTGAAGTTAGCAAAGTGTATACATTTTACGTATAAAAACCCTATACATTTTAGATTCTGAGCGAAGGAACGTATTGGTTTTACAATGATGTTTATTTTCTTTTTATTATCAGTAAGCAACTATTCTACCAGAAATCTTGTTCCGATTTTCAAGTGTAGTACCTTTTTTGAAAGGAAATTTTGTCTAGGTAGTTATACTTTGGAGAGATCATTTTTTGTTTTTCTAATCGGTTTTCATAATAGTTGTGAAAAAACGTAAGAAAAAGGGGAAAATTTACAAACTGTACAATTTTCAATTTTATTTTTTGTTGTGATTCGGAAAACTTATATTTGCTTTTTCTAAACGTGGTCAAATTTTTAAAACATTTTGCAACATTGAGCTATTTATAGACATTTTCATTTTGCGAGTTTGTACGTAATTTGTATTCGTTTTATTCGGTAGATACTCTGTGGATAAAATTGTTAGACAGAAATGATTGAAAATTTAACATGAGGTTCATAATAAGTTGTACTTACAGTGGCTAATAAGAAAAAGTTTGAGTTAGATATAGTTTATTTTATTTTTTTATAAGAATTTTAATACCAAATTTTGTCGAAAATCTAAACTATCGAAATAGTAACTATCGGCTTTTCAAAATATGTATAACCCAACTGTGCTCAGAATCGCTTTTCGTTAGCAATGATTAATCATCGCGTACAGATATATACATTAAATAACCTACCTTCCCAACTTCTCATCAACAACAGTACCCCTCCCCCCCGTCATGCAAAGTGTATCCGTTCTAATATTTTTTCATTCCACGCCACTTTTTAGTTTTTCGAAAATCTCACTACTCCAGTAGCAATTAAAAATAAGAACTGATATTAGTTATGGCAAATTTACACATTTCGTGTTTTATTTTTACAATTTCATCATCGCTATATTACTCTCCCCCTACATGTAATACCTAAATTCCTTCCCCCCCCCGTCAGGAAACACTGGTATAGATTACGGTGCTCAACCGTGTTATGAAACCGAAATAAATAATAATAGTGCCCATAAACTTCTCACGATTTGGGATTAAAATGCCCAAAATCGTTGTAGCTGAATAAATTAATACACAGCCGCCTAAGTACTCTCCGGGAAACGGCGCGATACAAATATGGTGTAAAAATACACTTTTACCTACGTCCGATTTGCTAGTTCCGCGGTTTTCCGGTTTCGGTTGAGATTTTGTTTTTTTAGAACGACGGAACACACAAATATATATTTTTACAGTAGTGTCTTGTGTCATACTCGTTGTACGCCGTTACATTGCTAATCATTTTTTTATTGCGTTCGGTTGTACATAAGTTCGAAAAGCCGTTTTTAATATTGCATATTACGTGAAACTCATTTGTGTTGATGAACACCAATGATTAAATTGCAGTTAATGAAATTTAGTATTGTAAACAAATAAAAGTATTATTATTTTTTTTTTCCGGACACTTTTGTTGAAATTTCTTACTGGACCCAAGTTCGACCGTTAGCTGTTTTTATTTTTTATATAAAACACACATTAATAATGAATGTGCAGTAAAGGTATGCTTGGTTTTACTCACGTGCATCAGCAACAGTTTTTCGCCGTCGGCGGCCGGCGACCATAGGTTGGTGACCGCCAATCGACCGACCAACCGGTGGCCGACCGGACTGCCGCCCGTTTGCCGGGACGACCCGTCGGCGAGCACGGCGGACGTAAAGTCGTACTCGTGCTGGACGCCGGGCGGCAGCAATCGCGGCGGCGGCTGGCCGTCGACCGCGGCCGCCAGAGCCAGACACCACCACGACGACAGGAACGCCGCGCAACAGACGGCACGCGCTTTATTGGCCGCGGCGGCGTCCCGGGCGGACATGATCGACGGGACGGTACGGCCGCGTCCCCGGAACCGGTCACCTGGTCCGAAAACGATATTAATATTATACACCTGACGCGTATGGTAATATTATTGAAAAGAACAATTAGCCGACGGCCGACGTTCGCAATCAACACGATTATAATGGTATTATTATTGTCGGCGTTATCTTATGCGCGGGCCAATCGCGGCCCACGGAACAGCGACACCGGACGGACGGACGGACGGACAGGAAGACGGATACGCACGCACTGACCGGCGGCAACGACGACGGCGACGAGGACGGCTGCGGACGCACAGGTACAAACTGCGCGCCGCGGTTACCACTACCACCGTACGGTGTTTTCGTAGTTACCGAACGCCTACCTGTGGCACACCGGTACACTGACCCGTAACGTTGAGCGCGCCGCCGCCGCCGCCGCGGTTCCTATCGTTTCCAAGACGACCCCCTCCAGAGACTACGGCGTCTTCGAGACACCAGTCGGTACGGCCGACGACGGGCGGCGTGTTCGTTTAAAATATTTTTTTCTGATAATCGCGTCGTACGATCAGCGGCGTATTTACGGGGGTGGTTTACGGAGATATATCACCCCTTCGCCCCCTCAGTTTGACGTTTTATCAGCGAGTATTATTCGTATGACGCCATAGGTAAACATTTCCAAATTTTAGTAATATTTCAGTAATTAACGAAAAAAACGTTACATGTCAACACTTCGAAAAAATCCGATCGTACATACGTCTCAGATGTTGACCGCGCAACGCATTTTTGTTTCGGACGAAAATTATACCCGGGTAATCTCATACTTTGCGGCCCGCGAGAGATCGTTACCGGTGTTCGACCGAAACTCGTCCGATTCCCGCGCATCCCCATCGTCGGCACACCGGCGCCGTGAAATGGAGCTCCGAACCGTCACTGCCGGTCGTTCAGCACGCGCATGAAGGTGCCGATCTCTCGCGGGCCGGAGTGTAGTTATTTGATTTCAAATGATAATTATTTCAGGGCAGATTGAGTTATGAAAAATGCGTTGTCCAAAAATGAATTTCACACTGTTTTACCAGAATACGAGTGACGGTTTTCGAATCCCAAATGTCCCGCCGCGCGTCCGCGAGAACTCGGAACGCGACAGCGGTCCGAAGCTTTCGTCCAAGTCTTCCGGTCGTTATCAACGCTTTTTCCGACGACCGTACGAGAAAAATAAATCCGGATTAGTGGTCGCCGTCCGTGAACGCCTCCTAATGAACCGAGCGCGCGCGCGCGGGCCGCCGCTCCCGACCACATAAAGGTCATCATCACGTGTTCCACTCGGCGTGCACTTCGAACCTCGTTCCGATCGGACAACAATAACAATATTATCGTGTAGTAGTTAATTTGTTTGGTTTTTTTATTTTTTTTTTTTTATTATTATTATTATTATAAAACGCTCGCCGGCGAAATCCGAGAGACAAAAGCGGTCACTCGCTATACAAGTCAATCGGCCACAGTTTCTTCGAGGAGATTGTGCGTTAGATTTTGCCCGTTTCGAGAATGATATCGTTCAAAACCCCCGTAAACGCGTGACCTCCGCTAACTTGTTAACGTCCGTTATTATCGCTACGCACAGCCGGGGTTGGGTGTGCGATCCGTAAACGAAATGATAAATACCTCCGCGATGAGCAGTGACGATATTATTATAATGTTATGCGGCGGGACCGGTTTCGCCGGGCCACGCGTGACGGTATTTCTTCAACGCTGCACACGTAACCGTTTCGAAATAAAATATCGGTTACCCATCGCTTGTTATCCCTATGCCGGAGTTCGGACTTCCGGAGCGGCGAAAGACACGAGGAAAAAAAATAGATGTCCTAGGATAATGGGAACGGGTGCAGCCGCCGTTATAGGCGAGAAATCGGGAAAGCGGCAGAGGGGAAATTCAACGTATACCCGTAAGTAACGGTTAAATATTGTTAACGAAAAAAACGATTCCGAGCGGAGTTCGGTTTGATGGTGTCGCTTTGTCAATAATATATATGACCATAATACTATGATGGTAAAATAATAATAACACATACGTTCCCGTTTATTTGGAAAAATCCTGAGAAAATAAAAATATGACTTCCCTAAAGTATACCTGCACAGTAAGATTTCCTTTTAGAAAAAGTGCTACCATTGTTAATTGGAGTGAAATTGCCGGTAGAAAATTTGTCCATAGGAAAAAAAAAAAGGCCGTAATATTTTTTGACTATACCTACATTTCGTACATTTTCCCGTTTTTCCTTCCGGTAACGGTAAAACGTTTTGAATATGCCGTGATTTTTACGATTTTCGTTAAAACTTGACGCTAAAAGCAAGACGCTTATAAAAAATTAATAACTTCTCCATCACGCTCAATTTTCGTCAACCGAGTACTACATATATAATGCACCTCGTATTAAGTTGTTAAGCATTGTATAAATCATCATTATTTGGGCGATAGTAAGTTCCGACGCGAGGTATAGCAGGTAAAACTCAGCCATGGGTTTGCGTATGTAAGTTCCGACCCGAAAAATAACGAACCGTTACGTAAGTCCCCACACGAATAAAAAAATACACCTACAACATCTAAATTTCTACACGAATAACAATTATAACGATTGCAAATGACCAATTTCCTTCCCACTTTTTCCAGACTTAAGACTGACGACTAAGTCGGTGTGGTTAAAATTTGTTTGGTGTTTGTGTTTTGTACGTTTTGTTAAAATAGCATTTTTATTTTTCAATTCGATTTCGACGATAATAATGTGTGTGTATTTTTCGTTATACATAAAAAAAAAAAAAATCAAAAATGCGGACGTCCCGACCGGACCGGTCGCCGGACCGCCGCGCGCAAACTCGCGCAATAAAATACTAAAATGTTCAAAAAAAAAAAACAAACGCGTATACGTACCGGCGTTCGACGGGTTCCGTCGGACGGCTGAGGATCTCGTCCGACCGGTCGAATCGTCCGGCATCGCGTCGTCGTTGCCCGTGCACCTCGTCTTATTAATGTTATCGTTGCGCGGCGCCAAAAGTCTCCCGGACCGTCGGCCGACGCGGAACGTTATTCGCGTTGACGGCTGTGTGGCGGTGACGCGCGTGCTCCCGCATAACGCGGCCCCCCGCGCTAATTGCCGAAATCGGATTCCCGGGCGCGCGTCGCCGTCGTCGAACGCGCGGCTCGTTTGCATAATATTGTGTAATGTCATTCAGCGGTTGAAGCCTTGGGGGGTGTGGGGAGTTTGAGGTTTCCATTGAGGTACGTTGAACAGTCCCGGTCGGTTTGAGTCTTCGAAGTGGTCCGCGGGGTACGCGTTGGTTAATTTTTTTATCGCTGCGGTATTTTTTAACGCGACGGTGACGATTCCAATCGGTTTTAACTGAATGGAAAGAATCTGTCCTGGGATGATAATGGGGACGGGTGCAGCCACTGTTGTAGGCGGGAACTCGGGAAGGTAGGATATAAACGGGAATATTATGTGCATCTGTGTACGCGATGAATGACCGTTGCTACCAGAAAAAAAACGATTCTGAGCGGAGTTCGGTCGATAGCGGCATTGCTTTCTAAACAATATATACACTATATATACATGTCAGATTATGGTAAAATGACTACACAGGCATTAAACATTTTCTGTAATAACATTAGTTTAATATTGTATATATTTCCTCGATTTCCCGGTTTTCTCATGTTTTTTCTCGGTTTTTCCCATTTATTGGGAAAACTCCTGGACAAATCATAAAATTACTTCCTTAAAGTACCACCCCAGTCAGATTTTCTTTCAGAAAAAATACTATCACTGAAAATCGGAGCAAAAATGCTGGTAGAAAAGTTGTTCACAGCTAATATAGTTTTTTTTTTTTGCAAAGAATATGCAAACCTACTGTAAGTACGTACTGACATTTAAGACTCAAGGACTGTTACCTATTTCAAGTTACCAATAAAGTAAACTTCGTTATTGACATACTTCGTACGTGTTCTTATTCGTATAATTCAAACAATTTTATTATATTTTTTACAAATTAGAATGTTTTTGTTTAATGAAACGTGTAATACAACTAATACTTGAGGGTGGTATTGTAGTACCGTTGCAATTATAATTAGATAAGCTCTAATAACCATTATTTTATCTAGATGTAGAACTGAATGAGAACTCAATATATAATCGAAGTACTTATGTGTTAAATTTTTAAGGCTAATATACGCGATGCCATTTGATCGCTTAATTTTTTATCCTGCCTATAACTATACATTTTAAAGGAAAAAATTAGTAACCTAAAACTAAATTCCGTATATATATAGTGATGTAAAATTACAGTAATAATCTTTTCCAAAAGAATATTTTTCAAATTGGAGAATTTTTGTTGGGTATGTAATTCTCTTTTTTATTCGTTTCTTATCCGTTTATAATTTATATTAAATAATATAGCATATTTTATATATTTTTTCTGATGTTAATAGTTTTGCATTTACAGTTTCATACCCATGTATACAGTCATACTTGATTGATTTTTATGGGTATGACAGTTGTCACCTGTGTCACAGATTAAACGAACATAATATAGAAATCTATGACTATATCACGCGTGTGAGTGTGTGTCTTGATTTGTATGTAGTTGACACACGTCAACTCGTGTGCATGATTATAGATGAGATATTAATTTGTATCTGTAAACAACGATAAATCATTGGTTACTAAAAACGATTTTGATCAGGGATCAGTTGATAGTGATGCACTGTCAACAATATGTACGTCATATTATGGTAAAATAATTAAATAGGCGTTATATATTTTCTTTAATAATATATGTTTAATATTGTATCAATTTTCCCGTTTTTCTACGTTTTTCCCGGTTTTACTTATTTGCTGGGAAAACTCTTGGGAAAATCGAAAAATGATCTATTTAAAGTACATTCCTAGTCAGATTTTCTTCTTTTAGAAAATGTGTTATCATTGTAAATCGGAGCGAAATTGCTGGTAGAAAAGTTGGCCACAGAAAAAAAATCATAGTATTTTACTAATATATTTCGTACATTTTCTCGATTTTTAAAATTTTTTTCCCTTTTTTGGGAAGACTATAGGGAAACTTAAAAAATTATCTCCTTAAAGTACCACCCCAAGAAAATTTACTTTCTATATCAAATCTAAATCGGAGAGGTCTTTCTGGTGTAAATACGCTTTATAAAAAAAAAAAAAGAAATAAACATATTTGTATAACCAATATATTCTTTGCTATACTCAGAATTTAAAAATGAACGGTTTGATATTATATTTATTTATGCATAAGGAACTAAATATCTACTAAACAAATTTCTGAGTAGTGACTGATGAGTAACAGCAGTATACAGTTAAGTAATTAGTTTAAACAAAAATTGCGTGACGCCGATGAGTAAGTAGCGACACGCGTCTGTGTGTGTGTGTGTGCATGTGTATTGACGTATTGTACTATTGTGTGTTGAGTATTGGCTGTTGGGCTGGTGGGTCATGAACTCATAATTTATTATTATCATTAATTATATATACGTGTATACAATTATCAATCATTATCATCGATTATATAATATAATATATTGCGTATATATAATACAGTACACGACCAATGCTATCATGATACAAATATATAACAACATCAAGATGTCAAGAGCTAATAATAGTGAAATGTTCCCATTACCTACAGGTGATAACTGAATACATATATTAAGAAATCATATTTAATATTCATATTATAATATAGTATGAATTATATTAAAATTGTAGTGGTGACGAAAGTTAAATCATAAACTGCAGTCTATTAACCTATTTATCATAACACGGCTAGTTGAAGACCTATCAAAGAGATCGGTGTACCATGTACGTGTTACACCAAAAAAATATTCAGAAAAAAGAAATAACCGATTAGAGTTCATTTAGAGATTGGTGTATGTGTACGTTTAGTACCGAATATTGTCAAATACTTAATGTACTCCTGCGCATAAAATATGTACCTCAATATGTTGGCAACATTGAGTTTTATTAATTTATGTAAAAAAACCATTTTTCAAAATATTGTAATATACACCGATCTCTTTGAAAGGTCTTCAGTTTATAATTTAAAATGTATAGCCCCTAATATACGAATATCAATAATTTACATTTTGTTGTAGTTGGCCGACTCTGGGGACTTCACCGCCTTACCACACGGTTCCTTATTATAAATCATTAAAAAATCTAAATACTTTTGATCTGAAATGACCCTAATCCGAAACAGTAATATTTGTACGTACACTGTCGTTGAGTTTTTTTTATCATATTTAGGTAATTAAAAAATAAATAAATAGACAACGAATAAAAACAAATTTCTATAAAAAGGTAAACTTCAGCTCCAAATAACTTAAAAAATATAAGTATTTAAAAAAGTTAGCTAATGAAAATATATCGGGCACTATTTCTAGAAGATGTATTCAAGTTATAGACTCCATTATTCTAGGACAGCTTTTGTAGATTGGCCATAAACATAGTATTTTCGTTATATTAATAAATTAAGTATATCTATACACAGTTTATAATTTAACAAGAATACAATTATGGGATATTCTCCCTTTAAGGCAATATTAATGTTAACAGATAAACATGTAGTTTTGGGTTCGGGTTCTTTTTCCTCCATCCTAGTTTTGAAATCCTAGTTAAACTAGAGAGTGCTAATATCATTAGTATCACGATGAAGAAGTTTGCGCTACCACTGAGCGCATGTGTATCTTTAATTAAGTTAAATTATGAATAAATATGCAGAATCCCCATTCACCAAAACGGGATAGGGCCTACCGGGAAAATTTCGAATTCCTAATCGGCCTATTCACCACTGACTACTTGTTTCAATTACATTTACTTGTAAATAAACATTTATTTTCAACACCAAAATCGGATAAATGGATATTTGATTCAATTTTTCGAGTATTTTTGCTAGGTCAAAATAGTCTTATTCATATAAAACCAAATAAAAACAAACCAAAATTTGGATGATTCAAATACTTATAATCATAAATTCATATATAAACTTAAATCGACGGAATATTTTGAAAATGTTACCACGTGTATAAAAGATGTTAATTTTTCTCTCTCTCTCTCTCTCGCTCACACACACACACATACACGCACACCGTGGCAAACATTATCAATACTTAATAGCATAATATTGTTAATCGTCTCAACTTGTTAGGTTCATTACTTTTAATCGTTTTATAAACTATTAAGTAATTTAAAATGCATTAATAAATCAATTAAAATTAATATGACGGGGCAAATTGTTATCTGTGTGGATGTCAATTTTTGACCGGCTAAATCAGAACAATAATCTGAATTCAACCAAGTAGATCACCTTTTTTTGTTTCGCCGTATACAATCGGACTGCAGTTGTACGGTATTTAAGATTGTTTTATCTTGTCGGAGTTATTGAATTTATCTTTTTTTCCTAATTAGAGATTTTTTCATTTAAATAAGAGATGAAGACCTTCACTGGCCTGTGCGTGGTATTGGCTTGCTTCGAGTTGGCGATAAGTAAGTGAAATTTTTATGGAGGGGTGGATTTTTATTTTTTTTTTGTTCATAAAGTTTTCCCAGCTTGACAATGTTTTTGGCACGGTTTAAGGAGATGAAATGTAAATGTAACAAAGTTTATAAAACAATATATTATTTACAGTGCTGACACACTGAAACAGCAAATCACCGCATTTTCGTTCCCCTTAAACAGTAAATTCTACAGAAAACGAAACACGAAATATTTCGTTTGACGAACTTTTTTAAACATGTTTTTTTACTTGTGATCGTGTTTACCGTTTACGTTTTGACCGACTTAACAACAGCTTCTGAATAGGGCGAAGAAGCTAACGTTTTAATAAGATGACTGAGTAATTTTTAAAGAGATTTTTGTTTCCAACGATTTTGTAAGAAAATATTATATTATGTATAGGAGAAATTCCACTCACTAGTTGGGGAGGAATCACCGAAAAAAGCCCACAAGTTAAGGGACGAATGTTTGGTTAACTTACTGGTGGAATTCTTTTTTAAGAGGAGTAGACACGCAGTGGATATTTATCAAAAAATAAAATCTATATTTTAGTTTTCTTAAACTTATGAAGTGGTGGTGTAATCATAATTATTATTTTAGTCTTGAACTAACCATGGTTGGTTTTATAATATCTTACAACTAATTTTAATACAGTCATTAAAAAGACGAATATGTTGTGATAAAAAAAATCTAATAATAAGTTTAATAATAATAAAAAAATAAAATAATAATAATAATAATAATAAAAAATAATAAAAAGTTTTCTAAATTCAACGAGTAAAAAATCATTTATTGGCGTTTATATGGAAGATCGTGGTTTATTTTCATACGAAAATCACTCTGATATCCGTAATCGAGTTTTCTCGTTTAGGGCAATATTCTGCTTATTTATTTTAATATTTTTTCTCTACAAAATATATATATATATATGTAATTTTATTTATCTATTCAATTAATTAAACTATTTTCAAATAGATGCGATAAAATTTAACACTCGTTATATTATACGTATGTTAACTGGGACGGATGCGAAAAGTATGTTTGAAATGTACAAAAACAACGAGTTAGCTGCTAACTGTTAACAGTTATAACGCTTGCGTTAGAAGAAGAAGATGATAAAATGAAGAAGTTAATTGGAAAGGGAAGCCTTCTAATGAGCGTTTCTGATTTTAAAATTGTGTTAAATTTGTTATTTCTTTTTTGTTTTTTTTTTTTTACTCCGTGGATATAATTTTTCTAAATATAATAACATTAAGAAAAATTATATCCAGATAAAAATAAGGATTTATTTTCGAAAAAAAATGGGTAAACTCTGCAAGACCTATGCGCTATTGATACACGGTAAATGCATTATAACAATACTAAAATTAAATAGTATAATCAATCTTTTTAAGTCTATTATTATAAATGTTTAATGTAAAAAGAGAGAGAAAAAAACTAAGGATAATGGGTATATGGTATAATATCTATTATATTTTAACGACCCGACGAATTCGATAGTGTCATACACTGAAATAGCAATGATTATTAATGATTTATCCATGTAGTGCTAAATAACTCACGACGATGTATCGTGCCACGAAATAGTAAATAATTTAATAAAGAATAGTGTGGACGATTTTGTTAACAACTGAAATAAGTAATACTACTAACAATTAGGTATTAAATGGACTTCGAACTTCGACAATAACAAATAAAATTAAAATACATATTTTGAAAACAAATTTCACATAGTTTCACTTTTATTTATGAGCGCAAGGGCAATAAATATTATATTTACTTAAAAGTAAACGCCTTTTTTCAACATCAGAATAGGATATTTCTATTTTTTCAAATCGTGTTAAATTATCGTACAATTATGGCGAATTAAAAGAATTGTATCCACATAAAACCAAATAAAACTAAAATAAACTCGAATAATTAAAATATTTATAAATAATTAAAATATCGCTAAAATATGTTGAAATTAATTATTGAACGATATCTAGAGAAGATATTAGCCTTTTATACACATACATGCATATAGAGCTCCCATAAATCATTAATTTAATGTTTTGGGATAAATGTTCCAAAAATGTTGTAAAAGTATGAAAGTAAACTAAGTAATTTATTAATGAAAATGATCAAATGAAAAAAAAAAATGTCTGTTCTCGTATAGATATTTGTTACGGATATTATGATAATGGTTACGTCGATATCCAAAGACAACCTCCTCAATATGTTCCGCAAGGTTATTTTTCAAACCTTCCAGTAGAGGATGTCTCCAAATTTCCTTATCACGTAACTGAATATATTCATTAACGCATATAGAAACATATATTTAATTTTCGTACATTTTTATAATTTATAATAAATGTATTGCACAGGTGGTAATTGTAGACTCGTCTAATACCATGACAAACCCCTATAACAAACCACGAATAGTGTGCCAAGGTGCTTTAATCAACAACAATTGGATTATTACGTCAGCTTCTTGCGTCTGGATGTAAGTAAATATTTATAAAATGTTCATTTAAAATATTGTTAAATTAAAACGAACATTTCGCTCATTCCTCCCACCAAAATGTGATTTTTGGATTTTTTAATTTACCAATTACATTTACATTTAGTTTGTAATTAGTGTGAATCCGTGCCACAACGGTTAACGTAAAACCTAAAAAAAATATAGGGGACATTTTGCCGGCCCTTCCTCTCCCGTTTTTGAGCAATTTAAAATTAAATTAGCAAATTAGCAAATTAAAATTTAACTAATGAGGCAGTGTTGCCAAGACATAGTTACGGCTTTGTTGACAATATTTTAAGAGGACGCTACACTCGCTTTTATTACCTTAGTCTAACTAACAGGAAACATAGCAAAATTACCTTTCTCTGAACGAAAATTATGGCGTTCATGTTAAAACTATAGGCTAAACTCAAATAAAAATATTTAAAGAGGATAAAATATTCGATGGGTAGACGTAGTTTTTTTCTAAAAATTGTCATTCAAACAATTTACGAATAATTAAAAAACAAAAGCTAATATGGTTACAACATTTTTCTATCAAAGCTTATTCGAAAAGCTACATAAGGTCTTTAAAAATATTTTTCTCTTTACATTTCGTTATATTTGTGTTTAATCTTTAATTTCAATTTAAACGTCACAATTTAAGTTTCAAGTAACGCAATTTTGCTGTTATCCATCTGTTGGACTGAGGTAGTAGATGAGAATGTGTATCTTCGACAAAAATGCCAGAAAGTTAAAAAGCCCAATTTCATTATAGACACTCAAATGTGATCCGCTGGAAAGAAAAATAATATACATTTAATATCCTTTGTTCAGGAATTACGGAAACCTACACCCTGAAACGACTTATGCAGTAATCGGTACAAACCGCTTTCTTGAAAACTACCATGAAGGTGCAAACATTTATAAATTATCGTACCCTGTATTCCATCCGCAATTTGACACGCAAACCGGTAAAGGTAATGACGTGGCATTGTGGAAGGTGAGTATTTAATGTAAATATTATTTTATTGACATTTTGATACACCTGCAGCTGTTCAAAAACTCGCTTGGAAGATTTAAAATAGTAGGATACTACTTATGGCTATAAGCTTTAAGTGGAAAACTAGAAAATTTGGGTATATAGTCACGGGTAATGTTAACAATTGGATAATGTCAATATTAGCCATATGTTATCATTAGCTGCCATAAATATTATTAAATGTTAGCTAATGTTAACATTAACTGGATAATATGATATTATCCAAGAACTTTTGGATAACGTCTTAAACACTTTTATAGAAATGTGTAATGAATGAAATAAAATAATTTTAAAATATAAGCAACATTAAATAATTAAATATTGTAAAATATTAAAGCCCACAACTGAAAACATTTTGTTAAATGGTCGTAGTTAACCATAATAAAGCGAAATTCGCCATCAGATTACGATTGCATATCGATGAGATCAACCTAACAACGACTATTCGTTTCTGAATAAATAATCAGTTTAATTACAAGGCCTTAACGTTTTGATAACGTTTTTGTTTGAAAAGGTCGGCAAAATTTTAAGAAAATAAGTACCATTTCTTGAGTCTAGTGGCCCCAGGATTCAGCATAATTAATAAATATATATATTATACTAGCTGACTTGGTAGGTAATATTTTGCTATTGCTAGATTATAGTGTAAAAAATAATAATAATAACAATAGTTTTCTTGTTCGTGATAATCAAATTATCAACCATTTTTTTCTAGTCTGTGGACACGTTTTTCCCTAATAAATTTGTTCCGGTTTTTACGTATAGCAAATTTACTGAAATTTCAAGTTGTCTAGATGGTACTTTAGAGAGGTCATTTTTTGATTTTCGACGTCATTTTTAAATAGATGCACTTAAGTGGGGGAAAAAACGTAGGAAACGTACAATTTCACGATTTCATTATTTTATAAAAACACAGACGATGTTTTCTACAAGAAAAAATGATTTAATCGATAAATCACAAGTTACCTTTTTGATTTAATTTTTAATGGTATCATCACCAATATTTTTGAGCCATTTTTGAGCTTTTAAGGAATTTTAATTTTTGTGAGTTTTTAAAAATGGGAGTTTTATTCTAAAATTGTCAAAATGATCAGACAATTTTTTTTTTTAATAAGCGTTTTTAAAACAAATTTAAATGAAAATCGAAAAAAAAATACGGCACTTCAAATTATGTATTACCGAATTGTGCTCAAAATTGTCATTCGTTAAGCTATGGTTTATCGATGCTTGCAGATATAATTGAAATAACCTGTCCTACCTTTCCAATTTCTCACTTACAACAGTGGCCGCTGCCATCACCAGTATCGCTCTTTTTTTAATTTTCGATTTTGCTCAATTATTTAAAAAACCCACAAGGAAAATCAAAAAACAACTGTTTTGGTCAAAAACTAGGTTAAAAATTCAACAAAATTGTTGAATTCTTGTTTTTCTATTGAAGTAATATTTCTGGTAGAAGACATCGTGCGTAAAAATTGAAAAAAATGAAATCGTACGCCGAAAACTTTTCGTTTTTCATTTTTTTTCTCCTGGTTTTTCCAATTATTATGAAGACTAATTGGAAAATCAAAAAATGATTTTTGTCAAAATCTTTGACAGAGTAAGCTCGAAGGAAGGAAACATATTATCACTAGTTCATTTCATTAGTGTATAATATTTCCTACTTATTATATTATAATGTATATAGATACTTTTTGAACAAAATTACTAGATATAACATTAAATACGTGATTTTTTTATATTTCAGTTGAACACTCCTATTATGAATCCGGACTACAGTAGAGTTATTAATTTAGTAGACCAACCCAGGCTACCTATTCTATCAAATTGCGAATACACTACCAATATAGTAAGTTCAAAATATTATTGTACGCCCTAATTGTCAAATACGATACACCATATAATATTAAGTATAGATTGATGAGTAGTTTTGTGAAATTCAAACGAAAAACTCGAAATAATGATTACCCTGAAGTGATTTGTGTTTCAGGATCATACTTTGTACGGAACCAACGCGAGATTGATGAATGTAAAACCGTGTGAAACATTCGGTGTTCCTGATGACATAGGCAATTGTGTGATGATGAAAAATACGCCACACGATAACACCAAGGTGATTGCGTAATATTATTATTGAAGTATAAAAGAATCAATAAATATTACATAATTTATAAAGTATTTTACAATTCATTGTTTTAAATCTTATAATAATATTTTACCGTATATTTGTCATCATTATAATTGAGTTAACCGTTTACAGTTATAACTTTTAATTTATCTGAATTTTTTTTATCATAATCCAGTGATTATGTATGAGAGTTTTGATTAAAATTGATTTTAGTTTATTGTAGTCTTATTTACCATATACGTTTTCTAAATTGTAGGTACACCGGTTTTTTACACAATAAATTAATATTATTTGATCAATGTTTGTTATTAAAATCATAATCTACGCTTGTTAAACTGTGTTCAAAATATGTTAATGTGCTTATTACTTATAATAATTAATAAGTCATATTGGATGTGCCGCACATGAGATTAAGATTTGAACCGGAAAAGTTGGAAAGGGGTGCCATTTATTTAAGAATGTGTAATTGATTATAATATTAATATTATAATATTAATATTATAATCAATTATAATATTAATTAATAATTATAATCGGTTTAATATTATTTAATATTTAATATTATTCGATATGAGTGCTGTGCAAATGACAATTTTTAGAATAATTCTTACCTGTTAATGTTTGAATCTGTACATACATTTTTATTAACAAGGGGGTTGCCATTTGAAAATTAAAAGTTAACATAGTTAACATAGAGAAATATCTGTATATCTGTACTCAACGATTAATTATTGCTAACAAAAAACGATTCTGAGCGGGGTTTGGTTACACGTATTTTAAAAGACCGTATTTATTTACGGTTCTCGTCAAAATTTGGTATTAAAATTCTACAATACAGTTATTTTTTTTTATTTACTACAAATTACGGCTTATAATGAACTTTCTGTTAAATTTTCAAGCATTTCTGTTTAGTTGAACAATTTTATCCATAGAGTAGGTACCTATCGAATACAAATTATGTTATAAACCTCGCAAAATTTAAATATCTCGAAAGTGGTTAGAATGTTTTGTACATTTTACCACGTCTAGAAATAGCAAATATAATTTTTCAATCCAAATGCCAAGTCTCTACGAATTTTTAATAAATCTAACGTATCTAACAAATTTTAAAGTGTCATAACTTCAAAAATAATAATTTCTGATAATATTTTTACACCATCTTTTTGAAATCCTCGAAGTTTCATCAAGATTAAAAAAATGGTTGAAAATCTGAGGGGTTACTAAACTAGATTTGTTCCTTAATTTTATATTACAAATGTATATGGTTTGAAAAAAGTAATGGAATTTATTTTATTTTATAAGTTACATAAAAACTATTTATAATTTAATTTATCAATCAGTTTTATGTTTAATTTTGTCACAAACTAAAGTAACTATATGAGTAACAGCTACTTTTAAATTCGAAACTGCCTTTTAAATTCATCTTCTTCTATTGTCTCTAAATAATTAGTTCGTTCCTTGAGCACTCGTGTTCATCGAGTTCAAATAATATTATTTTATTCTTCTGATTAATCAAAAGAAGAGACTAATTCATAAATATTAATTATACCTGCATACACCGTTACAATAATATTGCAATAAATAAAAATTAAATAAATAATTATATTATCAATATAACTAACTTAATATTATTATATATTAATTATTTAAATTTAAAACAATAATTAAAAATGCAGCTACATATTACTGACGTGTTGCAATTAAAAATCATTTAAAAATACATAAATGATAAAGTTCACATAAATATAATATGATTACAACGCATTAACTACCCAGTTAGTGTTTAACTGGTAGAAATTCTTTCAGTTAAAATAATCGTCGAGTTTATGAAAAAAAAAAAAAAAAAACTGATAGGTTATATTTAATCTTCTATGGCAAAAAACGTTTTTTACTGTCATGTAGGTTTATAGTTCATTATGAAATGACCTGAGGGTTTTTTTTAATCGGGGGATGATAAGGATAGCATTAATAGGGCTTAAAAATAAACTGCATTTTCCTTAATTATTATTCTTGATTTATTATCATGCTTAGTAATAAGTTAATAAAAGGTAAAACTGGGTCTGATTACATATAATCGAATAGGTAATAAAGATTCTCTTTTTAAATAAAACTAATTTAAGTTTTTAAAATTTCATTCAAAATGTCTCAGTGACAATAACTGCATCATCCTCCCGGACTTAGATGAATTAAGCAAAAAATAACTGATAAATATATGCCTTCATGGTGTAGTTTTTCATCGATTAATCACACAAATTATTGTACTTTAAATATATCTATAGTCTATACTAACTAAAGTTTAGTTATCAATGTTTTACTAGCTGCAATGTGTAATTATGTATATATTTTTCAGTACTTTGAAACAGGATGTCCTCTCGTCTGTGATAATAAGCTGTACGCCCTCAGAAATGTCGATGGACATTTCACAACCGCTTACAACAGTAAGTCTTGGATGGATCAAGTAATTAATGAAAGACAAAATTATGTAAGTGAAGTCTTATTCCAATATTACCTGCTTAATCGTTGAACCTTTTTACCAATAATTATTTTTTATGGACTTATATATTGTTGTAGTAAAATAATATTTCATTATTGTTAACTGATATAGTACGCCTAATTTTTTAGGATAGAAACATCCCTTCCACGGAATTAACGACATTACGTAGTCCAATGCCCCGGAATCCCAGAATAATGCCTGAATTCAACGAAGAGAAACCATACACGTCAAGTAGTAAGTAACAGAAGTAACTATAAATTATCAATTAACAAATAAATCTGTATCTAGTATAACGTGGAATACGCAATATAATAAAATATTGAATCGAAATAATTAATAATATACAGGGTGTTTTACAGTGTTATTCTTATGATATTTATTCTGTCAATCATTTTTTTTTTTAATCGGGTAAGGTTATGTGAGGGGGGCATATAGTGTGGAGAAAATTAAAATTTTTATTTTCATCCTTTAATTATTGAAAAAAAATAACTTTTTATTTTATTACTTCAACATTTACAAATTCTAAAAATTTTAATGTAACTTATTCATGTCCGATCAATAGTTTCTTAGCTATAGTGGCTTTAATACAGAGTTGATAGATCAAGTTCTCAGAATCTGGTTGTATAGGTACCTATAATAATAACTGTTCCATTTTTGTGATAACGTTTTATGCATTTTGACACAATAAAACATAATAATAAAACGATCTTATTTGGAGAATACGACAATTTCAAGCAGTGCCGATATCGTTTTATCATTATAGGTTTGTTAAAAAAAAAATTTGATTTGTTGTAAACATTATTATTAATTATTTTAATTCCTTTTATTGTAATGCTGTTGGAAACATCTTATTGAGTGTCAATTGTCTTAATGTCTTCAATATTAACTTATTTACTTAACATTTTTATGAACAAGAATTCTAACGTTCTAATTTCAACTAAGCGGAACGGACGCAAAAGCTAATATTAAATTAATAAACAACGTTTCTGTGCGTTCTGGTCTACTTCGAGCACTGAATTTACTCAGTTTTTTTTATGAATTTAATATTTTAATTTCATTAGTTAATAATAAGCCGGATGAATTATCGCTGGCTGATACGGATCAATATAACAAGTTTGGAGACTTCGGAGAGCTTTACAACTCATTCAGGTACTTATCAAAATATCAAAAACAATTGGAAAAATGAAATTTCCAATTGAGCAGAATGACTAAAATATACTGGTAATGGTGCCTATCAACACGATAAATGTGTCTATTTATGGGCCGTACATTACGTACCAAAAAATAGCGAATGATAAATATACGCAAAAAAAAATAATATACTATACAGTAATAATTTAGGTAAGAGAGAATTTTTAAATTCGAATGGTCGAGGACCATTGTAAGATTTTAAATTCCTTTAAGTTTTTAAAATATTCTGAGGTTCTGATACTGAATGATTTCCTTTTCACATGTCTTTTTAATCTTACGTCACATTTTTATATTTTTTACTTATTTTTTGTATGCGAATAGATTGTAATACATCAATATAAAACAATTTCGAAAAGAAAAGATCAATTTCAACATTATCGAATTTGGGTCCCGATTCCTAACTTCGGTTTAACTGTTTAACGTAATCTAACCATTTCATGTACTAACGTGATGGTTTTTTTTTTGTTTTTAAGTTATTTGATAAGTTGTACACGCTTTTATTTGAAGGAACGGTCGTTTAATATAATACCGCTTTTGGCACCGTTACGAATAGCTAATATATATATATTTTTTTTTTTAAATTATAGTTGTCTATTTTAATTGATATAACGTTTAAAAAAAAAATTTTTATGTTTAAATTTAGTCACCCCTTGAATATTCAGAAAACGCGTTTACGGCGTGCTATAGGCCCAGGCGATATCGACCTAATATTTCAGTCATGGGCGAAATCGGTTTCCAGGATGGATCCCGAAAGACAGCTTAGCATTAAAATCGCCATCTCAAAAATAGTGACTGATGGAGAACAAGAAGAACTGGAGAAAAAACAATTATTAGAATTTGATAAGAAATTTGAAGAGATGGAGAAAAAAGAAGAAGCGGAAATGAGAGCTGAATCCGCAAGAGAATCAAATTTGATGAAGGAAGAACGGAAGCGGGAATATCTGAAAAAAAATTCCATGTAACAAATGTAATCATGTCCTTAAGTATCATGCATCCATATTGAGTTATCAGAAATATAGTGTAGTAAATTGTTTTAAGAAAAATAAGTTTAACAATTTCTTGCATTTTTAATTTGTAGTTTTTAAGTTTTATCTAAATTATCCCTCTACGACTCCTCCTTGCACGCTTCATAATAATGTTGATGTATTCTGTGACATCATTCACGTTCTCTTCCATTATCCTTATTTTACTCTCAAATGTAATATCCTCTCTACCTTAATAATATCATACAATGTCATTTTCAATGCCTAGTCTATTCTCTCCTCCAGATAATACTAACTATTACTTTTCTAATCTTCATCAACCAGTCTGGTATTAAAATCTAAAATTGTTTTTGTATTCTTTAATTTTATATTATTAAATAAATCATTTCAAATTAATTGTCGAAGCTAATTGTATAACAAAGTTTCCAATAAAAAAAAAGTTTTACCTGTAAAACAAAAAAAAAGCATTTTATCTGTAATTATATGATTTTGTATTTGTACAGTTTATAAATAGAATAATATATTCAAATTGGAACACTTTAAAAAAAATTAATTAGGTATTTCATGACAAATTTAGTTTTTTTTTTTTAATTAATACCTTATGTCTACTGAACTAAAGTCTAAAGCATTATTTGAGTTAATTATAAAATGGAATTGTGTATTTTTTTGATATACTACAGTGTACTGTTTTCACTATTTTATTTAGAGCAGTGAATTATTTTCTATCAAAATTTAATGTGTATAAAATTATCAATTTTTTTTTTTTGAGTTAATACACTAATTTTGTGGACAAAAATACTGCAAAAAAATACAATATTGCGTAGTAAGTATCCAAATTTTTAAGATAGGAAAAATTAATCAAAATTTTATTTTTTGAGTTACTACACAACTGTTCTAATTGTGGGATACATGGTAATGTTCGAGTTTCATAATAATTTGTTTATATAGTGTATTATGTTTCCGACTTTTTTGTTTATTTTTTACTGACTGATTTCTATTGTATTTTTATTGTATTCTATGGTATGGTAGGTTAGGTACGATAGGTATGATAGGTATGGTATGGCATTTTATGACCTCCCATATGGTATTTTTATTATTATTATTTTTTTTAAATAACTATTATTAAAAATAAAATTTTACTTTTCACTATTATAGTTTTCTCTAATAAAACGTTTTGCTATTTTTACTTTAGCCAGTTTTGACAGTTCCCTTTTAAAACATGTATTTGGGGTGATTAATCTATCATAAGAAACTCATTATCTTGGAAAATGTTTACTTTTTTCGAAATTTGTTTTGAAGAAAATTTAAGAAACAAGCTGTTCTAAAATTTAACATTTGCATTTATTTTTGTTACCCTAATATTTGGTGGTGAAACGACTACCTATTTTTGATTTTAAAATGGTGACCTGTATGAAAAATTTCATAAAAAGGCTGAGTAGTAATTAAAATAAATGTCGGCGTTTAAATTTGTAATTTCTGTGAATCCGTTGACGAGATATTCCACCTTTAAGTTCGGGTCGGGAGAGAATAGTTGAGGTTAGGTTTTCCTATCCATCATTTAGATGGCAGCACAGAGCACAGCGTTTTAAGAATGTACCACTATTCTCTTCAGACCTATACTTAAAAGTGGAGTATCTCGTCAGTGGATTGACGGACATTACAAATTTAAACAGAGCTTCTTGTTTCTAAAATTTCCCATAGTACAAATGTCGAAAAAAGTTTATACTTTCCGAGATAATGAGTGTATTATGATAAATTGATCACCCTGTCTTAACCATACTCCGCTCAGAATAGTTTTTCATTAGCAATGGTTTATCATTGTGGCACAGGTATAAATCAAATAGCTATATTTATATTAACCACGATTAAAGATCTACTGGTTACACAACGAGGCGCGATAACTAGACCACGAAGGCGAAATTTGAAATCGTGTCACGACCGACTCATTTAACTTGTCCCTCCACCACCACACAATGCTGACCAATCTACCGTATTATCACAGTATTAAACTATTGTCACATTATCAGTATCATACTATATATTATATTATTGTAAAATTTGTACCTATTCTTTATTTGACATTTCATCTATTCTGTAGATATATATTGTTAATAAACTGGTTTTTCATAGTTGTTGTTTGTCTTTTTTAAATCTAATTTTTAGATTCAGAGTGCGGCGAATAGCGTATTGGTTTTACTAAGATGTTTATTTTTTTTATATACTGTGCACAAAAATTTGACTAGAAATCTTGCTCAGGTATATATGCACGGCACCATTTCTGAAAGGTAATATAGAATGTATGAAACGTCCAGATGGTACTTTTGGGAGATCATTTTTTGATTTTCCAAGCGGTTTGCATAATATCTGGGAAAAGCTGGGATAAAACGTAAGAAAAACGGGAAATTTATGAAAATAATGATTTTATTATTTTTCAATTTTGTTATTTGTTGTACTTCATATAAAAATATTTGTGGAGACTTGAAATATAATCAAAAAACTTGTATTTCCTTTTTATAGACATGGTAAAATGTTCAAAATATTTAAGCTAGCTTTGAGCTGTTTAGAGACATTTTAATTTTTATTCGTTGATATCGAGAAGATATCGTTATTGTCGAGTTCGATCTTGACTTCTTCAAGCATTTCGAGGTATTTGGGACCGTTTACCGTGCCGTCGTGAAAGTAAGGACCGATTAAAGTGTAAGAACTGATGCTATACAAGACTACAAGACGGTAGGCGTTGCGCGACTTTTGGCCACCTCTGTAGAAATGCTTGAAATTTTACAGGAGGTTCATTAAGAACCTGTCCATTAAGTGTCTTACTTTATAGAGAAAAAAAAAAATAGAATTTTATGTAGTTTTTTTTTTATTCATTTTTTTCCCTTTTACCTAAAAAAAAAAAAAAAACAAATGCATTTTGGGTGTACCTAGAGACCCAAGCCATCGCTCTCTCGGATTATTTTATTCGCAAAATACCCCTCAATTTTTTGTGCAAATTTGTCTACCAAAAATCTTGCTCCGACGTATCAAGTGTAGTTTATTTTCTAACAGAAAATTTAATCTCTATGGTAACTTGAGGAGGTCATTTTTTGATTTTCTCAGTTTTCCCGAGAAATGGGAAAAATAGGAAAGTAGGTAGAATATTAAACAAATATTTTTAAAGAAAATATATAATACCTATTTAATTATTTTATTATAATATGACATATATATTGTTGACAAAGCATCACTATCAACTAAACTGCACTCAAAATTGTTTTTCGTTGGTCTATCATTGCTTACAGATATACATTAAATTACCGATGACAGTGGCTGCACCCGACCCTATTAACCTAGGATGTCCTTTTATATTCGTGGGCTAAACAATGAGTTACACATTCACACAGGCTACACAAGTTCACTAAAAAAAGTATTTTATTTGTTTTCTGAAAAAAAATCCAAAACTTCAAGAAAATGCGAAAGGGAGTCACCATAGACCTGTGTCCATCCCTGCTATGTTTAATATTTAGTTGATATTATGTATGTATTATGGTAACAGTTGAGCAAACATAAACTAATTAATATGTTAAACTGGTGATATTGAATAATATTTCTAATCTTCATCTGATAATCAGAAATCGGAATTTTTTACAATTACAATTTATTTGTTAAATGTCGAATTTCCTCAAAAAACACCCATAGGCTATTATAGTGAAAAAAGGTTACCTACCATTTAATAAGATTTGGAACGCAATTTGGGCCCTCGTTTATATTCTATTTATCGAATATTTTTACAAATCAAATAGACGCCAGTTCGATAAATAAATGTTATTTGTAATAATGCATTTTATTGTGAGAGCAAGCGTTTAAAAAAAACGGTTTTGTAAATGTAATCAGAGGACTGATAATAAATTGCACGGAGAAATGGATACTGTTAAAGATTTTACATTGTGTAACTAAACATAATTCGTTAATCGATTGAATAAAATGGAAACGACAATAATTGCTGTTATCGGTGAGGTTGGTAGTTATTGACCAGCCAAGTGTTCATAATAATTTATAATAAAATTAGTCCGTAGTCAGCCACTACTTTGTGTTTCGTCATGCAACTATCAACCTGTAGCGATTAAATGGTATTTGTGCTTTTGGACGAAAACAATACGCATCTCGATCGAATTGGTAGACGTTAAGACTATTAAATTTGTTATTGTTTTTTAAATACATTTTTCTTTGAACGCAAAATGGAGATTATCGTCGGTCTGAGTCTATTATTGGTGTTCTCTGTGTCGGCGAAAAGTAAGTGAATTTCTTGGTTAACGTGTACGGAATTTTATAATTAACTAAGTCGAAAATGAAAATGATAATATACAGGCTGTCTCTTTGATTATTTCCGGAGATAATAAAGATAATCAAATTCTGATTTTTGTATATTGCTCACAGGGATGAGGACTAATAATATTTATTTTTGAACTAAATTTGTTTTTTTTTTTTTTAGTAAAAAAATTAATAAAATAACTTATTATTTTATTATTTTCGGAAAATGTAAGATAGCCATTCTGTAGAGTAGGCACCAGTGGTCGTATACATATGTATGTGTATTATCCTTAATTGTTATAATATTACAATGTACTGTGGGTGTTAGCAAAAGTCTCTTTACTCCCAAAGCCGTAGTTATGGCCAAGACAGCGGGCTCAGGCCAAGGGCGTATCTTAGAAAAGCACACAAAATCAAGAATTTTAAAGAAAATTAATAGATGAGGGGGGGGGGTGGAATAAGTGCAGAATTTATGTGTGGAGAATCCACTGAAAATCCTATATAGTTACGGTTCCGTTTGCTTGATAATCTTTTTGTCATAGACGAATTATTTCGTAGGAAAATCGATCGAACAATATATTTGCGATCACCATACTATAGCACCGAGACAGACAATCTCCACATTTAATCTACTACACAATGTAGTAGATATTATCGTGAAAGCATTTTTTTTTTTTATGTTCTTTTTTAGTTTTGTTAAGATGTTAGTACCTTTGGTATTAAGGAGTTGCGTAGAAACAAAATTTCTCGACATTTTTGAAAGTTTAAAATTTTATCAACTGAAAAATATTAAAATTTACTTCTAAACAGGTACATTTACAAATAATAATGTTTTATTATTAGGTGATAATATTTTTACCAGATGTCATTCGAATGCGTATAGACAAACAATTGATCGATTAATAGATAATAATTGAATATAGTGTCACAATCAATACATACTTTTGTGAAACGTAAAAAATATTATATCAATTTATATTAAATATGATTATCAAATTCATTAAAACAAAGGTTTAATTAAAAATACAATTATAAAAATAAATAATGAATAAAAAAAAAATTTTAACAACTCAATTCGATGAATTTTAACGACTTTGAATGTATCGTGTATTTTTAATTCGATGGTCGATTTACGGTGTTTTTTTTGTGATAAAAAACACGTGATTGCACGTGATAATAAACAAATTAGTAATGGGTGAACTAGTAAGATGGATAATTATTAATTATATAATACATAATAATCGGTTCTATTATAATTAATTCAAAATTCAATTATAAAGTATTATACCAAATAGTAGAAAGAAATTTGTACATAAGACTGACGTATAATACCATTTGAAAACTAAAAGAGGGTAGTGATGGTATCACCCAAAAACATAAAAATGACAAAAAAATAAAAAACAACCTGTTATGTAAGATTTTAGAGCTATTTGTTTCTTAAATTTTCGAAAAAGACCAAAAATTATAATTATTATAATTATGTACTCTATATTTTTTAAGAGATATAATATAATAATATACGGGACACGGGTGTATATCACTTGTGCATCACTAAATTATGGGTACACTTGGAATATTACCAACTGTTAAACTAAACAAACGGCTACAATACAATTGAGGATAAAATACCATTTTTTTTTTTTTTTTTACGATACGATTGAGCAAATTTGTCGGTTTATCTAAGGAAATATCAATACAAAAGAAAACCTACACAATCCAGCATAAAAAACACTGTGATGTTGCCATTTTCAATTTTGAACTATATTATACAAAAAATATTTATTTAAATAGTTATAATAATTAAAAATATAGTATGAATTAAAAAAAATAACATGATTTCATAGTCATTAATAGTCAAATTTCATAGATTTGTTTGATAATACTAATAATAATAGTATTAAAAATAATAGCCTCTTTCCGATAAAAAAATTGTAATATAATTGTTATTGTATCCATATTAAAAAAATAGAAACTGACAATTTTTTTAACGCACTATATGTGACATGGCTATGGGTGATCGAATACTACATAAACTAAATTATTTCTATAATAATTTTGGAATAGTCACTTATCTTCTATAACCCTTTATAACGGTCAGTATACTACTGATAAAAATAATATTTATTGTTACCTATTGATGCTAATCGTGCTGTACCGAAACAAACCGGGTCAGAATGCATACAATGCATGGGTTAGGGGAGATCTAAATAAGTACGCTGTTAGGCTACTAAAAATATTAAAAAGAAAAATGATAAGAATCTGTTTAGGTAAAAATACCTTAGTAGGTTCAACTGGTGAAGATTTTAAGCTCATGGATGTGTTACCAGTCGAGAGCGAATAGAAGGTTATATTATATAATTAAAAATTATGATACATTTTTGGATGTGGAAAATATAGGAATAAAACGGAAAGTAAGAGAATTTAAAATAAAATATTATGAAAAATCATTTGGTCAAAAACACTTAGATTATTTAGGTCCTAAAAATTAAAATTCAATGCTACTACATATAAAAAAAAATCATAAGCTCTTAAATTGGGAATCTTAGAATTACTTTTATAAAACAACAAATTAACTTATGGTTATTTTCACTAATAATTTAAATGTAAGAAAATAATATATAAATATAAAAAATGGATCAGTATATAGAGAGTTCTCAAATGTAACATTATTAATATTTTTGTATATTACCTACTTAGTAGTGTTGTTCTATGCTATTTTATTTTATTCTATTTATATTAATTTACATTATTTATCCCAACAAAAACCTTCCGCCAACTATGTATAAAACTTCGCTAAGAAAAAAAAAAAACTCAAGTTAGAAAAGTTGTGATACCAAAAAGAGGCTAAGTAATTTATTAAATTCATTAGTATAGAAATTGTTTATAATTGTTTGTGTTTGATAAATGCGATGATTTAATACAAATAATTTTAACTTAACTTGACGGCTACTGATATTTACAACTACAAATAGAGATTGACGGGGTTTTTTTGTTGGAATATCAGTAATTTTTTTTATTAAAATTTTGGATATAGTTAACCTATGTTTTTTTTTTATCGAGTGAAAAATTATGGAGACAAAATATCTTTATTGTTTTATGTATTGAGTAAATGAATATAATATGATGTGTAGTTATAAATATAGGTTATGAATGATGCAGGAAAACGATACTATAGTAATACAGCGATAAAATGAATGAACAGAATTATTTTTTATTTGCCGCAAACAACCACCGTCAAAAACAGGTGTTAGTAACGTGTACACCATAATATACATTGTTGATTTGTTGAAAAAATAGCGTTTCGAGTAAAAACTATGCTAATGCTTTTGCATATTATTTAGGCTGTAATCATAAAATCAACATAAAATTTATAAAAATATCATTTACATAAAATACTGATCAACCCGTGTAAATTTCAAAACAATCAGTCCATTATAGTTTAGGCTACAGAGGGGCGGGTTTCCGTAAAATTACACCGGTTAAATAGGAGTTGGCCGTATTGTGTAATATGCTGCGGTCGACGCACGACGAGCTCTTTATTTTCTATTTATCACTGCGCCGCGACCGCGGCTCTGGATTGGTATGTATTTTATCTCATTATGTAATTTAAATCTCTACCAGTATCATTAAAATTGCGCTTAAAGGAGACAGCTAATTTATTTTAAATATTTCAATTTTATGTAATTATTATAATTATGTTTTTTTCAATAAAAATTGTTGAAAAAAAAAAATTATTAACGCGCAAGTATAGTTAATGAAATATATAAATATCACGTAGGCATTTATTATTTTAGATATAATGTAATCAATTATATATTTGCTGTGATAAATATTTTTCAGATAGTGAAATAGTAAAGGACATAATTGAGGAAAAAAAAAATTCTACTCCACAATGTGACGATAATTTGTTTCCTTATTTAGAGCAACTAGAACAGTGGGACGTTCACGAAGCGGATGTCTTCGAATTCCCTTATCATGTGACTGAATACTTCCGTTGACGCATATTTATAATTAAATATATATATATATATGTATATTTAATTATAAATATTCGCGTTACAGTAAAAGTACGAATACCGGTAAATCTTAGATTTAACTGAATTTTATTTACAAGATAATATGGCAAATCATAGAATTGAACAGTAAAATAACGGTATCAGTCTGAAATTTCATTTTAGATTCTGAACGTGTCGATAAATATATTGGTTTCACTATGACATATGTAATTTTTATTATTTTTTTTTCCGTCTGTAAACATTTTTTCGATAAAAGATCTTTATTGTAGCAATTTGGATCAAGTTGGTTCATTGATTGAGGAGATAATTTTTTGATTTTCCAAGTAGTTTTCATAATGACTGGGGAAAAAACATAGAAAAAAAGGCAAGTTCACGGCATTAATGATTTAATGAAATATTTAATTTATTAGGCATTCGGTGAATTTGGTTTTTTTTTTGTTGTAATAAAAATAATTGTTGAGATCTGAAATGTTCACAGAACACTTGTATTAGTATTTTCTAAGCGTGGTAATATTTACAAGCATTTTCAAGCTGTTAATTAATATTATACATTTTTGCAATTTAATTTGGTTTTATGTGAACAAAATTGTTTTGGGGCCGAATAGTTATAAAATAATGTCCGAACATTTTACACCACAACATTCATCATAAATTGTACTTGTGTTAATAGCAGTCGGAAAAATTCTAGGATTTACTAACCAAACTTATGTTTTACCGGTATTTGATTTTTTCTGTAACTCATGATGTATGCAACTATTCTTTATTATTAAATTATAATAATTGAATTGTTTATTTAACAGGTAGGAGTCGTAACCGTGAACAAAAGAGGCTTTAAGCAACTATTGTGCCAGGGCGCGTTAATCACTCCTCTTTGGTTTATTACAGCGGCTAATTGTATTCTTTTGTAAGCAAATTATTTAGACCGATACATTAGGGCATTGCAGTTTAAAACCACAGGGTTCAGACTTTTTGGACTGACACATAGCACATGTCATTTTTCAAAATATATTTATATTATTTTAACGATTTGATTTTTACAAAGAATTGCCGAATCTTTAAATGCCCTACTATAAAATATTATAAACGACTAAGTGTACAAATAATTATATTACACCTAGTATCCTTTGTTCAGAAACCTAGAATCTGCAGGCAATGCGACGTGGACAGCAGTTATGGGCACTGTGAATTTTAAAAACCCCAAAGCCGTTGTTCGTAAATTATCGTACTATGTATATCATCCACAATTTAATAAGAAAACCGGTGTTGGCATCGACCTAGCAATGTGGATGGTGAGTATTAAATATAATTATTATTTCTTAATACTGTTTTTTACAGTAACTAAATAATGTTCAAAAATGTATAACAAAAAGCCCAAAACTCTCAAAGATTTAAAAGATTACAGTAGATATTGTACAATAATATGTAGGTAGGTACTGAGTGTTAAAAATCCGATGTAGTTAAATTTGCATTATCATTATCTAAACAAATCATTGAATATTATCCGTATTTCACGTTTTATATTGCGTTATAACTGATAGCAGATTCTCAAAATAACGTAATTGTTTTATTTGATTGTAAAAATTAATTTATTTTGTAAATGTATGCAATATAAAATGATCAATCCTAAAATTGAATTGAAACATGATCTCGTGGAATTCATAAATATCGAGCTAATCCACTAGAACACAAACATTTACACTCAATTTCGTACTTGGCATGTTTTTTTTTTTACTGAGTTTATTCAAAATGGTATGAGGTGAGATAGGATGTTTAATGTAAATCGATAACAATGTTAATCCGTTATGTCTTTTGTAAAAAAATAAGGAAATGGTAAATTTTACTCAAATAATAATAAATAAACATTTTACTCATTAAAGTGTTAATATTCGTAAAGACCTTATAGCTGTTTCCTAATAATCTTTGTTCAACTGTCAAAGACAAAAAAAAAAAAAAAATAAATGGCAATTGTTTCATTTTCAAATATAAAAAAAAAAACCGTGATAAACTGATTAGAATTTACTATGAAAAGCAATATGTTTGAGTGTTTGACAATAATAATGCATAATCGTTGTTTTATCTATACCTGAATTCTGAGGGGAAAGTAGTATAAATTCACTATGTAATTCCTAATAATGGAGCAATGATTTTTTACGATTAGCTAATAATATTATTGGTGTTTACCTATTTACCTGTAAGCATCATAGTTATCATTATTTAGTAGACTATACCTACATTTTACTTATATAGTATAAATCAAATTATTTTGTACGTATACCCATTGTATTATATCATACGTATAAGTATAACTACTTATCTAAATATTATCTCGGCATATATTTCTATGTTTATTCTTTAAAAATCCTTTTAGATTCTGAGAAAAGCGAGGAATGCTTTGGTTTTACAATGATTTATTTATTTTTTTCTGTGGACAACTTTTCTACCAGCAATTTTTGTTCTGATTTACTATGAAAGAACTTGTTCTGAAAGGAAGCCTGATTGGGATGATACTTTAGGGAAGTAATTTTTTGATTTTCCTGTGAGTTTTCTTAATAAATGTGAAAAACCGGGAAAAACGTGGGGGAAATAGTAGAGAAAACGGGGATAATATAATATTAAAGAAATATTTTTGAAGAAAAATATATTATAAATGTAATTATTTTACCATATACAAGTATATTGTTGACAAAGTATCACAATTAACCAAACCCAGCTTAGAATCGTTTTTCGTTAGCAATGGTTAATCTTTACTTACAGATAAACATTAAATTTCATCTCTACCTTCTCAATTTTTCACCTACAAAAGTAGCCCACCCATGTTCGAAGTATATCCGTCTTTTTTTCTTTTTTTTTTTGGTTTCTGGGGTGTCCAGTACCCCTGAATCCCCCTCCCATAAGTACATCACTGTTCACACTGTTTGGTCCTTGTGATAGATTACCCTTTAGGGGCCTCTAAAACAGGGAATGACTACACACCAGATAATTATAGTAGCATATGATAACAGTGTTGGGACTGTTATAGGTGTTTTGGTTATATGTATCCGGGAAATTTGGTCCAGTAAAAAATATTCGGTCACAAATAATCCAATTCGTATAAAACTCCATTCATTAAAATGAAAAATGTATTGAAATTGAGCTCAGCCCGTATTGTTGAAAAAGAAAAATTAAATCCATCCAGCCGTTTGGATGTAATGAGACTGTATAAAGAATACGTTTGTATTCAAAGGGTAGCCAGGGTGGAAAATTTGAATTTTGGAGGTAGTATATTTGGATGAACTTGTTTTATGTGTTTAGCCATCTGTGATTATAATTGTATAAAATTTGTTTTTTCTTATGTACTTACTGTAAATTGGTAAAAGTTTATCCAAAGTTTATTTTATGATACACAATATACATGTACTATTATTATTTACATTATCTAGTATACGACATTATCTCGTATACATTGTATTTAAAATATAATTATTTTATTAGGTTATATTATGTTTATATTTTTTATTTGTGTAACACAGGAATTAACCCCCTCCAGAAAAAAAAAACTGGGTCGAAATTTTGTGTGTCCCGGGGATCCAAATTTTTAAATACAGTCTTGGTGTCTAACCTACATATCGGGTAGTAATAATTATATCTGATCATTGTAGAATATTTTTTACTGGACCAAATGTCCGAAATCATAACGTATCGTCTGTTGTTACTTACCAGATCAATTTGATGTGTCATCCTCTGACTTAAAGTATATTTGAACGAAATAATATTACACTATTTTGTAAATATTTATCACTAAGTATATTATCTTCTCATCAATTATATGATTAATGTGTTTCAGTTGGAAAAGCCTATTGATACATTTGTACTATACCCGAAACCTGTTAAGCTGTACAACATTAACAATTATATCAAAACGGATTGCAGTTATAGTAGTTATGTTGTGAGTTAAAAATTTAATACCATTATGATCGTATATAAATCATCAAACACAATACACATAACAATATTATAGACTGATGAGTATTTTTGTGAAATTCAAACGAGAAATTCAAAATAATGATTTATATACAGAGGTTATTACTTCTATAATAACCTCTAGTGTTTTAATCAGAAAAATATACGTATATATCCATGTGTTTTAGGGTGAAGATCTTTACGGAAACACCGCACACTTGTCAAAAGAAATTTTTTGTGAACTTATGGGTGTTGTGGACGATGCACGTCATTGTGTGGTAATGAACAATACGATACACGATAGGGTCAAGATCGAGGTAATAACATAATAATATTATTTAAATATTTAGAAAATAAATTCGTGGATAAAAGTTTTATTGTTTTTATTGATAATTATTAATGTTAAATGCAAATAATCCGCATGACTGGATTGTGAGAGTTAAATTGTGAGCTGTGGCTACCATCAGAAAATAAATTTAAAAGTATTTATGAAGAAATCGTTTATGAGTTAAATTTAAAACAGTTTAAAATTTAGACCGGAGAAGTGTAGGGAATGGTTATCATGTAAAAAACGGTATGAATTACCCCCCTCCTCTACCCCTCCTAAAATATATTTCGCTGTATCGCATTAACTATTAACTAACGCATTATCTAACCGCATTATTTACATAAGCTATATTATCTACCATTTTAATTTATAGTTTTTTAATGTTTACCAAACTGCAAGATGCATATATTTTTCAGGTCACTGCATATGAATTGGGAGCACCTATCACGTGCCGTGGTACACTGTATGGTATCAGAAATAAACGCGGATATTTTACAACCGTCATTTTTAAGAAAACTAGAAAATGGGTGTATATAGTAGTTGACCAGGTAAGTTGTCATGTTTGTGAAGTCTTATTTTCTATATTATTCGCTTAATTACTGGACCTTTCGTCAATAATTGTTGTCGATGGAATTATATACCATTGCGATAAAATAATATTTAATATTTAAAAACGTCAATTTATATCAAACGTTAATTTTTCAGACTGCACAACATATAGCAGATAACTCAATTCAAAACGTCTTTATTGATGATAATTCGAAAGAATTAGATTACTTCAAATTAGACCTTAATCCAGATGATACATTTTTAGGCTCTTTAAGGAGTTCTAAAGAACTTAAATTGAATTTTGACGCTATCGAAAATGGTAAGTTACAATAACAAATAATGTATTTGTATAATACTGTAGTATACAATTTATACAGTAAGTAGGCTAAAACTAAAAATCGAATTATTCTGGAAACGAAAAATTTGGAAAAGGATTTTCCCGTACAATGAGTTAATCCCAAATTAATTTTTCTTAAGCTATTTAGGATCACTACGCTCAGAATCTAAAATACCTCCTCGATGCACCATCTCGATAAAATTTGTTACTAATACCCATGAAGTTGATAATCAGAGTAAGGTTTATGGTAGACAAATTGTTTAGATACAAAATAAAAATCTATACTTAGATTTATATTTAGGCAATAATTTATTGCGATTTAAAATATTTCAGTTGTCCAAATGATTTTGAGACCTTCGTTGCATATAAAATTTAGGTAGGTACGTGACCAATTACATATATTTTTAGATTTTGAGCGTAGAAATGGATGTATACGTTTTTCAATAGGTAAAGTATATGTGTAGTCAGGAATTTGTATTAGCGTTAAAGTTTCAATTTGTAATACCTAATAACCGTCAGTTTACGTACTCCGTTTAGTTTAGGTTAGGTTTACAACATTTTCGGTTCAATAGAAATGTTTAAAATGTTAAAGCAAGATCATAATTTATAAGTTGTAAGTACTAGGGGTGAAAAAAAAAAAATTTTGAATGTGTATTGCATACGACATGTAATGTTTAGATTTTTGTCAGCATTTTAAGTTCAATACTTATAACACTTATACGTTTAATTATAAATTAAATTACCTAATATTATATCTCTTTACCTTATACAATTTGTAATATTAATACTTATAATGTTTTAGGATCAATCGAAAGATAATATGCTGGATACTGGTGTAATATAAATTATAGTATGGAGCAATTTGCCATCTATAAGCAAAAGAAAATGTGCCACCTCTTTATCACATGATTTTTGTAAACATTTTTTGAAGTCAAAAATAAAGAGAAAAATACATTGTTAATCAAATCATTATTTATTATTTAAAAGTTTATAGGAATTAAAAAGGGATAACATGTTGTTCATATATTGCTACCTTTAGAAAGCCAAATTTTTAAGTAGGAAACATTTTAACATATACTAAGTAAATGGAGGTGATCCCCCCCCTATAAGCTGTGTGGTGTTCTTTTTTGTTATACAAAATATCCATAATTCTTAAGTACAAATAAGAACAATTGTAACTGGTTTTAAATGCCATAAAGATAATTCCGGATCTTGTTTCCAAGAAATACTTTGATTTAAACAAGAATGAAACGCTTCTCATTATTAAATTTCAATAAATATTCTCTCAAGGGTGAGATAAAATCATGGAAAACTAAGTGGGAACAATCAATTAGCAAAGATATAATAAAATAATATATTTTTAGAATTGAAAATTGAAAATGATTAATTTAATTTAAATTTTAGATTCTGAGTGTAGCGAAAAATGTACTTATTTTTATTATTTTTGTTTTATACTGTGACAAAAATTTCTTTTTAATTATTATTTTTGTTATTTGTATTATCATTATTTAAATTATTATTAATTTCATGCGAAAAAAATTAATTTAACTTTTAAATTGTACTGTTTTACTGCATTTGTACAATACATCTGCAATCTTCTAAGCTAATAAAATTTGAAATTACATCAGACATAAAGGTTTTAAGTCTTTGATGACCAAAGCGATGGTATTCAAGAGTAAAAATTAGTCGCTCCCTCAATGGAATTGACCTGAAGATACCCCTGGTAGGATGTTTCAAATTTGTAGCTGTCTTAGCAATTTTTTAATAATTTAACGTTGATACAACATTGTCTTTATTCTTTCCAGGATTTATATTTTTTGATAATAGGTATAAAAAATAAATAAGTAAGCTTTTAAACGTTAGAATTTTGGGTTATGCCGATTTTTAAATAAGCATATAAAATCACCGGCATAAGATTATGAAAAACAACTTTTTGAGTGAACTGATTTTTGTCTCGAAGAAAAAGTGTATACTTCTTTTCCCTTTTATGTTCATGAGTAACAAATTTGATGCTCCAATAATCTGTTTCTTCTGTTTGTTAGTAAACCCAATGTCCGATATAGATAACTCGATGAATTACATAAAATAATTTACCAATTGTACAGAATTACTATATTGGTAAGGTAATGTCTATAAACACGATAGATTAATATGTTGTCGTCTAAAAATTTCACGTTTGTTATAATATCTATGGTTTTAGTAAATTAGATAAGAGATTTTTGTAATTAAAATTAACGGTATTAAAAATAGGAAAAATATCTCCCAGAGTTTTGTTATTCATTTTGATTAAATCAAATCATTTTTTAAATATTTATATAGGTAAACTAAAAAAATGTCAATCTGTAATATTAATAAACATATGCGATTTTTAATAATAAATATATTTATCCTAAGGACAACAATTTTGTATACTAGATCAAAGTAAGAGAGACTTAATAATAATATCTGTCATCTGACATAAACACTGATGAGTAATATAGATAGAATACATAGAATACAGATAAATAGCAAGGAATATTAGACATACGGAATTGTAAATCCACACTGATAGCGTGGTTAGAAGAACAAACCAATGTTGGGAAATGTTGAAAATCATTTTTCACATAAATAATAGTAGAAAAAATTAATAGTTTTTTTTTGTCGCATTTGATGACAATTCAGGATATTCATTAAATGCTGCACACCGAAAATCAATAATAGTTCCATTTTTAAATTTATTTTCATAAGTTTTATCACGAGAAAGTTCAATAATCTGAGTTTCAAGAAGCGTATTGGAGTTCAACTCTTCAATTGGAACAGTGAAAGGATTTGCAATCCATTAAAAATCATCACGAATGTCTTTTGGGAAATAAATATTTAATAATAATTGGTTGAAATGCAATAAAATAATTTGTTTAATATCAGTGACATTCACTGAGTCGTCATCGTGCAGAAATTTCCCACCCGTTGGCGTGGGAATGAAAAACAAATATAAGTAGTCATTTAATATCGAAACGCATATGTTTTAGCCAAATGTTTTAAAATGTTTTAGCTTGATGTATTGATTATAAATTGTTGTTGTTTTTTTTTTTAAGATCCGGCTTTTAAATTACCAATAACTCCCGTAGTCGAGTCTCGCAGATAAGACGATTTTACAATTTTTCTTTTTTAGACCCTCCCGCTCCCGGATACGCCACTACGAATGACGATCGAAACCGCGGTATGATGTAGCTGAAAGAAAAAAAAATAGACGGAAAATATTATTTTCGTCACTAACCAACATCAACCGTGTTGTTATTATAATCGTATTATAGTATCCGCTTATCGAAATATACGATCTGACGAATAGCAAACACGAGTGCGAAACAGAAATTAGTTATTTTTTAGCACACACTCGTTAATATTTTCTTCAAAACGCAACACATCAGTAAGAGTTTCGGAATCGTTACGATGGCTGTCCCAATGGCGATGGGTCCTGTAGCGGATCTCTTGACCGCCTGCTGGTCACCGTGAACGGCAAGTGGTTTGCACACGTTTTCGTCGTAGAGTACCGTCCAGAACGGCCGCTAACTTACGTTATTGTGACGTCTTTAAATCAATGTTTCCGCCGGATCAGCCGCCACCGGCCGACTCTGGCAACGACTTTCGCTGCAGGTGATTGTTGTGCTGACACTGGCGCCGGTATTAGTAAATAATATTTATTAAATCTGTTAAAAACTTAAAATCAAAATAAAATAAATGAATAGTTTAAATGAAAAATTGATGTATTGGTTTTCTTTTATTGTTGATCGAATCTGAACAATTAAGTTATTATTATTATTTTTTTTTACCTATCAGCCACTGCACATGAAGTATTTCCAATCGATAACATTTATCGAAAAAGATAAAAATGTTTAAAATAGTAAATGACAATAGTAATGAGACAATGAGACAAATAGACAATGAGTAATAGACAATAATTCAATGTTAAATGTCAAGTAAAACCAATAGTAATACCAAATATGCATTATTAAGCACTAATGAAATATAAATATGCTCTGAAAGAAAAATTGAACGAAATACGCAAATATTTGCAACATAAAAATTTCACTTTTATCTTCACAAAAAACATTTCTGTCTTACTCAGCAACTTTTATTATTAAAAGAAAAAAAAATTGCAAATGCATGAACATCCGTCTTTTAATTATAACCTATTTAGTTGTTTTTCTTATTTCACGCCGTATGATAATTGAAATTGTTTTGTTTTTCTGTATTATTCACCACGCATTGCGTGCCACGAATTATACTTGTATAGATATACATTTTTTTTTTTTATCAGTCGATAATTGATTCACATTTTAGTAACATGGAAGAAGAAAAATATAGTTTCTTTCTTCAATGAAGAAAACTTAAGTAATTAGAAATACCGAATGGAAATCTTACATGAAGAACATGATATGCTATGGACCATGAGGATCGAAGAAGATGCACCGCATGTTGCTGATGATGCTAAGAAACTTAAGACATTGAGAAAAAGTCGGTCAATACTTAGACAAAGAATAGTTGACAGTAATCTAGAATATGTTAATAGTAAGGAGTCTCCATTCAAAATTTGGAAAGGACTTATTGAAACATTTGTACGAAAAATGATAAAAAGTCAATTGTTCACAATTAGACGCCTTTTATCACTCAATTTTGAAGAAAAGCAGAAATTAGCGTCTTATTTTCTCACTTTTGACAAATTTATTCGAGATCTCGGCAAATCAACCTAATTATTGTGTGTTTGTTTCTTCCTATTAAGTCTACTGAAATTGCACGATAACCTGATCACTGCCCTTGAAACGTTGAGTGATGATAGACTAACGATCAATTTTGTCAAAGTTAAAGTACTAGACGAGGAAATAAAAATAATGGGCACAATATCAGAACCAGAACTCAAGGTCACAAACGCCTTCTCAAGTAATACACATACAAATTAAAACTTCAAATTCAATTGCTATAAACGTGGAAAACATAGAGATAGAAAATTAGAAAGCAAGTTTAAATCTCCTAAATAGAAACCCAAAGACCAAAAGGCATCTGCATCTGAAACAATGGCACGTGATAGGAGTGAGCTTGTTTTTACTGCTCATGAAAAAAATACCTATAAGAACAACAGTATGGTGTGGCCTTATTAGCGATTAGTGCGTTGACCAATAAGTCATGCAATTTCCCACAATCATAATAAAATAATATAAGTTTTGAATTTATTTTTCATATTTTAATATTTTATTTTTCTTATTATTTTTACTTATATATATTATTTATTAGTTTTTTTATATTACTAATCAAAATATTTGTTTTTCATCGCGTTCCATCAAAAATATTCCACGACCCATGGATTAGGAAACACTGGTCTTAGCAATGTAATGAAAAAAAAACTGGTTCCGAACAAATATAAGAAATAAGCAACTCTAAAATATTTCAATAACATTACTTTTTGTCACCTTTATATGTTTGAGTGTGAAACACAGTCTGTCACATTTTGATTTTCAAATGACGTTCTATATAAAATATTTCATACAAATAAATGAAACTGTAGTTTACCTCAACTGATTGATGGAAATTAAAAACACCAAAATGTATTTAAATTAAAACTACGTCATATATTTATGCAATTTTAAATACTAATATAATAGGTTTGCCGTTTGAGTATGCAATTGCTGTTGTGTTAGTTTCACTCACATCATAAATAAGGACGACAAAAAAATGTCACCGATATGTAAAAACTTTTAGCTGCTTGGTTTTTAAAATTGTCCAAAAATAAAATTCCGAAAAAGTCAATTTTTTTCGTGATAATGCGATTGTCTTGCCGTTTTTTGATCGCTCCATAAAGACCGTCTGACTCGCTACTTTTATAATATTACACGTTATTTTTATAGCGTCTGAAAATGTGTTAATCGATCGATTAAAATGAAAACGACACACGTCGAGTAGTTATCGGTGAGGTCAGTAATTATTGACCGTTTACAAGTAAACGCAATTACTTCTAACATCAGTAGGAGTATACTACCGCAGTCGACCACCCACCGTTTCGCGTTAGTCATACATCAGTTTACACTGTTTGCAGTGATTTAATCACTGTTTTGTATTTTTGAACGATATTTATACGTATCGAAATCGGATTGTTCGACGTCAGAACTATTGAATTAGATAATTATTTTTCTTAATTTATTTTCACTTGGATACGAAATGAAGACCATCGTTAGCCTTTTTCTAATTTTGACGTGCTTCACATCGGCGAAAAGTAAGTGAAATTCTTGGAGTGGGGGGATAGGGATGGGTGGGTGAGACGGTACAATTTAAGGAAACCATAATTATTGAAAAAGTAGGGTTAAAAAGTAATCGATCTAGGATGTAGTAAATATTGATCATAAATAAATCATAGAATATTTTTTTTTTTATCTTTTTCAACAAAAGGAATTTAAAAGCTGGATCCAAAAGACCAATTTGTTTTACTTTTTAGTAAAAAAAAACAAGCTTTTTCTTGTGAAATTCGTCTGAAATATTACGTATAGAAATTGAATTATAGATTCTCCATTCTTGCTTTCACTAATTCATTACAAAGATCCCCAGTTTGCCACCAGTTTCAAAATACTTTTTTGCACGACTATTAGCACTAATAATATGATAAATGAGCTCAATAAACATTTGTTAACAATTACTTAACACAATGGTGGACACCTTTTTTTGTGTTTTAGTCCAACTCAATGTTAGTAATAATTATCTAAAAAGGACGGGCATACTTCGTATGATGGGTGGCTCACTGTTGTGGTTGACAAGTTGGGAAGATAGGATATAGAGGAGAATTTAATTTATATCTGTATGCAACGATAAATCATTGATAATGAATAACGATTCGGAGCGAAGTTTCTTTTATACGTGTACACATATTTTCCCGTTTTCTTACGTCTTTTCCCGGTTTTTCCTAATTATTAAGAAAACCACTTAGAAAATCAAAAAATGACTTTCATAAAGCACTAAAGAAGGTAACATATATTTTCAGAAAAGGTACTACACTTTATTCCTCGATTCGTTCAACATCTAAAAAAGAACAACAATGGGTATTGGGCGTATTATAATATTCATGTCTTATGTTTTAAATATGCGATTAGATGATAAAATTTAATGATATTAATTAAAGAGCGTTAAGAAATTAAGACGACTATGTGTGTGTCATGACGCTCGTTAATAAATTCATTAATAACAGAAGTAACATGACCAATTTAAATACAGAGTGTCCTATGGTGTTCTCTGAATGCTTATAACTCTGTCAGTGTTCATTTTTTTTTTCAATTGGGTTTGGTGTCGGGGGATACAAATGTAGAAAAAACTAAATTTTTATTTGCATCCCTTAATGACTAAAAATAAAAAACTTTAATTTTTCACTTTTTAACATTTTTAAAATGCCTATTTTTTAAAATTTATTTTTTTAAAAATTTGAATATATCATACATTCATATCGGTTTAATAGTTTTTTAATTATAATGGATTTAATGTATAAACAATAGTAGTAAAAACAAAATTATTAAAATGGTTAATACTTTTAAATAAATATGAAAATAACAAATTTATATATAGAAATAAAAAATAAAAAAATGAATGAATGCGTCGTCTGGAGTATTATGATAAGTGTATTAAACGACCGGTTTCGAATTAAAAATTCATTATCAGGTATCATAAATGTCAGGTGACACATTCATTCATTTTTTATTTTTTATTTCTGTATACAAAATTTTTTAATTCTATATATACATTTTTTATTCATATATTTATTTACTATAATTAATATTCAATATAAGATAAGGAATTACCTTGCTGACTTATCGGAAATCAATAGTTCATTATTGGTATGAATGTATGTTACATTAAAATGTTTAGAATAATATATTATATAAATTAGTTATCTTGACAATTTTAAAAAGTAAAAATATAAAGTTATTTTTTAAGCGATTAAGGGAAGAAAATAAAAATATAATTTTTCTCTACATTAGTGATTCCTGGATAAAAAATCCGATCGAACAAAATTTCAAAAATAAAAAAATGAATATTGAAGTTATTAGCATTCAGATAAAATCATAGGACACTCTGAATGTAACGACTATAAACTAACTGTACCTAACTAGTTATTCGTAACTTGAAAATTCTTCAATACACAACAAAATTTAAAACAAATTATAATAATAAAAGAACCGTATTAGTGGATTAGGAATATTATAGGACCTAATGAATTTAATAGATCACATGTATAGCTTTTTACAATATTAAACTTAACTTAACTTGACCATCGTCGCCTACAGTTAATTTTTAAATAATACGTAACAAGATACAATTGCAATGTTAGTAGAGTATGTATAGTATGTTATACCTATATTACTAATCCGAAATCAAATGGTCGAACTTTTAGAGAAAATGTACCTATAGATATAATAAAAATTTTATAAAAAAGAGTACCTATGTTTAATATGCATTAACGAATGATTTTATTTTTTTTTATCGAGATCTGCCTGATTTAATTTAACTTAATTTTTCTTAATTTTAACCATTCATAACTTATTGAGAAATGAAACTATTTTTTAAAATGATAAAATCATTTTATGATTTAAAAATCATCCGGTAAATGGCATAAATACTAGTTTTTTTTTTTTTTTATGAAATTGATAATATGTATTTTCCCTAAACTTAACTAAAGAGCAGCTTTACTTTTGTAGTTTAACTTTATTACACGTGATACGATACAAAAAAAAAACAATAATTCGTGTAAAAGCTGCTTCGTTGTACCTAAATGGGATTCGAGCGGTCATATCATAACGGTCTTACAATACATCTTAAACTTTTTGAATAGTTGTTTAGAATTAACAATGTAAATTAAAAATATTATTAACATACTTATGCAAATGTTTGAATAGATTTAAATAAATGTGTTCATCTCTTATAGATATTGGTCATGATAAGAACGATGAGTCACTGATAACTCCAGAGATAAATTTACATTATATGCCGATGCCCAGTTCATTTTATATTGCGGCTATGGATGAATTCCCTTTTCAAGTAAGTGAATTCTGCCATTGACGTATATTATCTATAGAATGTCCTACAGCATTATCCAAATGCTAGTAAGTCTGTCAATATTCATTTTTTAAAACAAATTTTTTTAATCGGGTTTTGTGTCAAGGGCACATAAATGTAGATACAGTTTAAATTTGTATTTCCATTCCTTAATTACTAAAACAAATTAATTGTTTTTCCTCTTTATTATTTAGTCTAAATTGCATAAGTTTATGAATTTTCAAAATTATTGTATACTAAATGCGGTAAATACATTTATGTACAAATGTATGTATTTTTAAAATGTAATTTTCTTGTATTGAGAACTATAAACAATTGTCTTACGGGAGCATAATGCCCGCATGAGTTGTTTTCGTCGGACAAAATATGTACGACATAGCAAGTTCGTATTTAGCAGAGACAACATTATGCTGTTAGTTTTAATATTAGAACAAATTAACTTAACTAACTGAAAAATTAGAACATTATCTGTACAACTTTGCATTGTGTTTTCGGTAATTCAATTGTTTAGAAAAATATGAGCATGTGAAATAATACAAATTACAAACCTTCGTATCACACTAAAATAATTGAAATATCGAAATAAACCTGCCTACAGACAATGTTCTAACCTCAAGTTTGATAACGGGTCAATTCACTCTAATATTAAAACGAACAGCACAAATTTGTTCTTATTGGGAGCAAGTTTAACATTGTCCAATTTGCAACATTAGCCGTAATATGTATAGTGTGTATACATTAGTATATATAGGTACTTTATACATTTAAAATTTGTATAAAAAATAATTATGGTAATAATTTTATTATTTATTCAACAGGTAGCAATTCTCTTATCAGACTCAGAAACCCATTTTCATGATCTAATATGCCAAGGTGTGCTAGTCAGTCACAATTGGATTTTAACGACCGCTTCTTGTATTTTACAGTGAGTTAATGCGTATGAAATATGTTTTGCAAAAAAAAAAAAAGTGATTATAAAGTATAGTAATAAAAAAAAAGCTGAAATACCTTGTAACACATCATGGATGTGTCACTGTTATAAGTGGAATGTTGGCAAGGTAAGAGACATAGGGTAGGTAATTTAATTTACACATTTATCTGTACGGAACAATAAAACATTGCTAAGGAAAAACGATCTTGAGTGAAGTTCGGTTAAACAAGTTTTACATTTTAAAACATTTACTAATTTTACCAAAATGCATTTAATTTAAAACGATTAAAAAAATTGTTTATACTTTATGCATTTTCACTGGACCAAAATAACTTTATTCACATAAAAACCAACAAACACAATAATTTCAAATCACAATAAATAGCGTAAAAATCTCCAGAAAATGTTGAAAATTTGACCGCGTTTAGGAAAGATCAATATAAATGTCATTTGAAAATGGCAGGTTTCTAAAATTAGTTTCGAAAAAATTTCCAAAAAAAAAAAAAATGAGAGCACATCTATAGAAAGTTATTCAATTTATTTTTGTAAGCAACGATAAACCATTTACCTGGTTTTTCCCAATTATTAAAAAATATCAAGACTTTCCTTCTTTCTAACGAGGCAAAATGTTTTTTTGGAGAAATGCGCTACTTTTAAAATTTGGAGTAAAATTTCTGGTAGAAAAAAACCTCGGAAAAAATGTATAACATTGCAATTATTAACACTGTTCATTTGCCAGTTTTTATTTTACGTCTTTTTCTGGTTTTTACTAATTATAATGAACACTGCTTGAAAAATCAAAACACAAATTTTTACTTACCAACTAGATTCAAAGAGCAACAAAAAAGTATTCCTAGAATTTTTCGATTGTGCCCACCCAATTCCAATGTTGGTGGGTCCCACGTCCTTTTTGCAAGCTGCAGTGTCAAATATCTTGGTCCGAATATATTGTACTACACTTGACACTTTTTGCTACTTACGATATTTTCAGAAATAACTATTAAGTATATAAATAAAATATTATGTAGATGCCAAAGTACAAAGTTCCGGTAAAAGGTAAAATAATATACACCTAATATCTTTTGTTCAGGTTCTATGGGCAGGTGGATATTAAATATATAAAGGTATTTTTGGGCACGGTGGATTTTAGAAACGTCAACTTTGGATTCGTTCGCAAAGTAAATTTTTTTATGTTTCATCCAGATTATAACCTCAAAAACAATGACGGCAAAGACTTAGCAATGTGGATGGCAAGTATTCATCATAATATTATAATATTTGTATCGATATCTTCGTATTATTATGTTCATATATTCCTACAGTAGAGGACAGTTTTTTTTTTTTTCAATCGTCGAAAAGTCGAATATTTAAACTGCTGCAGTTATATATTTTAAGTATTATGTAAATAATACTATACATATTATTGTTAGCTTTGATTAAATTAAAATTTCGTAGACGTCAATGATCAACTTTGAAAATTATCAGTATTTCATGTATTTTGAATACATATTTTTTAATTTACTTAAGCCGTAACAGGTGTATATATACGCATATGACAGAAATATGCAGTTTATATGTATAGTGAAAAGTCTATAGGGAAGTATATTTAGACAATATAATCTATAATAATATTATGGTACGGATAACTATCAAAATTATAGTTGACTTATGATTATATGTAATATTATAACACTTAAAGATCCGGGCAATAATGATATTTAGTTTAAAAATATTAAATCCGAGAAACTTTCAAAATTGATTTAGGTCTGGTGATAAAAAAAATGTATTATTAGTATTCATTTACCATTACATGTTGAAATGTTTGAATTTTCAGATTAGTTCATATATTAAAATATTTAAAATAACTTATTTAATGTATCACGTTGACGTAGAGAGAATATATATGTAACGAGCAGAGTAAGAAGTACATTATTATGCACAGTTTATCCCGATTATCGAGGACAAAGTTAGAACAAGTTTAAATTTTCCGAGCATTGTATACCAATTAGATTTGGGCACTGTAGATTAAATTTTGAAAATATTAAAAATTAAATGAAACGCCTTACTGGGTATTTTAATAATCATACAAGAACTTAAAATATACGCCTCAAATATTAGTTATCTATTAACCGTTTTCAAATCTATTATCCAGTGTATTACATTGTTAGGTATCTACTATTGAAGAATAATATTATTATCTTAAAGTGGTTTGACATGAATGAAATTAATATTATTTAATATTAAATTAAATCTTATTCAATCTGGTACAAGAAAAGTTGTGTGGGTGATTCAAAGTGTAGAAGACAGCCGATTAGCCAATAACAGTAGCCTGCGAATATATCAGATGATCTATATATTATAATAAACATATTAACGGACATAGCCAACGCGTCAAGAGCATTGGAAATGGTTTTGGAGAAAGTCGACTTAACAATAAACCCAAGCAAGTCATAAATAATGCAAAGAAAAGGGTTAACTTTTGAAAAATTAGACGAATTTGAATATCTAGAAGCAGACAATTTTTAAATTATCATTAAGATATAACATCTTCTCAACGAATTTATTTCGATTACTGTGTTTCAGATTTCAGATGGTGTCAGCAGGCATACACTTAACACGGACGTTGCTTATCTGTTCGATGCCTCGGGAACAAAAAATTATGATTGCAAGTACATTACTTTTAGTGTAAGTAAAAGATAATATGGTATTATTTGAAACTTTTAAACCAGACTGCCACGACACAAAATTCGGTACTTTTAAAATATTCGTATCAAATAGAATCGAGAACATTTTCTACAAAATTGTACACTTGCCATGACGTAAAATATTATCTCGGCATCATAGTTTTGAATTTTTCATTTTTTTTTTCCACTATAATGAAAGGAACACTATTATATATTTTTAAACATACAGCTTTGTGATTAATCATATAACTATAATATTCTGAAAATATAAAACTGCCATAATTAGGTACTGTTTTGTAGAGGTTTACAGTAAGTTATTTTTTTTTAGAACTGGTGATTATTAAGACTAAATTTAAGATTGTTATATTTAGATTTGTGGCTGCTTTGGATTTGTATTGTTTTCATATTAACCATTATAATTTAAATCATGGCTTCCATATATGGTATAAGTATAATGCAGTACTGTCCCAAATCAAAGTATGGCAAAGTTCCGCCAGAATTTTAAATTAAAAACTACAATAACTATGAATTCTCAAAAATGGAAAATATCTTAATATTTTGTTGTACACAATAATTTTAAAGCACAAAAAAAATAATGTGTATGTTTTATTAATAAAACTTAAAAATTAACACGGTCAACCTAACCTACTCGTATTTAATATTCAAAAACTAAGTCCACAACGCGGCGATTCTGCTACAACTATATATAACGATCGTATAATATAATTCATCGAACGCCGAACGAATAGAATGCTTATACGTTTGTAGACAGTTTTGTGAAATTCGCGATAGGTTTGACCCACCACGAAAAGCTCCGTAAATAAAATATTCACGTCAAAAATGTACTGATGACCAGAAATATGTTTTTATTTGTGTTTCAGCAAGCTGGATATCTGTACGGGGCGCCAGCCACTCTGTCAAATAACAGTAACGACTGTGTTAAAATCGTTGACGACATTTCGCATTGTGTGAAAATAAACAACACAATCTATGAGGTGATTAATGATTGCGAAACGAATTTAGTGTTCGAATTATTGTAGTAATTAATACAATTATGATGCAGATAAGCCGATAGATAAACTGTTTTACCCGATACCATCGAAAAATAATTCAAAAAGTATTTACCTATTTATTTTTTCTGTTATTTTATTGTGTGTTTTCGTCATGCACGAATATTACATTTAATAATATACCTATAGTGACTATTTCATTAGATCTTGAATAATCCACACAAGTCATATAATATAGCTGTTTTTTTTTTTTTTTTAATTTTAATCAGGTATTTAAAAATTAGTACAATCGATTTCGGATTTTCGGATATTATAGAGTTTTTTTTAATGATACTTATTTATTTCAAATTCAGAGTGAAGCGAGGAATGTATTGGTTTTACTATGATGCGTGATTATTATTTGCCTGTCCGTAAACCACATTTTAATAAAAAAAATTTCGCTCCAATCAACAAACGAAAAGAGAATATTTTTCTAAAAAATGTATTATATGCATAATTCTTATATGGGATTTATCATTTATGAAAAATAATAACAATTGACATTTGTTACCAGGAGCGTAGAAAAGGGTTATCATCTAAAAAGTGGCATGTTGAGCTAGGTATATGTGTGCTTATAAAGGAGTCGAGATTTCTATATACCCTACCCACTTTACTAATTTTATTTGGATGTATCTACCAAAATCTGTATACAATTGCATACAATTGTCGTAAATTATGACGTATTCAAATTGTCCTTTCCATTAAACTCATTATTATTTATACTATTTAATACTATAATAATTATAACATAATAATGTATTAATTTTTCAACAACAATATTTACAGGAAGTATACGAATAAAATTAAATACGTCTTGTCTTATCCACACTCACTTAAGTTCAGATGGAGCCGTCGCTCACATTAATTAGTAGTTTAAAATGTTTCTCACACGCTGCACGTTGCGTGTATTTTTCAGGAATTGCATGTGGGAGCGTCTTTGATTTGTGGAGGTAAATTATATGCATTAAAAAATTACTATGGATATTTTACCACAGTTTACGATACGTCGAGTTGGATACTTTACGTGATTGACGTGGGACTTTCGGCTGTAAGTATAGTCTTTTTATTTTCTACCTGTCTGTTTAATTACCGAACCTTCGTTAATAAAAATATTGTCAATTGAAATGTTTACCGATCATATACCTTCTATTTAAATATTTTATAATATAAATTTGTATCAAACCTCTAATTTGTCAGGTTAGAAAAGAAAAAAAATTATCAGAGAAAGAAGAAGATATATCCTTTATAGAATATGGATATGAAGATGATTTTTTCGACTTCATACAAATGAGGATTGACTGGAATAATAAAAATCTCAATTTGTCTGAAGAAAGCACGCGGGAAATTAAAAAAGGTGAGATGTAAAATTATTTAAGAAATAATCTGTAGGCACCTAATAGGTTCTTGGTAAAGTGTATTGGTGTATCTATATGTGTCTTATATTAAGTCTTATACATGATTGAGGTGAATATCCGCAGTAGATGAATGTTGACTATCACCGGTGAATGACAACATAATATATCAAAATTATTTGTAGTGAATGTTTTTTCGAGGTGATCAAACGCTAGTGATAGTTGACATTTAAAAATGATATTCAGTATTCACTGAATATCATTTTTAAATTCTTGAACCGTACTTTAAGCGCAATGTTTACGATATAGTATACATACGAGCTATAATATTATTATACATGTCTGGCTGCGATATTTTGATATCGTGATACTATCATTTTATTTTAATAAATAAATAGATAATAACATAGATTGTAACTGTATGACTGTATTTGAGATTTTGTGGTCACAACATTAATGTTGTAAACTCTCTGTGGTTTCATTATTTCGGATTTTTTTTTTTTTTGTTGTAATTCGATTAAAAATAATCGTTGTAATTTAATCATAGAATATTTATGTTAGTCTTTTCTAGACTTTTTAAAATATTCTGATGATTTTTGAACTATTTATATGAAGAATTTGATAATTTCGAGGTTTTTAGTTTTTTGTTTGGTTTAAAGTATAGATAAAATTGTTTGGCAGAATAGAAATGTTTGAAAAATAAATTCGAAATAAATTTTAAGTTAAACATAGTTTGTAGAATAAAAAAGTTGATTTTAATTTAAGTTTTATATTCTAAGCGAAGCCTGTAATGTATTGGTTTTACAATGATTATTTTTGTTTTTTTTTTTTTTTATATAGGTATAACTTTTCTACCAGAAATTTAGCTCCAATTTTCAGTTGTAGCACATTTTCTGAGAGTAAATTTGACTGGGGTAGTACTTAAACTAGGTAATTTTTAATCTCTTAGAAGTTTCTCTAATAAATAGGAAAAACCAGAAAAAAACATGGAAAAACGGGAAAATTTACGAAATTTATTATTTTGAAATTATAAATATAACGGTCGTTCAAAATATGTGTAACCGAACTTCGCTCAGAAATCAGAATCGTTTTTTGATATTAATGATTAATTTTTGGTTAGAGATATATATTAAATTGTCCTCTATATTCCACCTTCCCTTGACCTTTATCTACAACAGTGGTTCATCCATCGTGCGAAGTATGTCAATCTTTTTTTCTTCATAAGTCTTTTAAGAATACATTTTTAGGAAAATCGTAAAAGTTACTGCATTTAAAAATATGTGTAACCGAACTTCGCCCAGAATTGTTTTTCGTTAGCAATAGTTGATTGTTGTATTCAAATATAATTTAAATAACTTTATGTATCCTACCTTTTCGATTTTCCACCTATAACAGTGGCACATCTACCTTCAGTATCACCTTTTTAAACGTTAATATAGCATTTTAATTTTATTAGAATACCGGAGGAAGCAGGAAGATAATGAGAACGATGTTCCAATCGATGAATGGTTCCATGATTCTCAGTCAGAAAGGTATACAAAAATAATAATTAATGCAACATAATTAATTGATTTTAATTGATTAGAATTTCTATATTGATAGCAGCGCCTTATAAATATATTAAATTTTGTAAAACGATTTAAAAAGCTGTGCATTACTTGCCTTAAATAACGAACGATAAATATACGACAAACACTAGTTGAATTTTATGTGAGAGGAAAAATTCCACGTTCAATTAGACAAAGATTTTTACATGTTTTTGAATTTGAAATTTTGAAAAGATGTCTAATTCTAATTATGCCGAATTCGGATCGATCGAATCGTTTTTACCCTCGTTTGTGCCCGTGATTATCATTTTCAAGGTAGCTACTAGTTACGTCGGGTATTATGGTTTCAAGTTGTGAAAGCGGTCGTTCAATAATTCGCTTTGAGTTTCAGACAATTCGAAACGATAGTGCCGTTTAGATGCAAATAATATAATAGGTACAATATCGTTATTGTAATATCATATCAACGTTTTGGACACCGTTATTATATGTTATTGTTAGAGCTGTTTATTTAAATTGAAAAAATGTTTTAAAAAAAATCTCATTTACATTTAGTGACTGGTCTGAAAGCAACGAACGGGGTTTGCGGAAACGGCGATTTGCGCAAACAGGCGCCGCTGCCGAAATTGAACACTTGTTTTCATCATGGGCGATAACGGTTTCCAAGTTGAATATCGAGAGACAAATCGACTTGAAAATAAACATCGGAAATATAGTGGCCAATGCAGAAAGGGATTATTTGGAGGAACAGACTCGATTGAAAGAAATAGAAGAATCTTACATAGCTAGTAATGAGAGCGACATGAAATAAAAATTAAATCCGAAATAGTTTTAAGAAGCAAATTGGTAACTGTCTTTAATATTATAATATTATACAATTATAATAATATATTATTATATTTGAGTTATAATAAATGTATATGTTTTTGGATACTTGAATTTTTTGTTCGTATCCTCCTGATTGATTTCAATGTACTTATTTAATGCGTAAATAAATCGTAAAATAATCTTCACACCTATTTAAATCTAAACTATTATCAAACAAAATCTAGAAAAATTTATACGTTACTATTATCATTAATATTAATGGGAATTAAAAAAAATCACCTCTCTAAAGTACCACCAAGAAAATATTTCCTTTCAGAAAAAGTGCTATACTTGATAATAGGAGGGACATCATTGTAAAAGCAATACATTCCTCGCTCCGCTCAGAATCTAAAACAAAGCAAAATAAAATTATTTAAATTTTATTGGCTTAAATTGATTTCCGACGTTTTTCAAAACAAATGCTTATTAATATTATTATAATAATAATATTTATATAGTAATATTTATATGTATTTAATGTAATTATATAACAAAATTATTATATTTAAAAAAAATATATAATATGTTAATTTAAAAAAATGAAAAAAAAAATGTTCAAAGTTTAGTTGAAATACTCACATATCCAGTTTAATTATGGTTTGAGTTTATCAACCTACAATAAGATAAGTTTTTGTATGTAATAAATTATTTCATATTTATAAAAATACAACGTGCGTCTATCCACAAGACATAATACAAGTGTCCGATATTTTGCTATACATTGGGTATGGCAATTTTTATCTACCGACATTTTTGGCATCAAAATCATAAGTGTGCAATTTTTGAATGCAACCTAAAATATAACTTAGAAACCTTTATTTTTACCAGTCCAACGACCTGGTCCAAAAGGTCGGTTAATGTATTATAGGAATAGCCAACCAACTGCTCTGACTAAGTGGATAGGATTAGGTAAAAAATATATCGACAGCCCCATACGTTTCATTTTGAAAACCAAAGAAGCGGTTTGCAATATACTTGGCTGTATTGTAAAGAACGTACTGCACGGTGTATTTAACATTTTAATTTATAGTTTTATAATTTTGCACCAACTAAACGACTAAACTTGACGTGTACATTTTTCAGCTCGTCGATTCGGGATCATCTCTGATGTACGGTGAAATTTATTAGTTAGCTGAACGCCCTCAGAAATGCCGATGGTAATTTTACTGATGTAATTGAATCGAGTGATTTTTGTAAGTGAAATCTTGATTTCTATCCACGAGTATTCTCCTCTTAATCACTGGATATTCTGTAAATATTTTATTATTGTCGAGGGAATTATTAGCCGTTATGGTAATATAATCACTATTTAAATATTTGAAAATATCAATTGTTAACAATCGTCTAATATTTTAGAAAGTATAACCCGAAAATCTAGTCCGCTGAATAGCCGGAAACGCGGAGTCTTCGACGTCATGGGCGCCTATTAGGAAGGACAATAAAGGAATATGTCTCTCCTGGAAAATATTACAATCCACAGAAAATTGTTTTTCTTGAGCCTTAAATCATTGAAGCCTTGTGTCAATTATTGTTTGTGCAGATGTTGTGTTCTTAGTGTTCTTATATCCGTTTGTCTACCTATAATAGTATAATGCCTATGTATTAGCCTTTAAATGCGTATTTACAAACGAGTATTCCAGTATTTTCCTCCCCAAAAAATTACATTATGTGCGCCCATATCTTTTGAAGCAATATTTTCTAGTACCTATCGAAAATGGTACACTACAGTAACTTGTTTTTATAATATACAGGTATAATTTAAAATGTATGTTATAGCCATTTTAACATGTCAATATTCAAAAAAAAAGAAATGTTATTATACAACTGTTATTAGTTACATTACCGTGGATTTAATTCAGTAAAAAAAAAAATTAAAAAAAAAATACAACTCTGAAACAGTGTGCCACAACTTTGTTCAATATTGTCACGAACGAAAAACTTTGTATGTCGTTTCAGGCCATAATAGTATTATACGATGGGTATGCCACATAAAGAGTGCCCTACAGTGTTATCCTTATGCTAATAATCCGGTCAATGTTCATTTATTTTTTTTAATCAGGATTCGTGCTAGGGAGACACATATGTAGAGAAAAATTAAATTTTTGTTTTCATCCCTTAACCATTGAAAAAAAAATAACTTTATTTTAATAATTTTCAAAATGTTTAAAATCGCCATTTGTAAAATATATTATTCTAAAAATATGAATGCATCATACATTCATATCCGATTATTAGTTTCTTAGTTATAGCGGGTTCAATTTATAAATAATAGGCATGAAAACAATTAATATTCAATAGGAGATAAAAAATGACCGTGTTTACTGCGATTCCATATCGCGTAACGTGTTATTTTATTGAAAATTAATTGTTTTCTTGCCAATTTTCTAGATATAAAAAGGCTATTACTAAGAAACTCAGTAGTTTCTTATTTTATAATTACTTATTGGATATGAATGTATAATACAATAATAATAATAATAATAATATATTCTACAAATGAGCTATCTGGAGAATTTTAAAAAGTTTAAAAATAAAGCTATTTTTGTTTAGCGATTAAGGGATAGCAATACAAATTTAGTTTTTCTCTACATTTGTGTCCTCCTGACAAAAAAACCCGATTAAAAAAAAAAAATTACGATTGACATACGACATTAACTATAAGCAAGATGATAACACTGTAAGTCACTCTTTATAACTACACTTATATAATAGGTAGGTCACTGACGAGGTATTATTCACCGATGAGAAAATCTATTCCATTTTATCGTATGCTATTATTATTATTTAATAATTGTCATTCGATTTTTTTTTTTTTTTAATATTTATTTTCGGATACAATAACACGCTTTGTAGTATTATAATTTCACAATCGCAGCGGTACAGTAAATAATAAATGACAATGATAACAATGTGTATATACAATATAATATACATACATAGATATGGATATAAGTATTGTATTAGTTTATGAGTATAAAAATGGGTACAGGTATTGATTTTTATTGTAAAAATTCACGACCTAGGTAATTATTACAATGAAATATTATGTTTACAGGTAAATAATAATATTAGTATTATATGTTATATTTTATATAAGACATACTTAGCACGTGGGTGCAGCCAGTGTTGTAGGTGGGAAGTTGGGAAGGTAGGTTACAGATGGGAATTTAATGTGCATCTGTAAGCAACGATAAACCATTGCTAACAAAAAACCGATTCTGAGCGAAGTTCAGTTGATAGTGTTGCTTTGTCAACAATTTATGTTATATTATGGTAAAATGATTACAAAAATTAACAACAAAGATTAAAATAATAACAAAAAAGAAAAAAAAAAACTGTTGCCAGTGACAACGTTATTTTCAATTTTTCAATCTTTATTAACCTAAGGAACAAGATTTTCCTCGTTATCTCGAACATTAATAAGAATTTCAAAAAAATGACCTCATTAAATTACCATCCAGAGAACATTTCCTTTCGGAAAAGGTGCTATACTTGATAATCGGAGTAAGCTTTCTGGTAAAAAAGCGTTTACATAAAATAAAATGAAAAATAAACATCATTGTTAAACCAATACATTCCTCGCTCCGCTCAGGATCTAAAACGTGTCAATCGAAATGTTAACGATTTAGGCATATACAGAATGTCACACGAAGATGTACCCATTTTGTACATAAAACGGGTACAACTTCGTGGGTCACTTTGTATACGTTCTATATTTTAATAATTCACATTGTTGTATAGATTGATAATAATATTACAAACAAAAATCGTCCGTCTACTGGTATCAAAAAATAATAATAAACGCGACGACGACAGTAGTATTAATAGTACTATTAAGAAAGGCAAAATAAACAAGTGGCCAACTTTCGTTAGATAGCTGCTGTGTTAGTGAAACTTAATTAATATTAATGCGCATTATAATCCATTAATTTGATTTGATATAAATAATATTAATAAAATTAGGGTCATATGTATTGGTTTTTAGACTGTCTGTTACTTACTGTTGTTTATCGTTGGACAACAATTATTGTAGCCAGATAGAAATAATGTTGATGACCAAGTCCGGATTTTTAGATTTTTACACATCTCTACTGAGTATGATGCAGTTTTATGAGAGTAAATAAGAGCTTGTTTTAAATCCAGACCCTTCTGATGACGTTTGAAAAGAAATACTTTCGGAGTAGAATGTGAGACCCTGTCTACGACGAAACAATCGGCATACGGTACAACAAGGCATTGTACTACATGGTGGAAATGGCACCAGTAAACTGTTGTATTAAAGGACAAAGACCATATATAATATAGGGCGTACTACAATAGGAAAAGAAGATGGCGATACCGTCGGTGCAGCATTAGAAGAATAGAGGAACTTCAGAAGAATAGGCTTCGTGGTTTAGACCTAGAAAGAAGATGAAGAGGATTTTAGAACTACGGGAGTGGAGAGAAGTGGTTCAAGACAGGTAAACGGATGGGGCGATACGGTGTTGGCGGCAAAAACTCTCGGGGTGTTGTAAAAGTCATAAATAGGAAGAAAAAGAACAAAGATTTGGTATATTTAAAAAAAGCGAATAAAACAAACCGATCGCTATTTCCGGAGTGCAGTATATAAAAGTAAATTCTGCACTAAACGCGCTGCGATTGATAGGGCAACGTAAACAGAAAAGTATCACCGAGTCGGCCGCTCTCTTATTTCGATCGGCTATTATAAATTAAATATTATAGCCCCTTTAATATTGTTCGTGCTAATACAGGACGACGGTAGAGGGCAAGGAAAAAAAAGGTAGACATATATATATTATACATGTAAAAAAAAAAAAAAAAAAATAAAAAAACCATGATGTATGACGTGTGCGTTTTTAAAACTTTATAATATTATTTATGATTATTATCGTACAAAATATCGAGATTAAATTATTATTATAGGTATGTAGGTACACATATTTCGTGTAATGTTACCGATTTTCTGCGCTTTATTATATGACTATAAGTTAATCCCTCTGGAAAAAAAAAAAAGAAAAAAAGCGCATGGCGAATTCGACCAAATTGTATATTGTTATAGCGTCTAAATATTCAAGCTTTAAACTAGCGAAATAATATTATATTATATATATTTACGATAATTTTTACTGCATTGAGAACACTTAATACACATATAAAAAAAAAAAAAAAAAAAAAAAAAAAAAAATCACAATCACATTCTATAAACATAACTATTCACATTATATGAGTTAAAAATAAGATATAATAAGTGAGTGAAAAACACATTATTATTATTCTTTTTTGTTTTTTTTTTTTTTTATAACATTTATAATGTGTGTACACTTATATATAATTTATCCTGGTTATTTTCGTTTTGTTAATAACATTAAAACATTTACATCAAGATTACATAGTTTTCCCGTCTTAGGTACACGACTTACAAATTAAATTAATAAATAATAATAATACGTAGTCGGGTCATTTAAATCGTTGTCCGAAATCAACACTGCATGTACCTATATATATATATACATATATATATATATATATATATAGTACGATTATACAATATAAATAAATAAATACGTCCGAATAAACAGGTACATCGAATTTTTTTCCCACAAAGTGGAGAGCAGATCATAGATTTTTTTTTTAAATTTACTTTTGTGATTTTTTTTTCTTTATCAAACTCGATATATTATTTAGTAAGTTAAGTTAATTTTTTTTCGCCAACGCAAGGAGAACAATATTACAAGAAACGACGGCGGATAGGTTGATATATATATATATATATTTTTTAATTATTTTCATTTAATTTTTATTATTATTATTATTATTATTTCGTTTAGTAGGCACGGCCGAAGAGATTCGCCATATTATTTAGATTATAAACATCGTATTTTTATCGGTTAAAACATTAATAAGAACAAAAAAGACGCGTTGCCTTTGACTAGAGAAAAAAACATTTTGTATACAACATGTAAAAAAAAAAAAAAAAATAACAATAATAATCAAAACCACAATTATTTGAAGCCGTATAGTTTTGTTCGGTTCACATCAATAATATATTACCGTATTGTACCGCGTAGTCCGATACTTTATACTATTTATTATTTATATATATATAATATAATATGCAATCCTAAAAGAGGATTTGAAAACGAAAAAAATAAAAATTGTTTTCTAATATTATTTAGACACCGTCTCTCGTATTTTTTGGCACTTGAAACGACAATAACAGTTATATGGTTAACAGGAGAAAACGACGCGTTTTAATCGACGAACAAATAATAACAATGAAACAAAAAAAAAAAAAAACCCAAAGAAACGCCTTAAAACAAACGTAATATTATTATATTAATCTAAAAAAAAATATTATAGGTAATAACTCGTTATACCAAAAAACGAACTACATTATTAGAGAATAAAGTAATAATATCGCGATACGCGATTAATATTTTTCTTTTTTTTAATATTATACATATTATAATGAAGTATCGTATCAGTACAATGGCAGTGATTTTTCGTTATACATTATAATATCAATAATATCAATAATAATAATAATAATAGTAATAATATTAATAATAATAATAACAATAACTAAACCGTAGACCGTGGACTTCTGTTATTAATTATAACACGGTGGACTGCGCCCCGAGAAAAAAAACAGAAAAATGAATATTGAATATGGTTTTCATTTTCTTCCCGCCCCCGTGAAAAATGCGTTATTTTTGTTTGTCCCAATAGCGGACAAAAAATAAACTATACTGC